AGTCATCTTAATACTATTGATCTTCTGGGACCTGTTGCTATTATAAACACCCACACTCAAGCCAGAGATGCTAGGGAGGAAGGAATACGCGTAGAATCTCACTGGAATTGCACAATAGCGGACTAATTACTTGGAAGGTTGAACTCAAGGACAATGAAAGGTGGCAGATTGACTCAAAACTTTTAATTAACAAGAAAGCACCGCTTTAATGAAGCGCGATTTGATGCCACTTAAATTCACAGGGTTCAATGTACTATGCTATGCACATCCAACCGAACAAGTTAGTCATTATATAACCTCCACTAATGCATTAGATTGTGAGATCAGAGAACCGCCTTCCGTGTTTTCTCAAGAAACGACACCAGCATATGGCGGATTCCATCGAGATCTACCCAGAAGCTGCACGACAGAAAGATCAATGTCCTTACTTGTATATGCCGTACTCTCCTTCGGCCTCTCTAGGTAATCCTCCATCGTTGCATATCTCATTCGTGTTTCCATGAAGGCATTTGGATTAAAACAATAACAGCCACCGACATCTGTGCTGTAGAAAGAATCGCGTCAGCCATGGTTGCTCGAGACGCCCAGATTTGCTTGACTAGACAGTCTGGAAGTAAATGATGGTCTTGGGTGAACACTTACTATATTTCACCGTAGATGCTTATTCCATAATCAAAGGAGCAATGATAGCCTTTCAACTGCCACCAAATGTGGGTCCATTTTTCTCCTCTTATCCTTCAGATAAGATTGTCCGTTACCCTTCCTGAATCCACTCCACCTGTTCGAAGGGTCTCTGCTAACAGAAGCTCTTCTGGAGTATATCTTGGGTATACGAAGCGCTCTTTTCGACGAGGATATTGAACGATTGCCAAAGACTGCAAGGACGGATAATTCGCACCCAATGCCATATGATCATTTCAACCGATTCTGGCTTTTCCCAGCACATACTTTCTGCCTGCCCCTGAAAACCCCGATGGCGTTAATTTCGCGATACATAGATATCGGTGATTTGAAATGAAGGGAGGAAACTCACAGTTCTGAGCCAAGCGTTCCGCTCCTCAAGCTCTTCTGCCGGGGTCATTGGTCCGGGAGACTTTGGTGGATTGTCCTGCTGAGGACCCTCCACGGAATTTTCTAACAACTTTTGATAACCCGCCTCAATTTCTTTGATCTTGCTTCGACGGCCACACTTAGCAAAACGCTAGAATAGACAGAGGAAATTCGTTCCTCCCTTTAAGAAGTTAACTAGACAGAGCGCTAGTTCTGGGAGTTCTAAAGCTTATTTCTCTACTAATATTAGGACCTTAATAGGCTAGGGGCACCCCGTTCGGCGCCTCACGGCATGTGGGGCACAACTGCGTACAAAGCACATCTATATTTAAAGTATATTCTCTACTAATACTAGGAGCTTACGAGGCTAGGGGCACGGCGTTCGGCGCCTCACAGGAGCGTATATATACGTATACCTTAAGTGCAGAAAGCGTACGTATATCCTTGAGGATATACTTCCTAAGTGATTACAAGTAAGGGACAGAGGGACGTACGTCTTGCCTACCTTTTGTATACGTACCGGGGGCTAAAGAATAGCCGAAAAAGAAAGCCTTACTTTATGATAAAATTATAAAAATTAGCTTGCGAAGTACGGGGGAAGGGGGCTAGAATGGAATCCAATTCTCTATTGCATAAGCACCCGTTCTAGGGTTTACCCAGAGAGGGTGCTTATGCATTCTAATTAGAGTTGGCCTCCTGTCATTTCCCCTTTGGGCGTACACCCATGTTTTAGGAATGCTACGCGAGCAAAACAGGGGTGTTGCAGGGGTTGGCAGGGGCACACTGATTTTCTTTCCAATATGCGGATGTTGAGAGGGTAATTTTGGGGTCCTGCAAAAGAGCATATAATTGGTGTAAAAGCTAAGGTTTACAAGTGCCCAAAAATCAAGGTTTTATCCTTAGCGCCATCACGTGCCAAACTAGCCATTTTAATAGCGGAGATGTTGGCCCGGTTTAGTAAGTTCGATTCAAAAGCGGCTACGAAATAAACTTTGATTATATAATGGGGGGAATTCCTTGAGAAAAGAGACAGTGCGACTTAAATAATGCAGAATTCCTAGAAGCGAGGGTGCTTCCTTTCATTGAAGAATTTGGTAGACTGGCTAGTCCATCCTGAGCAAAAAGTAGGATCACGTGACATAAAAGCCCCCACGTCTGTTTCTCTTGACTTATTCGGCGCTATTCTTCTTGCAAACACTTCTCCCGCACTGAAAGGGGGCAGTACATGATACCCCGAATCACTTCTTTGTAAATTCCATTTAATCTTCACTTATTCACGGTCAAGACGGCGAGTATATGCAAGATCTCATTGAACGGACTCTAAAAATTCCAAAGTCAAATTCCACTACCTCATCTACCCCCTCCACCTCCAGAGACCTGAGGAGCCCGTCCTCAACCCCATCACGCCAGACTAGACTAAGTCATCTTGATACTTTTGATCTTCTGGAATCCATCGCTATACTTCACATTCACACTCTGACACTGCCCATTCTTACCAATGTCAACCGAAGGGCCGCCGCAATCAGAGTCGGCGTAGACATGCATATCCGACAACGGCCCAATGGCCCATAAGAACGACACAGTTGTGCTGTCAATGTTGTAGCATTTTTGAGCGACGGGAGCGGCGTGACAAGTTGGGACTTTACCACCAGAGTTGTCGAGACTGGGGATAGTACGGTTAGTAGATGTTTACGATTGAAACTCAAGAGAAGGAAGGGGAAAGAATGTACCAGTTGGGTTTGGAGTATTGGCTCAGCTTGGATTTGGCTCGGACCTAGAGTTCTGGCGCTGGTGCTGGTGCAGCGAGGGAGAGAGCGCTGAATGCCATAATGGCTGAGATGAGGGAGTTGGTGAATTGCATTCTGATTGTGGAAGTTTGAGGGCGAACTGAAAGTGATTGCAAGGTAAATTTTTGGTGGAAAGGTGGATTGGATGGTCGGTTGTTGTCGAGAGAGTTGGAAGTGGATGCTGGATGGGAACTGATGAAGTGAAAAAGGTCGCCCTTTATAGATCTTTTGAGAGACCCGAGGAGGCAGTGCAGCTGATGCTCGCCCATGGCTGGGAGCTAGTTGATGGTATTGCGATCTGTTCTTAGCCATTGGAGACGCCCAGGGAAGACTCAGGATGCTACCGAGCAGGCATGATGGGAGCTTGCCCTGGCGCAGCTTGACGATGATCTGCTTCCAAAGTGCAATTTTTTTGTCACAAATGTTAGAATCTCAATATAAACAGGAAGGAGACCTTTCGAAGTGGGTCTAGAGCAGGAATTGTACGAACGTGATCTGTTGAGAACTCTCCGCGGGAGATAAATGTCGAGCATAAGGCTTCTCAGCCCCTCCGCTTCTTGCAGGGCGATCGTCCTGAAGACCCTGATTGGAGGGATGTTGCGGGAGAGGCGTTAGAAGTAAGCCAATCAGCACTGGTCGATCGCTTGATGGAGTCGCCCCTAATCGGAAGCGAAAGAATGTGGGGATGGGCCGCACCAACTGAAGTAGCAGGATTGTACAATCCTCATGGATCTCCAACCGCGACACAGCCTACAGGCTCTGAAACACCAAGTCTACTTCTAAGCCCCCGGGAGGATTTATATTAAGATACCTTAGATCAATCAATTCTTCTCGCTTCAGAAGTTTGGCCGAGAAATATTGTATGACTTCGATACGGGCACGGAAGCGACGACATGAATAGGTTTGAGTTGATGTACGCCGCCGATTATTTGAGAACCGAGGCAGGAATAACAACTCAGGCGGCAATGGTGTTTAGGAACCGGGCTGGAACTGACAGTGAGTTAATCAATTGCAAGAACTTAACTTCATTCCTTCCTAAGAAACTCAATCGCTTGGCCAAGAGCAAATACGGATCCAGATCGACATTTGAGGGCATTTGGATAGATGAATTATTGGAACTAAATAGAAACCATTCCCCCATTCTTCTGGGTGAAGGGGTCCTTTCGCCTCCTTCGATCACGACAACAAAAAGAATTCTTAATTACCACGTGATCCGAAATGGTCACGTGCTTTGAATCTGACAGAGAAGGTTCGGATCTATGGGGGGTTTTTCTTGATGGAATAGAGCAGGAGAGAAGCTTTACATCCCCAAAGAAGTTCCGAAAAGGAGAGAGCTTCGCGTCTTACCGGAGTCGTAGTATTACGAACATTTTGTCCTCCTGCTCGTGGTGCCTCGACGCACAAAAACGGGATGTAGCAGCTTCAGACACCGTACGGCTCCAGATCTAGTCCTAGCTATTGAATAGAAACATTGTCGATACGAAGTAATAAATTTAGCGATTGAAATGTTGCTCTGTAGGCCACTGGAGCTGTGAGCTCCCACGACAGCTTTTTGGACACTCGTCACTGTGGACATTCATCGCAGAACCCTGCATCAAGCAGGCATACCCCTAAAGAGGCTCCTACATATGCTCCCGCACCGTGCATCATCGCGCATACAAACACAAACTGACCCTCTGGCAATTTGTCTTCCAAATAATTGGTACTACCAGGTACCTTTCTTCGTTGAGGCTGCTCAACGAAAACCTGATCGAGACCCTGCCAAAAACTTCGCGATCCACTTCCCAGCCACCACCAAGAATGCGCAGAGGGAGCCTACCAACCACCGTCATTCTTAATAAACACACGTGAAATTCAGGTAGACTTCCTGATCTATCTTCACGAGAAACCATCTCTGTATTCCATCACAACAATATATTGCCTTGATCATTTGACAGCTTTGCCAGAGGACGAACTATCGATTTTCCACACTTGGATTTCAGGGCCACTCAGCGATAAGCAGATAAACCCCGCCCCGCCCCGCCACCATCGAAAGGCCTCACAGGTCTCAGCCCCCTCGGCCGCAGATCAGTGTCTTCAGCTTCACCGCTGGCAGCTCCCGCCAGCTCCTCACCAATTCTCTCTGCCTCAAGAGCTATTCGGTCTCCAGTAAACCACCTTTCTCCAAGATACTGACCTCAATCACCAAACCCGTCCCCGTCGTCGCAACCAAATCACCCGATCGTCAGCTTCCGCGTACCTGCGACTCAGCATCCGCGATATCCCTGCCAACGCATAAACGTCGGATCAAGCGAGGCGCATTCTCTCGTCCATTAACGTGGATACGTCCGTTGGAATCAAGAGCTTCTCGCCAGTAAAAAGCTCCTCGACTGGCTGGAAACGGAAGGGACCACCGGACGAGATTCATGCGAGCGACACTGCCTCGTCCTGAACTATGCTAGACTCATCGACTGGTCCAGCTCTCCCACTTCGGCTGACCTCGACGAACTTCTCGAAACATCTCGACCTCGATATCCCGCAGCAGAGACAACGAATTGTGTCCGAGGCGCAGACAGAAGGGAGCAGAAATTCAAGCCTGGGGCAAATATGGGCAGAGGATTATTATTCGCGGGATTTGGATCTGGCTTGTGAAGGGAACTCGGACTCTTTTGCGCTGCCTTCACTTCCGGCCACAGCACACACTTCACCTCAATCTTTCTGCAATGACGAAAGTCCCACGAGACGACCGCGTGCGATAACGCAGAGGAGTCTGACTTCCTTCCTGCCAGCGATCATTTCCCCGAAGTCGAAATCGAGAAGTCCTGAGAGAAGAGATAGGAGCAAAAGTCGGAGTAAGAGCCCCTCAAAGACAAAGCGGAAAGATACCTCGGTGGAAGAAGAGGAAGGCTTCATGCCGACTCTAACTGGGGACAAAGAAGGCGTGATCAAAATTGAAGACCGTTCTCGCGGCCTCGCCTCCTGGTTCACCGGCTCCTCAGCGGCCGTACAGGTCGGCATACCGGGATCAGCCATGTCGTCCGAAGACCTTTCCCCACGAGATATCACGCCAAAGGATCTCGACGCTTCTCCCTCTCCGGGTCCAGCCAAATTGCGAAAACGAGCAACGGTAGGATCAAGTACAGATTCGACGAATAGTATAAGCACAACACCTACACCGAAAGCAGCAACGTCCAGCTGGCGCACACCATGGTCCTCGAAATCGCCTTCCTCTCCTCAAAAACCACTCCCCTCGAACATCGCGGACGATGAGCTTTTCGCGCTCGATATCAGCAGCGCATTATTCTCGTCCGGGCAGAACAATGCATTTTCACCGTCGGATTACAAGAACCTACAACAGACATCCCTCGCCCTCCTCACGAAATTCCAATTAGCATACCAATCCCGAACAAGACAGTTTTTTGAACTCCGATCTGAAACAGAAGTAGAAAGAGAAGAAGCCGAGGAAACCGAAACCCGCGTCCGAAGTCTACGGAGCCAGCTCCAAGACATGGCTTCCAAGTTCTCGGCGCAAGAGGAGATAATCGGGAATCTCGTCACGGAACTAGCGGAAGAGAAGCGTGCTCGTGCTGAAGAACGAGAGGCTCGAGAAAAAAGCATCCAGTTGGTTAAAGAAAGAGCGGAGAGGGCCAGCAAACACACTTCTGCCAGTTCGGCGTCGAGTCTTGGTCTGGGACTGGAGGGCGGGATTGAAGATCTCGGCATCCGCAGCGCGCAAAGAGGGAAATGGGGCCATGGATCTCTCGACTTATCTTCTGCAGGGGATAGCGATGCGGAGAGCCTGAACGCTGATTCTGTCTTCTCTCGCTCTCGAAGTCCTACCTTGACGGTATCTTCCACTGGACCTTCCGTGTCCGGGACAGTCGATTCTACGCCAGAAATTGGCCAGGCATCATTCACCCGCCTCGTCTCAGTCCCCAACCCTGCTCTCCCCTCCTCCAACACCTCCACCCCGCGTCCTCCAAAAGTCCAGCAGAAATCCACGTTCCAGAAAATTCTTACGGGGTTAAGCCCCGGTGCAAGTAGCGGAGACACGGAAAGAGGTGAAAAGGATTTCTACGGTGGGATCGGCATGGGCGAAACAGGGTGCGAGAATTGTAGAGGGAAGGATTCAAGCGTGGCTTGGGATACAGTCGGTCTTTTGAGGGCGGAGAATAAGGGGCTGAAGGAACGGGTGGGGACTCTGGAGGTGGCGGTGGAGGGGGCGTTGGATTTGTGTTCTGGATTGCATGTTGCGTAGAATGAGAGGGGAAGTAGCATTATACCCTTGATGTGTTGTTGCAGCAAACAGGCTGCCTGCATGTTATACTTGGATGAATGGCGGCGTTTTGGCTCTTTTTCTGGGTATGAGGAAGACATGAGGAGCATAGATGGCGGGGACTGGATGGAGTCCAGCTTGCATCGAGCAGAGCATAGCATAGCATAGCATTGGATGATTCAAATGAAGCATTTTTACACATCACCCCTCAACTCACTTCCCTCTGCCGGATTTTACACTTCACATCACATCATTTAACAATTCATAGGGGGCAATAGAATTTGCAGCATGTAATCATGACCCTCTCAGGTCATGACCCATAAATCATAATATCATTCATTCACTTGCAGCATTCGGCAGAATGCAAGCAGGATTCATGGCTAGAAACCATTGTCAAAATGTCATATCGCTCCAAAGATCGTGGTTTCGGGTCCGATGAGCTCCCCTTCATCCCCATTCGCTCCATCCCAGGGGATGATTCTGAGCGAGAAGTGCTGGCCTTACGCAGCAGCAGAAACCGCCCCCGCAGTCTCCTTCGCCTCTCGCTCGAGAAGCGCCTCCATCACGCCCACCGGCCCCGCTTCCTTCATCTCCTTCACCACCTCGGAGACACCGAGTTGTGAGTCAGTCCACAGCGGCTCCACAACTTCGGCGGTTTCTTCGCCTACGCCGATGAAGCCGCCTTCTTTAGCCCACTCGCTGGTGCGTTTAATGCCCAGCTCGTTCCACACGGAGTCAAGAGATTCAATGAGGTGTTCGCGAAATTCACGGACGTGGCCTGGAGTAGGGGTTATTCTCAACCTCTCCTGGCCGACCGGGACGGTGGGATAGTTGATGGATTGGACGTAAATCCCATGTTTATCAAGCAACATATCGGAGGCTTTCTTTGCCATCTCCGCGTTCCCGACAAGCACGGGGATGATGTGGCTCGGGTTGGGGATCACGGGGATATCTCTCGCGGTGAGAGAGTCCTTGACTGCTCGCGTGTGCAGTTGCTGAAGGCGGCGATCACCTTGGTATTCCATCTGATACTCAATAGCAGTCTTCGCGCCAGCCATGGTTGCAGGGGGGAGGGAGGTCGTGAAGATGAATCCCGGAGCCAGGGAGCGAATTGTGTCAACCATTTTCTCTGAGCCGGCGATATACCCGCCTACACAACCGTAGGCTTTTCCAAGAGTACCAGTGATGATGTCTATACGGTCCATAATCGTGCCGCGGGGACGGCCAGCAAGGTGAGCGTTGTAGTCGAGATGTTCGGCAACACCTGCGCCGTGTGGTCCGTACATGCCTACCGCATGCACTTCGTCGAGGAAGGTCAGCGCGCCGTATTTCTCGGCCAGGTCGCAGATTCCTTCAATGGGGCCGATGCTGCCGCACATACTGTAGACGGATTCGAAGGCTATGATTTTGGGAACGTCCGGGGGAAGAGAAGCGAGTTTCGCTTCGAGATCCGCCAGGTCGTTGTGCTTGAAGACTAGTTTTTTGGCGCCTGAGTGGCGGATTCCTTGGATCATGGAGGCGTGGTTCAGGCTATCAGACAGGATCACGCAGTTTGGAAGTTTGCTGCCCAGTGTTGCGAGCGTAGCATCGTTGGCTACGTAGCAAGAAGTAAACACCAATGCTGCGTCCTTGGCGTGCAACTTTGCAATTGTGGCCTCCAAGCCCACAGCGTGCTGGTTGTGGCCAGAGATATTCCTGGTCCCGCCTGCACCAGCTCCGTATTCGTCGAGGGTTTCGTGCATGGTCTTCAAGACTTGCGGGCTCTTGCCCATGCCGAGGTAATCGTTGGAGCACCAGACGGTGACTCGCTCGTTCTTGTTGGACATGTGAGCGCGGGGAAACTCTTTGGCGAGGCGGTTAATGTTGTTGAAGTAGCGGTAGGACTTGTCCTTGTGCTTCTTGTCGAGCTCGGCATTGTAGAAGCCCTCGTAGTCGAACTTGGCGGCTTTGTGCTGGACGGGGCGGACGGGTTTGACATGCTGCGGATACGGGACTGCAATTGTTAGCGGGATAATTTCCAATGAGAGAAGAACGTACCATTCTCGCGGCCAAAGAGCGTATCCTCGACAGCTCTGGCCTCGCGGTGGTGGCTGGTATGGAGTCTTGCTTTCCCAGTGCCTGCTTTTCCAGAGAAAGCCCTGACGGCTCCCAGAGCAGCGACCCCACCGAGCCCCACCTTGCCGGACTTTGCGGTCTGCACAGCGAGGGCCTTTCCCATGATGGGGCAGCGACGGGCAATGGTCTGCAGATTGGACATGCTGCCACCGCCGGGCGAGGCCTGGCGGGTCGAGGTCGAGAGGGAGCGAAGCATGGCCGGAGAGGTCTTCTTCAAGAATGGGCACATGGACTTCGATTGGCGAAGTACGGCGTCCATGGCAGGCGGATTGGATCGCTCAGCAGTTAGAGGGATGGGTTTTTGGAGATATATTTTCGAGGGGGGAGGGGGTTGTGGTGTAGTCAGAGAGAAGAAATGGGCGATGGGAGTTTTATGTCGTCGACACTCTCCTCGGAAGTATGGGGATGCCGGCGGTGGATTATCGGCATCTTACCTGCGTACTGGGGCCAAGGTCTCCGAAGCATAATTTTCAATGGGCTGCATGTGATTGGCCAATCCTCGGATTAAATAAACTCACCTTTCCGATTCGAGGGACGCCTCGCGCGGATTAGGTTTAGCGGGTCGAGGCTATTGGCTGCGTCCCTGCGGTCACGTAGTTCTAAGCAGATCTGCCGGATGCTTCGCCTTCCTTTGCCTGTCTCAATTCTCGCCTTTACCCCACATTCCACATACCGTAGTACACATCGCGACCGATAGAACTATCCGCCACTGACGACGGAAGAGCGACGAGGACGACCATCCTGACGGCGCCAGCCGTCGGCTATGGTCTCCTTACAAGCTACCACCCCCCTTTTCCACTTCTTTTCATGGGGGGGCAAGCCCCCCAACCCCCCCTGGGCCTCGCTGCGCTCGAAAAGGTTTCACTTTTGGCACCAGCCTGGCCCGCCTCCACGGCAGTGGCCCCCGGAGGGCCAGCGGAGCGTCACCAACGCCCTCTTCAATATTATATTATAGAGGCATGCTAGAGAATCCCCCGCCATCTGCTTCATTCAGCCCGAGAGACGGGGAAGGGAGGTGAGGGTGAGATGGGAGAGAAGAAGGGTAAGGTGCCTTCCTCTATGTTCCAACCGGCGATGGGGAGTGCAAAGTGGCCACGTCTCGGCAAGGGATGATGGAGTCAGCATTGGATACGGCGTGCTGCGATCTCGCGGTCAGCCTTCCTGCAAGGTCATCAATCAAAATGTCACGCTACCCAATCATCGAAGCCGGCAAACATTGCTATTGTAGTGTGACATTCTGCCTTTTGCCACATCCCGAAGTACTGTACAGAACATTGTCCTCAGCCACTCAGAGGAGGGACATTGGATAGTGTCCAATTGCTCCTTCCTCGGGCCCTTTCCTTCCATTCATTCGGTCCTATTTCCTTGTGCCACCAACGATCCTCATAGCCATCCCGCCTGTCCAAGCCCACCTTCCAATCTTCACAAGAATCACAGACAACATGACTCAGGCCACTTGGAATCTTCAGGAGAGGCAGGAATGATATGTAGTCGAGTTCAGTAACCGGCCAAGGGACCAGTCGAGGACAAACCACACCAGCCCCTTACACTATTTCTGCCTGGCATCTCGATCCCGTTTGACGTCCCGGAAAAGCTGAACGATGCGCTCCATTTCGTTGACCTTAAGATCGACGACTCCATCGGAGAATATTCTCAGGGCTTCGCCTTCGGTCGCCCACCGACACCAACCCTCATAGCGATCAAGACATTCTACTTCCAGCGCTTGGAATCTGGCAAGAGGCCCTTCCAGCTCCTCCTTGATACCAAACTTCAGCTCTGAGTCGATATACGCGTGAGCGTTGAGCACTCTAGCCCAAACAGACTCGGAAAGTGCCTTCAGCATCTCATTGTTCCCGATGAATGTGTTGATTGAGAAGTCCTTCGAGACTGCGTACTTCTCCTTGCAGAAAGGTTTCTCTCCTGCACCCAAGAACCCCAGGTCGAAGAGGATGATATCGACAACTATATTGCCATAGTGCGCGGCTTTGTTTCTGGCCTCTATGAATCTTCTGTTGCTACGCCCCTCATGTCCTGTGTGGAAGAGTCCACTGCGGATATGGCGGACGTAGTCTGCTACGATCTCGAGCAGTCTCACTCTATCTTCAAGCCTGGAAATTGTTGAATTAGTACTAGCTTACTAGTCCTTCCAGTACCAGGTTCAACTACTAATATTAGCTTCGCCACTCTCATTTATAATGGTTTACTATGGAAGCCTATGGAATAGCTCACTATGGAAGCTCAGGGAACGCTCACTAATATATATGAGTCATCTGATTTATAATATACTGGAGGAAATCGCCACCCACTAGTGGGTATATAAGAACTGTACTTTAGATTCCCTCCTCTCCTTTTTTACTCTTCACTCTCCTGTATCTAGTCATTTTGCAGATTGTCAACCTCCAATATATCGATTTATCACCAATATATCGATCACTTTCCAATAGAAATCTTCTGAGACAACTCGGTCTTCGCCACTCCGAGGCCGCCGTTTCGAGCCTTCAAGTCCTCGTTCTCCTTAGCCATTGTGTCGAGTTCCTCTTGTGCAATTGCGTGCTCTGCAGCCGCTCCCTCGGAGCTCTCTTCCGCGGGCGCAGGGTTCTCCGTCAGGTTCGTGCAAGTCTCAACGAGAAGATTATTCTCCGCTTCCAAGGCCTTGATCCTATCCAACACTTCAGGGCTCGACCTGCCCACGTACTTACCCTTCTCCTGTTGGATTTTCAGAAGCTCGGCCATCTCATCACGCTCTATTTGACATGCCCTTGCATCTTCCTCCCATCCTTCTGCATTGATAATGGTATCTTCCAATTCTCTTTGCAGGGCGGTGTCGGATTTCTCCTGGTCTCTCTGCAACTTCTCAATCCGCTGGCGCTGTTGCATAATCATCACCCATAAATCTCCCGACTCCTGGGTAGACTTGGCCTCATTGGGTACACCGGACCTCCTGGCTTCCACTTTAGCATGCTCCGAAAGTAGAGTCTGGGCATGCTGGCGCTGAAGTTGTGTCCTGAGCTCCTTGACCTGTTTGAGAAGATCCTCCCTCTGATACCGAAGGAAGTCATTGTCCTGCATCAAACACTCTACATGGACGTGCTGCTGGTCAATTGCCTGTTGTCGACTTTCCGCCTCTTCACGCCAGTATATCTCTGGAGTGTAAAGCCCGCCGGGTCCGTACTCTCCGCTGGGCGCAGCTTGGAGTGGTTGGGTTCCACTGCCCAGCTCTCGCGTGGTAGATTGATCCATCTTGGTTTCGATGTGCACCGCTGGAAATTTCGTCGAAATGGAGAGATGGCAACGATGGAGTGCTGACGTAGACTCTGACCTTTCGGACAGGAATGTTACTTTGGTCCGTTCTCGGAGAGCGTGTTTTGCTGTCAGGTTGTCAGCTATTGTCAACTAGTTGTTGGGGCGAGATACTTACTCTGCTCAAGCGTGCAGACGGGGGCAATTGCAGGTTGCAGGAGCCAACGTTGTCTACGGTCCGAAAAGAATCGAGCCTTCGAAGTCGAAGACGAATACTGAGGAGGCTTTCGGTACATAAGTTTGAAGTCGAAAGGCGAATTGTTTGCAGAGCGTACTTGACGATTGCGTTGATCGAAAGTCAAGAAAGCAAGGCTGTCTGCGTGGCTGGTTATTCTTGATAGTGGATCGCACACGAAGCAATTGTTGGGAAGACCCTTTTTATGCTTGGTCAATCCTGATTAATTTCTTCAGCATGGCGCGTGGGTAGATATTTATATGTTTTGGTGAATCTGCGCATTCTTTTACCATGAAATTTATGAGTTAGAGTCAATGTGGTGGCTCAAGCGGGCTGGAGAGAAGTGTCTGAAGTGAAGCGTGGTAGAGGACGAGTCGATCAGTTGATATCTCCGCCATCCGAAATATTACCATTGCAGACTTGTTACAGAATACAAAGATGTCACACCAGCAGGTTATAATTGATACAAAGCAAGACGAAATGACAATATCCTTGTTCAGGTACCAAGGGCTACCTCTACAAAATACAAAACCCTACACAAGAGTGGTGCAACTGTCCAAACAATTACTATTTCCCTCAACCTGTCCTTACTTCATTACGATTGACCTCACCTCTTAACTATCTCACATCACAAGTTCATGTCCTCAAAGACCTTCTCCTCTCTCGCGTGACGTTGAGCAATCTTCCCACAGATCTCCTCAATTTCGTCTAACAGCTCTCGGAATTTCTGCGTGGAAGAAGAACTTCCCTTCAGGTCTCCTGACATGGAAGTTCTCAAACTAATGAGTGTTGAAAAGTAAGGCGAAAAACATATGGAGGCGGTCGTGATGAAAACACGTTAGTCTCTCAAGATATCGTCTTAAGAAATAGCGGAATATTCTGTTCATGCAGAGACCAGAAAGAACTTTGTAGATAGTTCTCAGCAGCTAGGTGATCCAAGGGGGTACATATATTTTTCTTCATACCTATGGATAGTTGCTGGTTATCACCATGATGGAAACAATTAATTGGACATGTGCGCGTTGTTGTCATTTGACAAGGCTATTGATGCAAAAGGCTTGTACGAGGTTTGCTGGATGTTTGCCCCTGTGGAAAACCACCAGACGTTGACCCCATGCGTTATGCCTGTTAGGCTGCAGAGCTTGTTACGTAAGATTACAATACGAGACTAAAGCTCTCGACTTTGCTCCAATAGCTTAAGCAATTGATTTCCAGGCCATGATCCGTCTCCACCTTCCACATCCTCACAATCCTCAGCACCCATCGTACCCATCTTTGCCGTTGAATGACCCCGACTCGTGTCCTGCCGGTCCTCTCTTTCCTCGTTGGTGGCTTCTCTACGATTGAGATATGCCATCAGCCGGTTGTAATGGTCTTCCAAGGGATATCGGAGGTTCCTTTTGTATGTGGCAAAATCTTCCAATGCGCCCCCGTTCTTCTTGAACTGGCTCTCGATCCACTTCAGATTGCGAATCGTGTAGACATCCGTTTCCCTCGCACCAGTTATCTTCGTTTTTAAACTAGTGATGTCGTGTTCCATGAAACGAAGATTCGGAACCTATTACCAGGGAATTGAAGTCAACATACTTCTTTCGGGTCTTTGGGGAGCAGAATGTTCCACAAGCTGTGGGACATCGACCGTACAATGTCCCCAAGAATAGTTGAACATTGCTACAAGAAGAGTTTAGACTCTGCCTAGTTGGCACTTACCTTGACTGGTGGATTTTGAGAACGGTCCCATCTCATTCGTTGCTCATCAGGTCGACTCAGTCCGATTTCACCACTAGGAAAGATCTTGAGTAGAGGCTCGAGTTCCCTGAATACCAAGCCATCAATAGTAACAGGTACCGAAACAATCCGCTCGCCGGCCAGAGAAGCAAAATCTACAGTTCGTTGTCGTCCTCGGCTCAACTTCTGTTCCCCAAGACTATGGAGTTAGCACACTTCCTTCAAGCATTGTTTAGAGTAGGATGTTCTAGTAACTCTGGTGCATTGCTCTAAACTTGCAGCTCCCACATAAGAGGTAATAATTAAACCGCTCGAGAAGTTGACACTTACCTGTATGTCTCTGTCCACGCTATCAACCTCGCGGGAACCCGTAGGAGACGGCGCATCGGATCTGGGTACTCGAGGGTGTTGGTAATGGTGCTGGCGAGACTTTTTGTTGCGGCCTCCGCCCCGGAGGGTCATCTCCTGTGGGCTGTCCATGACTTTAGTGATTGTTGAAGTCCCCGTGAAGGTGGAAGGTAGGCGAGTGATGCCATGGTTTACCAAGAAAATTTAGGCCCGAATCACGTGACCCTGCGACCTTCAAGTCTGAGCAGGGCGGCAAGGCAAGCGCATTCACCTACTCCATGAGACCTCACTATACTCCCAATTCTTTTTTGCATTTGACCTGTAGTTTTCGCCTTCCTGCTGGTTGGCTTCTCTTCCCCTCCTCTCAATTTCCCCCCTTTTTTTGCAAGGGCAATTTAAGCGAGATCAGCCAACCTGTTCCTTCAAGGTCAATTGCTAAGGATCATGTTTCTACTTTGAATAAAGTTGAACTACTTACAGTAATTGCTTCATATGCTTTGCGACGGCCAGGTGCAGTGATTATCCGCCGAGCCACGCCACACAACGTATCTGACATTGCTGAGTTGATGTAGAACAAATTCTACACTTTTTTGACGAACTTAAGTCAGGAAGGAAAGGCGGCCTCTTCGGGTCTGGAAACCAGAGCCTCGATATAGTCATTACTCGAGCCTTCCAAGGTTTCACGGAAGGACTGATGTTGTTTCTAGACTATTAAAGTAGACGCAATGCCGAGGCTCACGCGCGAAAAGGGGGCAAGATGGAAACTTCCGAAGTATCTCAGGGCAAAGTCTATGTTGATATAACAACAGAAGAATGCAAGTGCTGCAAGCTTGCCTGCAGTAGGCACCTTTCAATTCCAAACAGACTTATCAACGAACAGCATTGTTCGCATTAATACGTGACATTAATTGTCTTAATTTCTGCCGATTCATAAAACTGAGCTAACTGTGTGTGACCAGGTCAAGGGTTTGGCCTAGACTCCCATGCTTGGGGTCGGAAGCGAACAGCCTAAAAGGGGATCTGAGCGGGGGAATCATAGACATAGCCTAGAACTTTGTTACTTTGCATTTTTATTTGCCTGCTTGAGCCTATGGAGTTACAATTTCTAACCGCCAAGAGTTGGCAGATTTAATTAATTGCGGAGAAGCCCCACAGATATTACTCTACCATATTAAGTCATGTGATCTCCCAGCCACAGAAGGAAAGGGGCCGACTTTAACCTCATGCGGAAGCTTCCTATCCTTGACCTTCCACATTCAGAACAATTCTTCCGCAAACAACGGTTCCAGGTGTTGAGGCTAGATTGAAGACCATTCGTCAACGTTTCGACTTCCACTCTCGATCAAAACCTGCTCGGTGCCTCTGGAAAATGCAGCTTCCCGCTCACCAATGATCTGGAGGCAAGTGACCCCCCTTGGAGTTTCATGAACCCGCGGCGCGTTGATCTCCAGGTACGCACCAATAAACGACTGACGTTTCTTCCTCGCAAGGGTTAGAGGATTTTCTCCGCTCGGCAAACAATAGTTATCTGACCTTACCTTGTTTGCTTCAAGGGGTCTACACTCTACTGTATTATCTGGTTTATAAGCCTGCCCTATGAAATTAGGACCTCCCTTAATATAAGACCATTCCCCCACGAATCAGCTATGTGACCCACTTAACATATGACCATGTTCCTTTAATAGTATCAAGCCACGGGATTGGTGGGACAGTAGATGAGGGCAATAAAATGGTGAGGAGAGGGGGTGGCAAATTAGTCTATTCTAGTGAGATCGACATATCAATGGACCCTTTTTGAGTATAAGAACATTCCTAATCGAATTAGAAGAGTGTTGAACGGGCTACAAGACCATGGTCTTATAAACAAGATAACACGGTATTAACTCCACGATGCCTGTCATATTTGCGTCTACCCGGATCGGCTAGGGACTTCAGAAGCTAAACCGCCGGGACTTGGCGTACGGTCCTTTTCAAAGTCTTACGGTAATTATAAATATGATGTCACGTGCTGCGCACAGGCATATATATAGCTTCTTCACCGCCCTTAGGGCACCATCATTCATACATATATTTACACAAATACCACACATTCCAGTTCCACAGCTTGTCCAGGCCGTGATAGATGATGTCGTTTCCCACCACGGTAAAGTTCAAGGAGCGGACATCAACCTGTACCACTTCGAGAGAGTTTCCTACTCCAAATCCTTGGCACCATGCTCCTCCCTTTCGGCAGTGTCCTACTGGTTACAGTTGTTACAGCAGATTGCAGCGCTGACAACTGCCTTCAAGCTTTGAACTCGTATCGAAGCAGTACGGGCATTTTGCGGAAAATTCACAACCAACAATCAACCTGCTCTCGCAATTCCATCATATGCGGTAGTGGCCTGCAAGGGCAACCAAAATGGACCTCTCTCCTTCAGGGTCTCCAGTGCGTGCGGATGTATGGCGGCAGCTACCAGCTCAATAGCAGCGGCTTCAACGAGTCAAACTCTATCAGCGACTACCACGACTTCAACAGCCACACCTCCCAGTATTGTCGCAGCTTGTGCAATTGTAAGCAGTTCTTGGGCTGCCCAATTTGCCACTGCACCAGGGGGTTTGTGTATTCATCACGTGACTTATATACCGCTGACTTTTCTTAGCAACACCCACGGTCGCTGCTCAGATGGCTCATGATTGCTTGGTGTCTGTCCCACTGGCTAAGGAGGCAGCTCTTGCACTTGTGGATGCCATAGAGCCTTACATGGTATGGCAGAGTGGTACGTACCTTTTCAATCATGTGACAGTAATCTTGCTGATATCGTTTCGGATCCCGCATATAAGGACCCCCCAGCGGATTACTTTTACCCCCCTCACGATATATTTGCGTATCTGGCTTCTGTAAAAACCAATCTTCAGAATGACCAGTATGCAAACGAGTACGAGTTTCAGCAAGAGTAAGTTACATTTTGGACTGTAGTTATGAAGTCTTGAGTCTTGAAGAGCTCCGCGTACTCTTTTGAGGGACTCCCTCAGGTCCGCAGCTGATACTCCATAGCCTTTATCAAATCTGGGCTCGGTCACATGATGGCCATTTTGTTTTCTATCCAGATTTGCTCACGAAAGCTTTCGAATGGGCCCGGCAACTGGGTTTGGTGTCTATCAGCAAGGACGGATCATCGCTTCCCGAGATCAAAACCTTTGGTGAGTGTCTCTTGTCTATTTCCTCGCTCATGAACTGAGCCGTTTACAGAGGATGTGCTGTCATCTCCTTCTACTGCGTCGGTCGTCACCAAAATCAACGGCGTTGACGCTGTGACATACGTGGGAAATTTGATCTACCAGGCATCATTGAATCAAGACGCAGATGCAGCCTACAACAGCACGTTTTTCAAAAAAGTATTCAATGCCTCAGGTATTGGAGATGGCTACTTTTCCAGTGGTGGACGGGCAAGGTATATCACTCGTTGGCCAACCTGGGCAATAAATTCTAACATCAATACTGCAGATACGTATACCCTAGCGCCGATACCACGTTCACGTTTGCAAATGGAACTGTCATCACTCTCAACAACATTGCCATGGTGAAAGGTGATTTCGCAGGCGTTGTCGATGGCCCATCGTTTTTCACGCGCTTCTGCAATGCAACTGGGACTGCGGAGCCTTCTGAGCCCGCCGTTGCAGTTAAATCAAGCGGTGCTGGTGTCGTTGCTCCTGGCTATCCCACACCTATCGAAATTACTCTTGATGGCGTTGTGTCGGGCTATTATCTCAATGGCACTGGATATGAGGACGTTGCGGTCATGAGCTTGTTGTCTTTCGAGTCAGAAGACTTCATCGAATTTCAGCAAATCGAGCAAAAGTTTCTTGCAGACGCCGTTCGTGATGGCAAGACGAAGCTTATAGTTGATCTCAGCGCCAATGGCTACATTCTCCAAGGTTACGATCTCTTCCGACAGCTGTTCCCTAGCATCATTCAAGGTGGGTATACTCGATGGAGAGAAAGCGATATATTCTTGACCGTCGCCGAAATCTTCTCGGCGCAATCGGCGAACTTCACGCCAATCTCGGCCTCCGTGGAAAATATAAATCAATATGAGGCCACCTTCAACAAGGGATACGATCTCAACTTCACAAACCAACCTTTCCTCACATTTGAGGACAAATTTGCTCCTCACGTATATAAGGGCGATAATTACACCGATCCATTGACAACAAGTGATCCAAACTTCGGTGTTGGGACCAATATTACAGGGTTTAATAGCAGAACCAACTTTACTCAGCCTTTTTTGCCAGAAAACATCATCTTGGTACGTTCCTTCAATCCGCAAAGGTAGAATTCTAACAGACCCTAGCTCCTGGACGGATTTTGTGCTTCCATATGCACAATCTTCACTGAATTCATGCGTACCCAAGCAGGTGTCAAGTCCATTGCAATGGGAGGTCGTCCAACCGCTGGTCTAATCCAAGGAGTTGGCGGTATCAAAGGTGCCGAATCTCTCGGCTGGTCCAATGTCTTAGGGTACGCAAAGGATGTAAATCAGACCGCAACTCCAGACCAAGAGAAAGTCCTTGCGAGACTCACCGACATCCCCATCAGCAGGAGTTCCTCATCCGGTCTCAACGTGCGAGACAATATTCTTCCAGATCATGTCAACGATGGCTTGCCCGCTCAGTATGTGGTGGAATATTCAGAATGTCGCTTGTATTATACGGAACCTATGGTTACTGATGTCACGGCGACGTGGAGGCTGCTGCTGATGCTGCTTTCAATGGGAAGAAATGCACTGCAGGATCGCTGCCGAAGAGAGATCTAGAGGCGGAATCGAAGGCGAAGAGAGCCAATACACCAGAAGTGAGGCGCAGAAGAGCAGCAAATATGAAGAGGTCGGGGGCGACTAAGAATGCGGCTTTTGTCAAGGCACATGGAAACTTCAAGGAGATTCCTTGAGTTGGCATGCGAACTAGGAGAAATCTATTTCCTAATTTAAAGCAGACAGTAGAAAATAATATAGTAATGACATAGTGCGGGGGCGTTGTTAAGAGATCAGTTGAAGATGATGGAAGCTCCCCAACTATGAGAATTTGATTCCTGAGAACGGCACGACACAACAGTGCGCTACAATCAACCAATACCAAGTTGCAGCTGGGACCAAGCGGAAAATCACCGAAATCTACGAACCATTTCTCAGATTTCTCAGATGGTTCGAAGTGCCAGAAAGCCGATTTAAGTTGGCCGAACAGGTAGCTCGGTGTGGGAATATTCTCATGACACTTTCCATTTCCGTTTCTAGACCTGAGCCGCTGCTGCTTTAGCCTGAGTTGTGGGTGAGCAAGCTTAAGCGAAGGTGAGCGTGAAAGGGATTTATAAATTCTCGACAAGATAATTAAATTATTAAAGGCTTTCTAAATAAAAAAAGCATAAATTTATTAATAATATCAAAGAAAGTTAGTATTATTAATAATAAGATGCAAGATTTGAAAAAGTTATGAAAAATATAGCAATAAGAGTATTAACGTTTAAATATCGAGTTTATTGTATTTTTCTTATTTAGGTTAAGTAAAACGTTGTGCACGTAAAAGAACTTGGAGAGCAAGCGCTTCCCGCATATAAAAAGCCGCGAAACTCTTTATTCTTAGAAAAATACTTACCATTCTAAACTTGATTACTGCCTCTTCTGCCGTGTCTCTGTCCACATTCCGTGCTTATACGGCTTGTTTATCGGGAACTGAGAGGATTGTCCTATATACGTCGCAATAGCTGAGGTAAAAGCTGATTAAGATGAAGACCTCGAAAACAAGCGTTGAAATACCCCGGGCTTCTCTTCTTTGGAGGATTTCCAATTAACAAGTGTAGCTCGAGTAGCATATTCGAACACCTCACGAATCCCCTCACCAGTCTTGGCAGAGCACTCTAGATATGTGTACCACGCTTCCATCCGCCTCCGGACTTTTTCGCCCTGTCCTATGGTCAACAGACTGTCTGTCTTACAGTGAAATGTAAAATATAAATACCTCTTCATAAGTTACTTGCTTTTGCTTGGCTTTGCCAACTTCTGCAACAGCTTTGTAATCACCTCGGAGGTCTTTCTTGCACCCGACAAGTATTACTGGCACACCCTTGCAATACTTTAACATCTCGATAATCCACTACCATGAATTAGTGCAGTTCAGGCAACACAAGCACGATAATGATACCTTGTCTTGTACATTGTCAAAGGAGTCGCGACTGTCTACGGCAAAGCACATCAGGATCACATGTGAGCCTGGATATGCTTGTGGCCGCAGTCCATCGTCAACTGAGCGGCCGCTGGTATCCCACAGCTCAAGCGAAGCAAGTTTTCCTTCAACTTCAACCTCAACATCTCCAACAGAGTTTCTGTAGCGATCTGGCTCCCTAACTTTCTAGTCCAGTCAGTAAAGAGAATGTCAGAAGCAGACTGAGTTCTGTACCTTCGACTGGAAAACCCCGGTAGAAATAGCCCTACTGAGGTCAGTTTGAAACAAAGGCCAGTGCTGGTATAGAACCACTCACATGAGTAGGGCAGTCTTTCCACAACCAGTATCGCCAACGATTACCAGCTTCCTACGGACGTCAGCGGGCTTTGACACTTTCGACACAGTCCGCTGCACATTCGAGGCAACTATCACGAAGTCTCGACTAGCTTGGCCCCCGGTGTCCGTAAAACTACGTTCCTTTTCCACGACAGCAGACGTATTGGCGAAACCAGACCTCTCAAAATCCGTTCGCAACTGATGCTTATTTGCATCACTAGCTTCGCGAATGGTAAGAGGTTCTCTTGATTGCGCATATACTTCTACTGTGTTTGGGGTTTCGGCTGGAAGTAGTCGTTCTACCTCTGACATATTCAGTTCTTGTTTGCGTACTTGTGGTGGATCTCGTGGCTTCGTTGCTTGAAATGACGATTCCGGACGCGAAGCACTTGACTGGGCGACAATTGCCGCACCCAAATTCGACTCATTCAGCTGCTTGAAGTCAGAAAGAATTGCCTCATAAGCGTCCTCCTCCTCGTAGTTGCCGTTCATGTGGCAGATATGTATCAGTGCCTTCAGAGAGCTCTCTACCCCTGGCAATCCATCTGAACCCAGCTTCCTATAACCCTTGAGCGTACGTCTTCCGTAAAGGTATGCCTCCGCATAAGAAGTCTTCTGGATAAGAACATCAATCAACATGAGCATATCTATCAGGGCGCAGCTATTATCGATAGTTTTGTCTCGCGATTCAATAGCAATTTTCTCTAGTAACAGGCACTGTGCTGCGTCCCATTTCTCTTGAGCCCGATAGACATCCAAAAGGAGATTAGTAGCATCTGACTTCGGCCTTGGAACGTGGCGTAGGGATGTTATCGATACATTTGGCGAGATCCTATCGAGACAGTTGCGCAGAAGCCGCTCAGCACCCTCAAAGTCTTTCGCTTGGAATTTCTCTCTGCCCACTTTTATAAGAGCTTGGAGTATTTCCTCTTCCAATTCGTTATCAGAATCGGATTCTGGGCTCTCCCCCGCGAATGGTGGGAGAATCGATCCGAAATCTCGACCCTTCGGCGACGATTCTATAGCGGTCTCCTCTTCAAACTCATAGACAGTATTGGATGATATCCATCTAAGCATTGTTTCTCCGGGATCAGATGGAAACAAGCCGCCGAACTCTGACCTATCGGTAACAGAGAAGTAATCAGGCTGCTCTGCTCCTAGACTTGTCGATGCGGAAGAAACGATACTGGCAGCCGATTGGACGCAGTTTCGCAGGTTATGTAACACGTGAAGTTGAGCATCAATTTGCTTGGATATGACTACATTTTGCAAAGTACTCATGCGATTGTTGATGTCGTGAGCTATGCGTCGGATTGCTCCGTTTATTTCGTCTAAGTTAGGCAGGATCTTGTCGGTTGACTCTTTGAAGGTGATTTGGTTCCACCTAATCTCATTTAAATAAGAATTCATGGAGAATTAGAGATCTAGATAACTCACAGTAGCACTGTTTGCAACGAAAGTTGCAAGGTATTCCGGTAGGATTGAATCTGTAGGCGAAAATTTTCAATTTCCTCCGACGCGCCTTTTAGTCTAAGATGCTTTCGTGCTCCATCAAGAACCCCCACGCTCTTATTAACTCGCTCGAGAGTTTCTTGGAGTTGGAGAACTGTGTTTTGTCCATCTCGAATCGAGGCCGAGAGATTATTCCAGTGACTACTAATATGGCCAGTGGCTTGCATCGAAGTTCGGATCTGTTCTTGTTCGAATGTATCTTTCATTAACCTCAAGACTTGGGTAAAGCTCTCCACATCAGTGAGTAGGCCCTTGACCTTGGTATCCGCAAAACTAGCCCCGTCGTAGAAATCCTTTAGAGTTGATCCAACCCTTACGCATGTTCCTAGCAGTCCTAGGACACCCGCACCGATCGAAAGGGGATCAGACATCGGTTCGCTTCCATTCATAAAAGTATGCAGAAGGGTCGCCTGGTCCTAAGCTATCTGCGAGACTTCTCATTTACCACAGAGCCTTGCGTGTGCGGAGATGTGCTGGCCCAGGCCACATGCGCTCAGTGGACGTGAGGTACCGGTTCGCGTTCAACAGCGAGTATCCAAAGTATTTGCGTCTGTGTATCATAGAAGAATCAAATGTGCCATCATCAAAAACGTACAAGGCTCGAGGATGACGTTTTCTTGAAGCTGACTGATTCAGCCCCACGAAGCAGTGTTGGCAGAGCGGCAACAGCAAGCCACTCACGTGATCCCACGTGAAGAACCCGAAACAGTGACATGCAGGTGGCTTTCAGGGTATCTTAATCGGGTCTAGCCTTGTCTTCCTTCCCATAAGACGCAACGATCTCCTCAGACCTCCCTTTCATCACTATCTAATCTTTGACTCTGTGTGAATGACATTTGCGTCGGCTACACCCCTAACCAACCCCCGAGTGTGATAATAGGAGTTTTCGTCGGCAACTTTTTGTGACTTCTCCCCGAATCTCAAACTAGTTCGAATGCGAGAACTGGGAGTAGCCGGTGTAGTTACTTAGAGTATTGCTACCGGGAGTCTTAACTATTATTTATTATATAAAGGGTTTATAAGGACTATTTCTTGCCGGGAGTGTGCCGCGGCCCGCGTTTTATATATAAGTAAACTATGTACTACAAGTGCATTGAGTGCACATGCAAGTAAGTCTATATAAAGGGAAGATATCCTTTTAGCGAGCGCGAAAGACGAGGCTAAAGGGACATACGCTGACGTTGTTTAATACATGTGCGCAAAGGCGCGAAAATTGGTCGAAAAAGAATGCTCTACTTTATAATAAAAATGGCAGAATCGGCCTTTTCAAACCAAGGAAGCTAGGAGCAGACTCGAGGGAAAGAACGAGTATATCCGCAAATATACAAACAACCTCGCTCTAAGTACAAGTAGAAATATTAGATATCCGGGTATTTTTATATAAGGAGAAATATACTAAGCTCGATATCTGCTTGTTATAATTTTACTATTTTATACTTGATTCTATACTTAATTCTATATGTTTTCTAGTTTTAAATTATATTTATAATTTAATTAGCTCTTGTAATAGCGGGATTAAAGCAATGGTCGAAAAGGCTCAAAATTCAGAGAATTCCATGTATTGAAAATACTAAGCTAAAGAGAAGAAGGAGAGGGAGAGAGGGAGAGGATAAAAGGAGAGAGATACTAACTAAAACTACTGGAACGCCGGCTAGCCAGGTAATAGCTACCCCATGTGACCCTAGCCAGTGCCGTTACAACTCTCGAGAATAATTCATTATTTTTCGTATTATATATTAAATATTCGAATACTAATTTAGTAATTCTTTATTTTCTAAATATTTATCTTTGCAAATTAATTCGAATTAAATAATTACTAAAATAAACTTTAATTTAAAAGATAAGCAGGAAAAAGAATTAATTATTATTATTATTATTTACCTCTCATTAAATCTAGTTTATATATATAATATATGAGTTATTATTTAAGTAGTTTTTAAAACTTATTAAATATTTTTAATACAAGTTCTTTTTTTAAATTAAAAAATATATAAGAGCCTTGTAACGGCTGGCATAACGGCATGATTTGCCGGGAATAGGGAATCGGAAACAGGCCTAAAACGGAACTAAGCCAGAAGGCTTGGGCAAAGTAATACTAAAAGGTCGAGGCATTCCTCCCTTCTTTGCTCCCCAGCTTAGTATTTTCAATACATGAGATTCATTGAACTTTGAGCCTTCGACCATTGCATTGATCCCGCCGTCACAAGCCTAATAATAATCTAGTCTATAATTGCGATCTGCCCTCTGAACAGCATTGACCAAATCAATTTGAAAACAGGACACCCTCCTAAAACATCTGAGATTCAACTTTTTTGACCAATTACGGCTCGTCTAGAAACCACTATTCCATTTCAAACCAGTCTGAATCCATCCTTGTCACAAGTCATGTCTAACCATCTTACTCGCAAGTCTGATCCTCCTTCCAGGCTGATGAAGTTCAACGTATTTGCGTGTATAGTAGAGGAACTGGAAGATGACGACAAAGCTTCCGATGAGTATCCTTAAGAAGGCAAGTTCCTGGGGAAGAGAGTGAACCCGTATATCTGGATGAAGAACATGGGAAAATATTCGAACCAGAGATAAAGCAGTCCATAGATGAGAGCGATGTACACATTTATCGATAACCCGACCCGCCTGAAATCCCCAGAATGGCGTATTCTCTGAAGGAGCCTACAGCAATCCTATAGTCTGATGGGGTTTGCCAGGGAACTTTTGAAAATAATAAGTTGGCAGCCGAAGGGTCCCGTGGTGGTTTAAAGAAGAGGGGAGAGTACGCAAAGGCACGTTTGATAGATCTGAGGATGGAAGGTCTCATGGCTTTCAATCATTCGATAAAACGCACGACTAACAAATATCCGCTGCTAATCAGCTATTGAATACCTATGGCAGCAAAAGTTGTAGCTTGTGAAGCGAGTAAGTGAGCTACAGTGCAACATCCAACCATGATCATATGTTTGAGGCGCAGAGAGACAACGTCATCAAATTACTAAATTGTGTAATAAACATGCCATTGGCGGGATAACCTTCCGCGACAGTAATCCCCCAGCTTCGCAACTAACACTGTTGAGGCATTTGGGTAAAGCACACTCGATTGGGTTGAGGCATTTTGGCCCGCTCCATTCTTGCTGCTACCTGTGCGCGGAACCACTTGTGCTACTTGAATCACGGTGAGGTGGGGTATGCCTGGTCCATTGCTAACAATTTCTTACGTGAGACCAATTAAAATGAATTTGAATGTCTTGAAAACTCTCTGTTGGTCAACCTCTATGTGTAATGCGGACGATGCTGTGGGGACTGACGCAACCCCGAAATATCAAATCAGTTGGGTTTCCAGGCTCTGCGATAATTATCTGAACAGATGTCCCTAAGGTTTTCCGTCGCCCTTCTATCAAGTACAAACCGACTCGTTCCCTGAAACAGAATACCCTTAAGAAACGTCTAGACCTGCAAAACGAGACCTCGATTCTAGCCCATGTCAACATAGCCTCCGAATTAAATTTGAGATTCTTGTAAAACGTCATTGATCCGTAAGTCCTCTCCGTCTCTCTGTCCATTCAACTTCCTGACTTTGAATTTGATCATGCCAACTGCCGTGCAACCTAGCAACTCGACCACTGCTACGAGCCACATTGTTCAAGTCACTTCATCAATTGGTCTCCTTGTTGGACTAGTCGCAATCATTATCTTTGCTGTATGGCTCTCGTATCGAAAACGTCTTCCCGCCGCCGCCATCCGCTTCGTTCCACACTTCCGTGTAGACCAAGAACCTCAACAGAAATCTGTTAGAAGATACACCCTAGAGTCGATACCAGTCGTTTCATTTAATATCGGGTCGCAGAGAGATCTGCAGGATCTTGGGAGCAAGATTCTTGCCTCCGACACCGGCCTGTCGAGAGAACCTCAAACAACGTTGGAAAGAGGAACAAGACTAGGGCCAGAGGCAGAGGCAGAAACTGAATCCGTTAGCTGCCCAGTGTGCACGGATGATTTTGTCAAGGGAGAGAAAGTCAGGATACTCCCTTGCGGCCACATTTATCACCAAGACTGTATCGATCCTTGGCTCTTCGAAAGGTCTGGCACGTGTCCAGTGTGGTAAGGCCGTATTTCAGTTTACGAGCAACACTGAGTAGAGACTTTCTGACCGCTCTCTATAGTCGAGCGGCCCCAAGAGATGGCAACCCATCTCCAAACCACATCCCAAAAGTGCCTCAGCCTGCCCTGGTGCGAAAGGAAAGCTCGTATCAGGCAGGTAATCTTGGCAGGTTAAATTAGTTGACGTTCTTGAAGGGTAACGAAGACTAGTCAATGGGTACTGAGACGTATACGCTAGCCGGAAGAGCGTGGTGGCAAAAGTTGCATGGCAGAATAAGATTCATTAATGTATAGTCGGCTACCAATTCCTCATCTTTAATGATCTGAGACCATAAGTTGTGGAGAATTTGACCGTTTGAAGGGAGTTATCTCCTCCCAACTCGCCAAGCGAACTCTGGAACAGGGGTGGCGGACTATGCCCAAATACTGACTTCCACCCGAAAGCACACCGAATAAAAAAAAAGTACTGACACCAGAGGAAGTAGCTAGCACTTTTCTGTAGTAATGGAGCATGAAATTGTATTAAATAGAGAAAAGGCAATAGCAGGAATAGATGGGGGCCGCTTCCTTCCCCTTGTTGTCCACAACTTTCGCCTAATCTCTTCCTGTTGCTGAGGATGTAGCATCTTTTAGTTAGAGCGAATGGAAAGGCAAATTATAAAAAGGACCCCCCCCTTCTACTAAAAAGGACCCCCCTAAAATTTTAAAAAGGACCCCCCCCCTAGATAGCCAAAACCACCAAAAAAAGAGTTAATGCACGCAAAGATCGCAAAGTAGGGAGTTGCATTTCTCATAAATAGAGTTAATTAAAGCTAGCTAGAAAAGAACTCAAGTGAAGCGTGAGAACTGACTAAGCGAAATGATCGTACTAGACTAAATCCAGAGATCACACGGTAATAGTACTATAATAAGAGCCTTATATTTAGTAGTATCTGCTTTGGTTTCTACTAGGTCCCTTAACCTCTTAGCTAGGGTCCTTACTTTTAGCGTAGGAATAATCCTGGGCTCTAGGGGGCTCATAACCAAGCCAGATCCCGTGACTTCAAGGGACTTTACAAAAAACTCCCTATTCCGCCTTATTAACCTACCCCAGATTCTCGATTCGGATTACGACATTAGCTAACTAGTATTAACTTCATTAAGCTTAGAGCTTATAATAGCTCTTAGGCAAAAAGGGGGGCTTATCACGTGCTATCTCTCTCAAAGATCATGAAAAATACTACTTCCTTCTAATATTTTTGTATACTCGTCTTATGAAACTATTAAATCTAAGTCTAATAATTACTTCTCAAAGCTCTATATATAATTCTAGGGGGGGGTCCTTTTTAAAATTTTAGGGGGGTCCTTTTTAGTAGAAGGGGGGGGTCCTTTTTATAATTTGCCGAATGGAAACATCCTCGGAAACTTCTTTCAACTTGATTGTGCTTGTACAGTGAGTCAATCAAGGGCTAACAATATCAGGAGTCGAACTTACTCTCCGATTAGTTCTTCGAAGATGTCTCTGGCTGTCACGATTCCCAGGGGCAGCGCTGTGCCTTGTTCAATCACCAACACCACCTGAGCTTTTCTCTCTTTGAAGACATTCAGAACTTCGAGGCAAGTTTCAGTCGAAGAAACAACTGGCAAGCTCTCCAGCGAGATCTGCCCTATGGCTACTTCTTCCTCGAGGCTTGTTGAAACAAGCGACTTCACTGGCAGTAGTCTCAAGAATGTACGGAGACAGCGGCATAAAGTGACGGGAATACAGGGCATGCATAATTCTAGGGTCTCTAATATGCCCTGTAGTGTCTCACTTGGCCCTGCAGCCACTGTAATTACACTGAGTCAAGGCCATAAGACCCCTAAAGGCTCACTGAAACCTCATGCAGCTCGATTAGGACGTTACATTAAGCCACAGCGTTCTATAGGGCCTTAGCCCCTATATTTTTAGATATATGTCCGTAATCGGTAGCGGGGTAAATTGAGCTTTTATCCCCCCATTAAGCTCTCCCATATCCTTTATTCTTCTTTACTCTCGCTTCAATTTATTATAGCTACTTTTGGAGGTCTTTTTGACTTCCCTGATTTATTAGATGGGCAATTAGAGCTCTCGTCACCCCCTGATTCATCTAATAACGAGCATTCTGATAAGTATACTGAAGATAAAGACGATGTGTGGTATAATTTACCTACTAATTCAGAAGACGAGAATAAAGACAATAATTCAAGCCTACCGCTTTTGGTACTTCCCATACGACCTGCACCCTTAACTGAACTTGTTATTTCTACTGCCATATGCAAAGAGCACTCCACTAGTGCGAGAATTAAGGCAATCTATATGCTTGAGGACAGAAAGACTCCGGCTCAGATTAAAAAGGCTACAGGAGTGCCCAAAACAACCGTTTATCGATTATATGCTATTACTAGAGAGCGTGGCTAGAGAGAGAATAAGGATATGCCCTTGGAAATAAGTCATGTCCTGAATATACTATGATCTGGAAGATCTCCAATTTTAATTAATGCGATTAAGTATATTTTGAAGGTCATACTTTAGAACTCGACTATAAGAGGCTTTTCTTATACTATAATTATAAAGGAAGTGAGAAAGCGCGGGTACGAAATTACTCCCAGAACTATCTGGAAAGTCCTCAAGCAAGCAGGCTATTCTCAGTGCAAATTAATAGTAAAGCCTGGACTGAATAAGTTCAATAAAAAGAAGCAATTAGAGTAGTACTTGGAGCAAGTATACTAGATATTAGAAGACTAGAAAAATGTGATTTTTATAGACGAGACTATAGTATAATTAGGAGATACGAGAGACAAGAGACGTATATGGAGATTACCTAGAGAAGCATATAATAAGTATTATATATAAAAAAGGTAAAAGGGCTTTTCTGAGTTTATATTTTAGGGAGCTTTTTCTTTTAATAAGAAGGGGCCTTGTTATATATGGGAAAAGGAGACTATAGAGGAAAAGAGAGAGTATAAAGCTAATCTTAATACAAGGAATTCGTTAATTAAGAAGGCTAATAAACAAAAGTGGGAGAAGAAGTAAAGGAAGTGGCTAAGGAATTAGAAGAAGGTCTATAGCCGGGCACCAGGAGGCGTACGAAAGGTATAGAAGCATAATAAGAAGACTAGGGCCTTTGTTATAAAGAATAGACGAGGAGGAATTAATTAATATTAATATTAGAAGAGGATATTAATTAAGAAGCTCTTGCCCTTTGTAAGGGAGTGCCAAAAGAATTGCCCTAATACGATCATATAAGAGGATAATATACCGGCCTATAAGTCATATTACTAAGGGGAGATTTATAATCTATGGAAGATTATAAAAATGCTTTGGCCAGGAAACTCACCTGATCTTAATACGATTAAGAAAGCATGGTTTTGGATGAAAAAGGAAACTACTAGGCGGGGGCCTATAAGTAATAGAAAAAAGCTCAGAGCAAGGTGGGAGAAATGCTAGGCGGATCTTCCCTAAAGTAAGATTCAAGAGTGGATTATAGTAATTCCTGATTATATATAAGAGATAATTCGTTTAGAAGGGGGCAATGAGTATAAAGAAGGTAGAAAGAAGGGCCAGGAGAAGGTAGCTATATATTAGTATAGTTTAATATTATGGTTTGGCTCCTATTTACTTCTTTTGAGGGGGTGCGGGGTTAATTGATCGCTTCAGGGGACCCTTACAGGGCTTACAGGGACTAGGATATTATTATGGGGAGATGAAACTAAGACCTACAGGGCCTATTAGTGGTCTTTATTAATATATTATGAAATATGCCCTGTATTCCCGTCACTTTATACCGCTGTCTCCGTATTTGGTTGAGTATGCAAGTGGATAGGAATATTGCTGTAGCCGGATTTCAAAATATTATATCTTGTCATATCGTTCAGAAAGGCGTCAGAACTTAAGCTGAAAACCTTGGAAATTGGTGTCATCACCGATGAAACTCGAACACCGTTGAAATCAAGTGCGGATGACAAGAGGCTGATTTCGTCGACAGTCAAACGCTCTCGGGCTGAGTGATGAAGACCCTCGTGAAACATTAAGAGCGTTTTCAATCCCAATCGACCGAAGACCATGCCGTGGTTGCGGCCGAGCAATAGATCGAGAAGCTTGGCAATAGGGAACGCAATAGGGAAAAGACCGTACATTAGCCACAAGACGTATCTGTTTCGAATTAGCTATTGTTGAATAACCAGGCAGGATTGCTTGGGAACCTCGACGCCCAAGAACCAACGGAAAGTCCGTATTTGGCACATATGCTCTGGGGGATGATCTCTCCAAAAATAACGATTAGAAGGGCTGAGGTGAGAACTGCAAACCACCCCCCTTTCACTTCTCGGTCCAATACAATCGGGAGTGCCTCGTTCGTGATGACGTTGCCCAATAATAATGAAACCAACACCCAGTGCCTTCCCCTCTGCAACACGCCTAGAACTTTCAGCGCATTTTGCCTCTCTTTGCGAGTACCTGATCTGGAGATCACTTGGAGGTGGACGTGGTCCTGCCCCATGAAACTTTAAATGAAGTTAGCCTCAAGCCGGTAGTTCCTATGGGTTACTCACGCCAAAGTCAAACCTGCGAATAAACCTCCTAGTAGGACTGGTATAATTGAAAGGCACCCATTGAAGAAGTACAGTATAGTGTCAGTTCCACCTGCCACATCAAGCTCTGATAATGTCTTATTAATAGTCTCTTTTGCCAGAGTTCTGCAAACCGATTCAGTTCTTCAACCGCCCAGAGGGCCAAATTGTCGAACTCACCTTACAACATCTTCCCTAACCATCATCAAATATCTTCGAAGAATTGGTGGCATCACACTTCCTCGGGGTGAAACAGGTTGAAGAAGTGCGTCCGTCGAGGCACTCTACTCTTCATCAAACCCCATCCTTGTGCAACGTCCCAATCCTAGAAATTGTGGGGACCTATCACCAAAATGCCGCATGACAGGTCCCCGCAGCTTGGAACCCTGAAAATCATTGGCCCATCATGGAAGGACTAATAAAACAGAGACAGGTGAAAGGGGGTTGGGCCGACCCTTTCGCTTAGTAAGTCTTAGTAAGGATACCTCCGGCCGTGGACAATCCCTTCTCTCCACATTGCTACATTTCATATGAGGTATTTTCCTTCGTCCTTGAAGGCAGTGAGAGAAAGATATTAGAAGTTCATCGTATGTTCATGTCAAAATTCAAAGGATTAAGCGCTTAAGGCGAGCAGCACTGATTCAAATTCCCTCTGGCGGGTCTTCTCTCAAATTCGGACTCCTGTCGGCAGCGAGCAAGTGATATCAACAAGAAATCATGAAACTATCTCTCAAAATAGCTTTTTCGTTTGTGACTAAGAGGATTGACAGGTTAAATCCCTCATATTACCATTTGTCTTCCGGTTGGTCCGCGACGTCAAGAAATCCCTCAAGTTGCCACACATATGAGGCATTTCTCCTGATCAACGCTGCGATTTGAGATCTAAAGCGGGGTCTCACAACAACATCGTGATGATGGAGCATCGTGTCGCAGCGAGATAAGAATGATTTCTATAGTGGCGGAAATGAGAAGATGTGTATCAGAAGAGCAAGGGACTCGCGGGACATTGCAACAAAATGATTTCACTTCACATACTTAATTGCCTGTTCATGTTTACAGAACCTACATGTCACCTCGCACATGTGTATTCAATTCAGGAGTGGCGAACAGACAACAGATCCAAAAGGGCTTGAGGTGTTCTCTTTCGTGGGGCAAAGCAGGTACAGCTGGACGTACCAATAAGCAAAGCAACATCAAGACCAATCACGCCTGGGGATTAACAGACGATGAATATTTGCGAGCTGTTGCCACGGGTCAAACCCAAACATCCCGTTGGCGCATCCGAACCCAGTACCAGCTTCTTTGATAGCTTTCTAGGACTTCGGTGGCCAGCAGCACGGACAATTGAGGGGGTGACACTACAAAAGGTCAGTCCACAACAAGAAGAGACATTACTTGGCTAATTTCCGCAGAGAATTGACTTCGGGGTAGCACTTCAACCTAACAAATTGAATATTCAGAAGGAAGAAGTAAATGGAGTTCCCTGTGATGAGGCGCAGGTTTCTAATCATCAATCAACCAATCGCAAGGGAACATTGAACAACCACACAGTGAGCAAGCATCAACCACATAGGAATTCAACAAAAAAGGCCTCAGAAAGGATCGGCGTCGGACTTCTTACGGACACTGGATCACCAAAATATTGACACAATCTGGTTTTTGGACGACGAAATGGGACCTGGATATGAAGTCACTTTTTCCTCCAGCATAACTTTATATACATTAACACAGGGAGGTTGCAGGCTGAGTGTTGAGAGAGCTGAATGCTATTTCAAGCAAGCCGTTCGTGGGGTGGAATATCTACACAGCACAGGTATAGCACACCGCGACACCAACCCCGAGAATCTTCTAGTGGCGGTCGATGGTACAATGAAGATAACAGACTTCAGTCATGCAGGGAGGTTCTGGGTATCTGGTGGAGAAATGTCAAAGATAAGGCTGTGCAGCAACAGATGTGGAAGTCCCTCGTACCTAGCCCCTGAGGTCTTTGTTGAGCGGCATTTCGATCCAAGGCCCGTGGATATGTGGGCTTTGGCGATTGTATACATAGAGATGAGGACTGGGAAGCTACTTTGGACCTTCGCCGCCGAAGGAGGCGACGAATGTTATGACAAGTATTTGCAAGATCGCAGTGGTCTCTGGGGGTATCGTCCAGTTGAAAACGTAGAAAATGTAAGTCATCCTGTGAACGAGGGGCCCAACATTGCTGATATAATTCAGGAAAGTAGCAGGAAAACCATAAGGTCATTGCTTGAACCAATGCCACAGAATCGTTCGAGTGCATCCCAGGTGCTCAGGTCTTCTTGGTTGACACGGATAGAAATTGCAGCTGGCGGTCGAGTCAATCGATGAGGTAACCCGAAGGAACTTGTGAATAGGATGCCTCTGGGTGGACAAAACAGTGTCTCTAAATGTACTTTCCCCAAGCAGGATATTGAGTCTGCTTCTAGTTTACATGCAAATGTTCTTTCAAACCCTTACAGGACACTCCAGGACATACCCACCAGAAACGAGTCCTCCTTCTTATGCTCCCTCCAAACCAAACTCCTTCGTCCACTCTACACACTTCACAATCTCGCTCTCTGCAACGGAAGGCTTGACTTTAACCAGGACGTTGAAGAAATCCTCAACCTCAACTGTGGGCTCAAGAAGTTGAGACACCGATACCTTGCGCCAATTCATAGGCGTTGCACCAGGATCATCTTTTTTACATGGGGTCCATTTTTCCTTGCCCTTAACGTTGACTTTGCGCCAGAACTTGGAGGACGAGATCTTTTTGACCGGCTGCATAAGAGCATCTTGGACGGCAATACTGATATCGCTGCCCGAAAGACCAGCCGTTCGTTTGCCGAGCTCCGCGTAGTCCTTCGGTTCAAGTCCGCACGGGATATCACCGACATGTATCTCGAACATGCGAACTCTAGCCTCTTCATCTGGGAGCGGAATATGGATCTTCCGCTGAAACCGGCGGCGCATGGCCGGATCAAGGGCCCAGGGCAGATTTGTGGCTGCAAGAAGCAGAACGCCGGTATTGTCGTTGCCCACTCCATCGATTTGGACCATGAGTTCGGTCTTCATACGAGAAGTGTGCTCGTTTGATCCTGCGCTATCGCGGTTGCCGCAGAGAGCGTCGAGCTCGTCGATGAAGATGATCGAAGGCTTGTGCTCGCGGGCCATTTCAAATAGGGTCCTGACGAGTCTGATCATGTTAGTTTGCGGCTTGGCAAGCCAGGAACCAGACTCACCGCTCGCTCTCCCCATACCACTTAGACATGACATCGCTGCTGCTGATACTAAACAGTGTCGATTCTACCTCGGTCGCAACAGCTTTGGCCAGATAACTCTTCCCCGTTCCAGGCGGTCCGTAGAGCAATATTCCTCGCCTTGGCTTCCGCTTCCCACTGAACATCTTGGGAAACTTGAGTGGGAGTACTACAGCCTCTTGGAGCTCTTCTTTCGCAGCATCCAATCCAGCCACATCATCCCACTGAACATTAGGATTCTCTCTAACAATCGAGCTCTGCAAAGACTCCCTCAACTGCTTCGCATCCGCACTGCGACTGTTTGGTTCGTCCTCCTTCTTTTCAGTGCTGACACCTGGCGGGTTTCTGCTATCTTGGAATTCATTGGGGACCGTTCTTGGTGGCAACAGCGGGGCTGTTATCCTCTTCTTGAAGTTGTGCTTCTTTGAGGACAGATTTAGCCCATCTAGATCTTCGGCCAAATCATCTGAATCGTCCTCGTCAAGCCCAATGGAAAAGGTGCGTTTTATTCCAGGAACTGGCGCCTTCATGTGTCTCACTTGTTCGAGGATTTTTGCTGGAATGGTTTTCGGCATCTCCGCTCCAAGGGCAGCGAATTTCACAACAATCAAAAATGCCAACGTGAATTCATCGAGTGTGAGTTTGCCATCTTTGTTCAGGTCCGCGACGTCCCAAACTTCCTGCAGCTTGATGTATCCTGAGTATCCTCGTGATAAGGCCGGAAGGGATTTCGTCAATTCTTCCATGACCTCTTTGAATTCGTCATTTGTCATGTACGACTTGGAAGTTTGGGCGGTCAATTCCTCCCACAGATCCTCACATGTTGATTCAAACAATGGAGAGATAGCTGTTCCCGGAGCTTCTTCGGGTGTCAATGTGTGGGAGACTGGAAGATTGCCCTCAAGTACTTCGCGAACAAAGAGTGTTTGAAGAATGCCGCTTTCTGGCGTCTTAGAAATCCAACTCGCTTGGGTTCCCCACGGCCGTACCCATTCAAAAAAGTAGTAGTGTTTGGTCAGAGGTGAGAGGCAGGTGCCTTTGGAGAGAATCCACCCTTCCGCATGCATCTCGCTGATCTTCTCAGCGAGTTCATCTGGAATACCCTCCCAGAGCAATCCTCGATTTGCAAATTGGATCAAGATGGTGTCTTCGGCTCCGAACCAAACATTTGTGATGTCGGAATACTGTAGAGCGGACGAGTTTCGGGTAACGATGTGGTTCCTGAGAAGTCGGTGAAAGACGTCTGGAAAGGTACCTTTTAGGGAAAGCCTGACGGTACCATCAGTATAGCGAAGGAACCATGCGCCGCCAGGGGAGAAGGTCAGACTATTTAAATTAGCCTCGGGTCGTTACGGCTAGAAGCAGGGGGCCACGGTCTTGGGAGCTGGAGATACCGAGGATCGGAATAAAGACTCACTGGTCGACAGGCTTGCAGCTCACATCTGCAACCAAGTTTGCATCTCGGGTGTGGTAAACTGGTTTGAATTAGCATAAATCGTGTTGTAATATCGCAAGGGCTTCGTACTTTGGTTGTTGGCGAGACTGAAGAAGAAAATTCCATCAGGCCCAACAGAGCCCCATTGGATGTTATTTCCACTTATAATCCCTTGATCAAAAGCCAATGCGATGGAAGGGGGCATTTGCCTGCTGTTTCGAAATTAGAAATCGTAAATAGAATACAAAGGATCACATGCTATGTTGTGTAAAGATCATTGCCAATTGCCCATGAATCCAGCCACGAATCGTCCAGGGGACCAAACAAGAAGAAAACCATCGTGAATCGGGCCCGGCTGGTGAGGAATAGTCCTGCAGTTGAAGGACTCCGAACCTTAAACAGAAAATGCGAAATCGACCGTGAAGTGCGGTTGCACTACGCGTGACGTGGCAAAAAGGAAGTGAAACAGTGGCTTTTGAGTAGTCCAAACGCGGAAGCAGTGGCTTGAGACATGCAGATAATGGTTTGACATCTTTTTAGCTTCGCTTTTTGAATTTTTACACAGCCCCGTATAAAAAGGGGGAAAGGAGTTTAGAAACGAAGAGGTTGGATTGCATCTGACATTCTGTGTTAGGTTTAGAATTGCCGTATTTAGTACAGACCAATAGTCAGGCAATTAATATGTGCTGCATATAATAATACGGAATATTACTACTTGAATACTAAGTATACGGGACATGGCTTTCACGTGACGTGTCTTCCTTAATTCTCACCACCATATGTCACACTTAAAGGCATAAACAACAAATCAAACTTGCTATACTCGCAAGATAGAGGTTTTATTAACTCCCAATAGCAATCGAGAGGCTCTTGTTGTTATGGAAAAGATTCTTACTAAAAGGAGAGTCAAGACTACATCGAGAAAGTCACGTGTGATTGACGAAACTGTCTTATCGTATACGGATAGTATTCCAATACGGTACTGTACTATAAGTAGTGCGTACTAAATCAAGTAATAGTTTACGGAGTGTGTCCCCCACGTTTTAATATCAACCGCTATAATACGGGCGTATAGTAAACGTGACACTGGTACCATTGAAGCTCGGTTTCTTTACTAAGGTAGACATCAAGGGTGCTTTTATTTAGTACGGCAAGGAATAAAAATGGATTGACAATTTGCACACATAAGATTATCTACCTTTCAGGCACGGGTTTTCCATCAATACCTATAAAGCCTTTTCGCTGCGACGCCCAGTCCCCCGTCCCTCAAAACCCCATTATTCAGCCTCCGATAGTATACCAACAAGCCTAAACACCCAACAGCCACAAACAACAACAGGCCGGCATTCGTCCAGTGTCCAATAGGGTATCCCCCTTTTGCTTGATTGGCTTTGTAGATCCAAACACCGGCTATCTGGCCCGGTGCGCCAAATGATATGTTGAGCGCAATGGCAAGACCGGCGCCGGCTGTTGTGTGCATGTTGGAGGAGATCCAGCCGAGCAGAGAGGGGATGCAGGAGAATGCGCCGGATGCGGCGAGGATGAGGCAGCCGTAGCGGGACTGGATCGTGGTATTTCTGTTAGTACAGTATACGTGCTGTGGTGGGTGGTGGTTGCGTGGAGATGGAAACTTGACTTACGTGATATGAGGTTGCTGGGAGGAGGGCGGAAGCTATGAAGCCAACGGCTCCTATTGTGGCGAATATAGCGGAGTGTAGAGCGCGCGCGTTGAAGTAATCAGCGGACCAGGAAACGAGGATTGTAACGACGTCTTGAACGGTGAGTGATTGATGGTGTATAGAAGAGAGGATGTCATTAACTTACATGCTACAGCGTAAGGAGGGACGGTCATGAGTTGTGCCTGCAAGTTCTCGAAACCAAGGCCAGCGGTGATGCTTGGTGTGAATAACGACAGAGACGAGAATGGGCACGAGATGCCAAAGTAAATCTTCAGTCAATTGTCAATTGGCGATTCTGATGGAAAGAGTACTAAATGCTCACCGCATAATGCGCGTACAGACGATAATCAGTCAAGGTCTCTTTGGCCTCAGCCCAGGTTAGGCTCCTCCCCAGGCCATGAGAACCTTCCTCGCGAAGGCGGTCGACTGCAAGAGCCTTCTCGGACTCAGATAGCCATCCTGCAGTCTCTGGATAATCCGGCAAGATGAAGTATACCAGAATGGAAGACAGACAGCTTGGGATACCTTCAATGATAAAAAGCCACCTCCAAGCTGCTAATCCTGACGCTCCGTCCATGTGGCCGATTGTATAGGCCAACGCACCACCAAACGCGCCAGCGAGCGTGGCCGATGCGAGAATGAATGCAATGCGAATGGATCTTTCATCAGTTCGGTACCAGAAGGTCAGGTAGTAAACTACTCCCGGGAAGAGGCCTGTTGGGAATCATTAGTTTATGAGAGTCTGCAGAAACAATGTCAGGCTTTTGCTCACCGGCCTCGAAAACCCCAAGCAGAAATCGAACGCCACTCAAGGGTCCAAAGCTCTTGACGCCACCAAGTCCAATAGTCAGCGCACCCCAGGAAAACATTAGAAATGAAATCAATTTCGAGGGGCTAAGCTTCTTGAGTAAGTAGTTGGAAGGAACCTCAAAGATCGCATATGCAATCAAGAAGACCATGAGTGCAATCCTGTCATCATTAACTCGAAGTTCCGGTCACACATGAGAGAAACACGCTCGTACGTATATTGATAGCTGGTCATGTGTGTCTCAGAAAGGAGGTCGTGGTGCTTGTTCGAGTTGAGAGTCTTTGCATTCCCGATATTTGAGCAATCCAAGTAGCACAGGAGGTAAATGCCAGCGCATAGCGGCACGATCCGCAAGTCCTGCTTCCATCGGAGAGCTTTCACTTCCGCTGGGTTTCCTGTAGGTTCTCTGCTGGACAGGCTGCTAGTCTTCCGTTCGGTGTAAGCAGTCTGGCTCTTATGCCATTGATACTGGGCACTCACTCCTTTCACGCCTCCTTCCTGTTCAGCATATGCGGGCATAGATGCCTTTTCTTCTGATTCAATGTTTGCAGACATTGAGGGATGTTTGTAGGAGGAAAGATTATGCGGAAACCCGGCGTTCCAAAACGGAGGATGTGGATGATGATGGGGGAAACTATCTGATGCTTGCCACCCCAACTATAAGTAGCATTAACAAGGGAATATGCATGCATACGGCGTGGGCCGTGAAGAGTGAGGCCCACTCTAAGGTTCGGAGGAGGCGTTTGCGGAGTGAGGAGTGGGGTAGGAGAGGTAGCCCCTGAGATGACCGGCCATCGGCGCCGCACGCCGAAACCTTCGCTTGCGAGCCGAGGCGAACGTTAGGGGGAGGGGATACTTCTCGGAAGAAAGATGGGCAGCAAGAAATCAAGAGAGATGTTGAATGATCAAGAACTCTTGGACTACTATAGTAAATGGACATTATCTATCTATTTAGCTCCACAACTCTTCAGCTGAAGAAACCAGTATTGGCATCAATCGGGGCGGTTGCACTATCTCGGTTATTCTGCAGCCGCTTTGCTATCCGCGGATCCACATCCCCAAAATTGTTCCATGCCAGATGCAGCCAGCTTCTCCGCAAACACCCCCACAGTCATACTCGGAACTTTTTCTCTGATCTCAACCCTGTTGCCGGACTTTCTCGCAGTTTCTTTTGTCATGGTCGGCCCTTCCACATCACCCACTCTTGATCACTGCTCCTCAAGCATGACTTCCAGTTGCCAAGCCGGGTGGTCGAAAGCATCACCCTCACCCACAGGCCAACATGCAGGCGTGTGATCGATGCCATGGCCGCAAATCCCGTTGCAACAAGCAGCGCCTGACATACGATCAATGCCAAAAGGCCGAGGCAGGATGCACCTACACCGATCGAAGCAAAGACCCACTCTACCGGCGGTCTCAGATAGAGGCTCTTGAACGGAAATTACGGCAGACAGAGGCCAGGAACGCGGCTCTGTCAAGTGAACTGGCAAGAGCTAGGACAACGACAGCAGCAAGAGCACTTCCCGCCTCGACACCAGAAAACCCTGCCTCCCCCCATACCGCGTCCAAGTCGGCATCGGGCAGCGATGTCATCCACGAAGTATCTTTCCTCGCATCAGCGGTAGCTGGCGACCGTTATTACCTTGGATCCACGAGTGGTGTATTGTTTGCTAGCCTCGTGAGAGCAAGCGTAGATGTCACCTCTGAGCCTCAGCCGAATGGCCCTGGGCTTGTCGGCGGAGTGGGTGATAGATCATCTTCCTCTCATAAACTCTATTCTGCCCAGCTTCCAAAGACTGGCGGGGAATCGCTGCCCCCAGAGTCCCTGGCAAAGAAATTAATTGCTAGCTATCTTGCTCATGACCATTTCTACTATCCTTTCCTTCTTCCCTCCTTCGTTCTCTCTGTCTCTGAGCTTGTTTATCGGGAACCTTCCTTTTACGAAGACAATCTGTTTGACGCATTTGTTTTCGACATGGTATTGGCGATCGCAAACGCCAACGTCTCCAAATACGAATGGCAAATGCTGCCCAGTGCCGAAAGCCATCATTCAAGGGCGATGCTGAGCAGCTCGATCCAGGACACTTCCGCTAGCATGTGGCATCTCGTCGGTATTGCTGTTCACACTACATATGAACTTGGGCTCCACCGCGAATCTGCATATCAGATCAAACCAGAGACCGTACTAGACGACGCCGACCGGAAAAGGCTGGGCGACCAAGAGATTTGGCGGAGATGTTTCTGGTCCGTGTTTGATCTTGACCGGTGAGTCTTCCAATTCATCCACTGCCATCCAACGTCCAACCTAGCGTGGCTTAGAACCAAATATCTAATCCAGGCAGTGTTGTGAGCATCACACTGGATCGGCCGGTAGCCATCAATTCAGATGACTGCGACGTTGAATTCCTGTCACGTGCTGTGCACAGGCGTATATATAGCTTCTTCACCGCCCTTAGGGCACGATTATTCATACATATATTTACACAAACACACCGCATTCCAGTTCCACAGCTTGTCCAGGCCGTGACAATTCCCTTCAGTTGAAAATGAGCACTTTATCAATTCCGGATTCTTTAACGAAGCCGCATCCGATGAGCCGTTCAACAGAACAGCTATATTTGTTCATATCACCAAGTATCGTATATTGTGTGGCAAGATCATGCGGTGCCTTCGTAGCTTGAAAAAGCCAGAACATAACGATAGCAACGCGAAGGTTGTGAGAGACGAACTCGCCGTTAATTAGATCGGTGGCGCCAGACCTCAAAAGACTTGGAGTTGCCAGACATGGACTTGTCTCATGTAATGTCCAAAGAACGTTCCAGTTTTCGATCTAAGGAATGGTATGAATTAGTGTACAACAATGCGGTGCTTATGCTCTTCCGACCATCGCCGATGCTGTCAGATATCTCACGCGACCCGACAAGTCTGCAGAAGCTTTTCACTGCTTCGAAACAGGCCGTGAATCTATACTCGTATCTCTATCGGTCTCGAAAGATCAACTACTCATGGATCACGCTACATTCTGTTTTCATGGCTGGCTTGACATACATATACGCGGTCTCGTGTCATTTTCGTGAGACAAGGCGCTCGCCTCCATCTGGGGCTGTCCTTCCCGAAGATCCGTCTACGATCGAGATCGTGAACGACACCCGTGCCTGTTCTAACGTTTTAGTTGCCGTTTCTGAAAGATGGAACGCGTTGCGGCACTGCCATGAGGTGTTTGATAGGCTCAGTGATGCCGTCATTGAAGACGCTATCAAGTTTCAGTGTTCACCTCGCGCCTTCTACCATTTCGTAGCAGCGAGGCCCTCAACCCCATTACAGCAGCCAAACCAAACTATGTCTAGTCAAGATAGATCCGAAGAGATAGCCAGGGACTTAGCTATGCAGTATTCTACTTGGTGCGGTAATGGTGGGCTTGCCTGGTCTATTAACTTAGATTACTATTCACCTTCGCCACTGGCTGTGGACTCGGAATTTCGGAATAGCTTTGGAGATCTTCAGCAGCTCTACAGTCAGCCATTTAGCGGAGACCCAGTGACGCAGTTATCTCAAGACTGGCTTGGGTATATTGATGCATTTGACGGCATGGCACCGTTACCATCTGGGCCGGAATTCTCAAATACAACGATGCAATAAATTCACCGGCGCACTCTTCATCACCCGAGCCTTCTTTGCCAAATTGCTCATACATGAGAAAAAATCTATGCTGTGACCTTAAACCATGAAATAAAAAGAAACATACATTTTATATCCATCCACGCTCTAAAAACTTCACCGGGACGTCAACCACTCTGCTCCGCAAGAACTCCCCAATCCCTTTCCCCAGGCCATCGACCCGGGAGCTGCTAGCGATGCCACCATCTAGAAAATCGAGTACACGGCTACTTGAAATAAGCTCCTATCCAATGCGCATGGAGTGTCACTTACAAATGAACAGCGAGAATATTGGGGAACTCAACACGCTCAACTCTCCTGCCACTATCCCCCCTTTTCCAGTCGTCTCCGAAAAGATCTTTCAACCGATCCACGGTCAGGAAGTTCTGCAACCAGGTATATTCATCTGCGCGTCGGACGAAGAAGCCAATGTTCGAATTGTTTGCCTTATCCCCGGAGCGAGCATGCACAATGCTACCCAGGGGTGCTCTTCGGGACCCACCAAAACAGCTGGGCGGCATCACGTTGCTCGTTTCATATGATAGTCTGACAATGCAGTATTGTGCAGTCGTGGTTGGTGGAGGGATGTCGGTGACTTTTGATCCAATCACAGCTTGGTGGTTGATGACAAAAAGAGGGATGATAGAAGGGAAGATTTCCATGAAGGGCTTCGGATCCATGGTTCGGAAATTGAGGTTCATGTGGTAGCCTGTTCTGGGTCAATTTCATTCGCATAATTACAATAACCAAGCTCGTATTACCTGGATAGCTTTGCATCCGCAATGCATAAACAATATCTTTGAATTTGGTTGCCGAAACGTCTGCCAGGTTCCGTGCCTGCACAAATACCCTCAGAAAACAAGTGCCCTCCTGTTGAGATTTTGGGTCGGATGCTGGGGCACCATATAGTTCAATTAATAGTTTGCTGAAATTGCTGTCCTTAAACATATATTTCAACTGAGTCTTCATCATCTCGAGCGTATTCTCGATAGAGACCTTTGAGATATCTGCCACAACATCCGGATTCAAGGATAACTCTCCTTGCAATTCGTATAACAGCTGTGCGGTAATATTGTACTTGTTAACGGTCCCAGATGTGCCTTCCGGCTTCGTAATGAAGCACTCGCCATTTGGGAGGATTTCGGCAATGCCAAAGGGCAAGTCTACGAGTTGCGGAAGATAGCCTCTGAAGCCAGAAAAGTTGGCTCCTGTTGCGTAAGGTCCACATTCAATCAGGTCTTCAGGATCGTAAGCTTCTGCTCCTCGCAGGTGGATGGACAAGACAAAAACTCACGGCCTGCAATCAGAGCTCCAGCAAGTTGGTCAAAGGAATCTTCTTTCCATCCGTACCACCACGTGGCAGCTCCTATCACAGCACTTGCATCGGTGACGCGACCGCAGATAATAATATCAGCCCCTGCGTTCAACGCAGCGACGATACCCTAGGCCCCAATGTACGCCACCGCGCTCGTAACGTTATTGGCCAGCACCCACCCACCAAGTGGACATTCCAGTGATCCAGATGCCGAAATTGCTTCTTGATTTCTTCGCGGCCCTTCCCTTTCAACAAATGTGAAATGTCATCACCCACGACGCTGGCAACAACGAGGCCCTCCTGCCCCCTTTCTACACACATCTCCTGCACCTTCTTCTTCAGAGCCTCTGTGTTCAAGGCGCCAGCGTTAGTAATGACTTTTAGTCCCTTTGCGGCCACGTCGTCTACGCAGCTCTCCAGTTGCGTGAGAAAGCCAGCCTCGTACCCTAGATCCGGGTCCGCGGCTTTCGCAATCGCGTTCCAGGCAATGTTCATCTCAGAGAGCCAGTCTCCGGTGATGACATCCACGGCGCCGCCGGCAACCATGCGCGACATGGCTGTCCAGTTGTCGCCCGTGCTGTGGCTTTTGGTAAGGAACTTTAATGGTATTCATTTGATGTGAATGAGGAAATGGAAGAGGGGACTTACGCGCCAGAGACGTTTCCGATTCTTATATTTCGCTTTGAAGGCATTGTGAAATAACATCAACTTCGTCTGTCTAAGGAAGTGCGAGAGAGGGCTATAATTGAAAGAAGCATGAGATTGTCAAAGAGTGAACAAAGACAACCGAGCATAGGAGAGTGGAAAAGTAGGATCTTCGAATCCAAGCGTGGTTGGAATCCGAAGTCTTCAACCAACTGTACTCGCCGATTTGCAATTATAGTAGCATGGAGATGAGTTCTCGCGTGTTGGCCGGCGGCCAGAGACCGAAACTATGTGCTAGCTCGGCAGCTCGTATGGCATGCCGTAGGCCGAGACTATGGCTTAAGGAACTGAGATGAGGGGAAATCTCGCATAGCAGACCTTTGGGCGACAAAGAGCGGCCTCGAAATGTGTGTGGGGGAAACTATTAGTGCTTTTCAAAGTCTTCCTTTGTAGATATTCCCGAGTCGGGGCCAAGCGCCGACGCACGTCCGTTTCGGCCCTCCCGGCCGAAGAGTCAATCGGGCCTGACATACCCGGCATCCATGGGTGAAGCCTTGAGAAAACGCGCATAATTAAGGCTCTCACTTTACCATCGGCATTCACTTCAAGCTTTGAGGGCATAACTACATCTTCGGAGCCGGAGCCCGGTGGTAATTGCTTTGCCGTTGGCTCCCCTTTTTTACTTCGCCTCGCTTACTGATTTTAACCGAGGGGTCAGGGGGCGGACCAACTCGCTGGTCGAAGAACTCACAGTGGTGAAGACCTGGGTGGAGAACATAAGATTATTGTCACCCCTGGCAACGGCCTAAAATCCGATATACCCTGCTGTGTTATCAGTAAACTAGACAGAGCGCTAGTTCTGGGAATTCTAAAGCTTATTTCTCTACTAATATTAGGACCTTAATAGGCTAGGGGCACCCCGTTCGGCGCCTTACGGCGTATAGGGCACAACTGTATACGGGACATATCTGTATATAAAGCATATTTATATTTAAAGTATATTCTTTACTAATACGAGGACCTTAATAGGCTAGGGGCACGGTGTTTGGCGCCTTCGGCGCCTTACAGGAGCGTATATATATCCTTGAGGATATACTTCCTAAGCAATTATAAGTAAGGGACAGAGGGACGTATATGTTGCCTACCTTTTATATATATACCGGGGGCTAAAGAATAGCCGAAAAAGAAAGCCTTATTTTATGATAAAATTATAAAAATTAGCTTGCGAAGTGCGGGGGAAGGGGGCTAGAAGGGAATTCAATTCTTAATTATATAAGTACCCGTTCTAGGGTTTACCCAGAGAGGGTGCTTATGTATTCTAATCAGACTTGGCCTCCTGTCATTTCCCCTTTGGGCGTACACCCATGTTTTAGGAATGCTACGCGAGCAAAACAGGGATGTTGCAGGGATTGGCAGGGGCATACTGTTTTTGTATCTATTCTGACATACCTTCTTCCACCCGCCGCATTAAGCTGGCCAATTAATTAATGTAATGAACCTTACGGGCTCCATAGCCTGCAGCAAGAGTAGATCTAGCGATATTTATAGGGCCTGTGCGCTATATTTTGGCCAGGGAAAGCCTATAAGGCCCCATAGGTAGAGTGCTTCCCTTGCTGCCGGGCAACGGCCCTGGTTAGTTACAAGACTTATAGCCTTGACCTCCATAGCTATTTCTGATTCTCAAAATCTATAGAACTTTAATAAAAACCTCATTAAAAGTATATTTAATTTGTGAAAATAAAATATATGAGTAATGCATGGAAGTATATAAGTCTATAGCATAGATCGCGATACCCTCGCTAAAAAGTGGTAGCGTTGAGGGTATTCAGGTTACTTTAGGGGGCGACAGCGACAGCGATAGCAGCGTTAATGGCGATGTCAATGGGCTATGTGATTCCCATTAACTAATTGGCCAGCTTAATGCGGCGGGTGGAAAGGGCATATCAGATTTACTGATAACACGGCGGGGTATATCAGATTTTAGGCCCCTGGCAACACGCGAAGAGAATGCGGGGCACCCGGCTGTTTGGCGATTTGATATCTTAGTTTATTTGACCCTAGTATCGTTATGGGGCTGGGAATAGCCAGAGCAACACCCACAAGCAAGAGGTAGTTTATTTGAAGAATCTACAGTATCATTCTGTCTCAATGACTTGTAGCAAAAGCCTCGTGACCCATCGCTTCAGCTTCTCAGAGACGTGCACCGAAGACCGAAGTTTTTTCAGACACCACGCAAGTTGCAAGATTTCTGAATAATACGAAAGAATGCCAGCCACCAAATGGTTCGAATGATATCCAAAGGTGATTGAACGGACGACATCTTCCTCGAGGACATCGATCCTCAAGACGCCAATCTATGAGCAATGTTGAACGATATTCTCCCGCTTTGTTGAAATTAGGGGCCTGAGGCCCCTAATAGGCTTAGTAAGCCCTGGAACCGAACGCCATGGGGCTGTGCACTAGCTTAATACCCTGTCCAGCTGGAATACCCTGTATAGCTGGAATACCCTGTACGGCTGGAATACCCTGTACAGCTGGAATACCCTGTATGGCTGGAATACCCTGTATAGCTGGAATACCCTGTATGGCTGGAATACCCTGTATAGCTGTAATCGGTTCAGCTGGCATAGGGATTTAGTACATGTGACTTAGGGGGTTCAGGGCTATATATACGGGCTACTTACCACTGTAGAACAGCAGTCAATTCAGTATCGTTTACTTGGTTTACATTGCAAGCACGTGACCCTAGCTATATTGCCTTAGCTAGTTCAACACGCTTGGGGCTTAAAGTCGTTGGCATTTTGTATCCCTGAGCGCTCATCCATACGAGATTTGGAAGTCCTTTATCAGAAATACAAATACGGGAATATCGTTGTCCTAGGATTGATATACAATGATGATGGAAGTTCTATAATGATATTTATACCTCTCCAAGCAAGCCTCCTAAAGTGGGGCACTGCAATTCAGGGGTAGATCTTCCGTAAGCGAGAGATAAGATAGCATAAACTCTTGGCAGCCACAACCTCGGGCTAGTCTTCCTCCCCTTCACATCCCAGCCCCTTCCTTCCATCATTGATATTCTGGCCAGACGAACCACAACTATGGGTGTCAAAGTGCGTCTGGCAGTGGTCTCGACAGCCGGCGCGCGTGGGAAGCTAGGCTCAGTGAAGGTCGTCTTCACAAGAGTGGGGTTGACGTTGATTCTCCTCGTTATTTTTCTATGGTGGAGAGAATTGGGCTTTGAGAAAGCTCCGTCGCGATCGTGGTTTGAAAAGAATTCAATTGGAGGCATGAAGGGGTGGATATGGGGCGAGGTGAGCTCTTTCCTTTATCCTCACCTTTGGCTTGAAGTCGCACCTCTTAACAAAGGCGAACTCTGATATCGAGACAGATCAAGCCCTCAGAAGACCTCATATGGTACCCATGCTACAATGAATACGATTGCGCTCGGCTGGAGGTATGACCTTCTCAGTCCCCCAACTTCAGCGGTCCATCTACTGAAGTGACAGGTACCGCTCGACTGGCTCGACCCCTCTCCCCCGAACATGGTCACCATTGCTATAATCCGCTACAACGCAACCGAGAGAACCAACTACAAGGGACCGATTTTCGTCAATCCAGGTGGGCCAGGTGGTTCCGGTATCTGGTTTGTCAAACATCTGGCACCTTACTATCAGTCTGTCGTGGGAAGGAATCACGTGAGCATCTGTCCCATCCTCTCCATCCCGTTCTCTCTTCTTGCAACGATATTGAGGAGAGGTGAATAGGACATTATCTCTTTCGATCCCCGCGGTATCGGAGCAACTGTTCCACCAATATCTTGCTGGAATTTATCGTCTTCAACCAGCATCTCTTCGCTCCTCTGGGATATCCAAGCACCGCCGGTTCTTGATGCTCATGCGGGCGTCCTCTACGATGCATACGCCCACGCATCAGCGTTCTCACAGCAATGCGCTTCCATCATCGGTTCAGATGAACATATGATAGGCAGATTCGTAAGCACAGCGAGTGTAGCGAGGGATATGCTACATATCATTGAGAAACTTGGAGAGGAGAAATTGAAATACTGGGGTTTCAGCTATGGGACGTTCTTGGGCGTTACGTTTGCGAGTCTCTGGCCTCAGAAAGTGGGGCGGATGGTGCTTGACGGTATACATTTCTCTACTCTCACAAACCTTGCGGATACAATATTGACGAACGAACAGGCAACGTGGACGCCGAACAATACTCCTCCGGCGAAGGAACTCATTTCTTAACAGACACTGATGCCGTAATGAATTCCTTCTTCACCTACTGTCACGCTGCCGGGCCCACTCTCTGTGCTCTCTACGCTTCTTCCCCCTCCACCATCGAGGTCCGACTCGCGACTCTCCTCGCAACCCTCAAAAACTCCCCAGTCATTGTGCCAGCCTCATCGCCAAACAGCAGACCCGAGATCATTACTTTTAGCAGAGTACGGAAGCTGATATCTAGCGCTCTCTACCGTCCCCTCGTCGTCTTCCCCGCCTTAGCGTCAGCTCTCGCCGCCCTCGAATCTGGAGACGGGAAGCCATTCCTCTCAATCTCCCCACAATTCCAAGATCAACTCCCACTTTGCGACTCTACTTCCTCTCTTGATCCCGCCCCAGAAATGCCAGAAGTAGAAAGCTCAGCAGACGCCTCCGTCGCAATCCTTTGCTCCGACCAAGCGCCGTTCACCGGCGGCGTTTCCGCCTTCTCCAGCTATCTTGAACAATGCTCGAATGCGTCGAAAAGTGCAGGTGCGACGATGGCGAGCATGAGGCTTGGGTGTGTTGAGTGGGGTGTTCGTGCAAAGTGGCGATTTGATGGACCCTTTGGGACGGATGCCGAGACGAAGATATTGTTTGTGGGCAATAGAGCAGATAACATCACGCCGTTGAAGAGCGCGTACATCAACGCGGCGAGGTTTCCTGGGAGTGTGGTGTTGGAGCAGAATTCGTACGGACACACGAGTTTAAGCATGCCGAGTAGGTGTACCGCGAAGACGATTCGGGAGTATTTTCAGGAGGGAGCGATGCCGGAGGAGGGAAAGGTGTGTGAGGGAGATTTGATACCTTTCCAACCTTGGAACAACACTTCTGCTACGGCGGTCGCGGAAGATGATGAACATGCAGAGCTTGATGAGGCTTTGATGGGATTGATGAAGTTTCCTCCTCCCTTCGGCACATGAGAGAGATGAGATATACTGGCTAGGAATGGAATTATGAACAATCTAATTTTCTCTGGCTACCGCTGTCCCACAAATACATACATGCGGCTAGACTTTTTGATGCAGGCACTCGTACAACTTTTCCAATGCACCGATGCGCCAAGATGATATGCAGATGTAGACTCCTTACGCCATCCTTGCTATGCATACCGAGAAGTAAAAGACTCATAAAACGAAGACATCCCTTCTCTCCCGGCTCACTTGAACCCAGAAACTAAACCTCCACACCTGCCATGGATGTTACCGGCTCTCAAAAGAGAAAGCCTAAAACAGCCAAAGCAGCTCAACAACTCTATCGATCCCCACACTATGCCCCTCCACAAGCTTCGCCCTCTCCACGTAAACCTGCCTAACACCCACACCCTCCACAACATTCGCCTCAACCAGCAACAAGCTCCTCTTAACCCCCTCTTTAACAGGCTCCCTCAACGGCCCGATTTTATGCACATACCTCCACAGCTCTCCATCCCATGTCTTCTCCACCTTTCCCAACTCTACGCCTTCCCTCTCAATACCACCAGGATACTCGTTAATACTATACCCATTGCTCAACACGGTATCGTCATCAAACTGCCATCTCTGCAGGACACATTCATCTCCACACGCCTTGCTGACATTCGCCACCATCGGCACATTAACACTGAACCAGGACTTCCAATGGTGAATCGTGAGCAATCTTCTCCCGGACTCAAAATAACCAGATGGGTCGCCGTTGATGTCCATTTGATGGAGCTCCATAATCATTCAAGCAGTCGTTGACGATCTGATCACCTTGGTTCTTCGTGGAAGCCATGCATCGTTCCCAGACTTTCTCTTCCGTGAGCCGCTTGGCGAGCGGGACGGAGACGAAGATCCCGCCGCCGCCGAAGGGGAGAAGGCCGAAGGCGTGGATCTGCCCAATATTATCGGACATGGCGGCGACCATGCGCTCATTTTCAGGATTGTATAGCTTTTTGAAGTGTTGCACGAGATAAGGCAGAGAAGGGACAAAGGTATCGTCATCGAACATAGCAAGCCATTTCGTATTCGGCGTTCTCGTCTCATACAGTTTCTTCAAGATCGAGAAGTAGGCTTTAGGGGAGGGAGCAGCGGCAGCAGTGATTGTTAGATTGATGCCCATGGCGCGGATCTCCCGCTCGAGAGGAAGGTCGTCGTCGTGTGGGGGAGCCATCACGTGTAGCCGGCATCCGGAATTGGGCAGCCCTACAATCAAATCAGTGAGATATTTCATTGGGGAAGAGAGAGTGAGGAACGAGCCGGATGCGTGAAACATCTTCCCGACCAGTGAGGTGAGGAGCTCGGGATATAGGACAAAGAAATAGGTTGGTTACAGTGGGCGATTTGGGGGATTGCGTCGTGGAGCCGAGGGATCTTCGTCGACATGCCAAAAGAGAAGGTGCTCATGTCTACCTTCGGGGAGTTCGGGACTTCTAACTCAAGGATATCCGGGGAATCGATGGCGACGGTCGTCAGGTTGGCTTTATCGAGCATGTGAGGAGCTCCGAAGAGGGTTTCATTGACGCGAGTCAAGGACGGTCTACCCCCTGCGTAGTACTTCGTCTTGATTGTGCGTCGCGCGTAGGTGAACTGGTCTGAGCCAACATGTCTGGTCAGATGAGAGAGATCCAGTGTCTGGATGTGTGTCTGCGGAGACACCATGTCGAGGAACTTCTTTGCGTAGGGAACGGCCACTGTCCCAAGCTTCCTTTCATTGGGCACGAGAGCAAAGTATATCCAGCTGAGAACAAGAATGCCGGCTGCTGCGACCTCGATCAGGGTCTTCCTGCTGCGTCTGTGAGCCGGCATGATGGCCACCATTGCTTTCGAATGGCCGGAAACCACTATATGGCCGAATCGCTCGACTTCGAAGGTGCAATGCTCCTCTGGAGAGAGTTTGAAAATGGGCATTGGGGGGGTTCGAGGGCTGTGCGAAATATATGTGCGAGCTAACGCATCATTGGCTGGAATGATGCTAGGAGCCAAAGTTCAAAGAGAATCGCTTCGTTTGACAAGCCGCCATCTCCGAACGGTCCCAAATGCCGAAACTTTAGACAGAAAACTGGACAACAAGAACTGGGCAGAAGGTTCAATGATCTTCATTTCGCTTGAAATGCTTTGCAGGAAACATAGAAGTGTGCACACGGTACGCGTGTATTGATCAGCATGAACACCCTTCGCAGATGTCGTCCATACATACGTAAAAAAAGCCACCTAGAGATCTGATGACAGCGGCTGGAAGACTAATGTGGTCACTGTGCCGACCCAGATATATTATGTTGGGTAGATCTGGATGGGCCCGGTCGTAGTCTGATAGGTGTTGGACGGATGATGGTGCGGGAAAAAAAGGTGGTGGGGTTAAGGTTACTGCCCTAGGCTGAGGATTTCGCTGCACGCGTAGATCTCAGCACAGCCACTAAGTCCCACATCTTCTACGAGAGAAACAGGCACCGACTACATTCTGCGATGTTTCGTGCTCTAGATGGACATGGGGCCAGATTCTAGAGAAGGATTACCTCTACTACGCAAAGCCTCGGGGGCCTAGAAAGAAAGAAAACCCTCTGAAGGACTCCAATATCAATAGTATTGATTATCTCAAAAAAAATATCCAACTCCGGACACGCCAAAGTAACTTCATACACCTCATTGATCAGCACATGGAGGGCCTGGGTTCCCATTTCCGCGCTCAAGAGCCACCGCACCATTACCTTGGAAATACTGATAAGAAAGAATGTAGGAAAGGTAAGAGGAAATCTAGTAAGGGAAAAAAGAAACAATACCGCTGCCTCTGGACAACAGCAAAATATATCAGCCTGGCCGACAAGCTCAAGAAGAGAAGTCTCAATGACGCCTCCTACCACTTCCATCGGCAACCGCCGGTGTTCCCCTCGTCGGCTCCTTGCTCTTCGGCCGACTCTTCCTCCCTCTGTCTTCACTGCTAAGCTCTCTTGTCCTCTCCTTCCCCGCAGCCGACTTACTCGATCCGTCACCATTTCCATTCCATTGCGCATCCCGATGCTCCTTCGACGCCGCTTCTTGCCTCTCGTCCACTCTCCCATGCGTCATCGAAGGACTCTCTGACAATCGTCCAGAAGAATCAGGCGTCAGGTACCCATGTTGTTGTTGAGGTTGTTGGAAGGTCTCGGCCGGCTCGACACCTTCTTTTGCCAGTGTGACTCGCAGCTCGCGTCCTTGAAACTTGCGTCCGTCGATGGATTCGACGACTTTCTTGGCGATGCGATGGGTTTCGAAGATGACGAATGCATGGCCTTTCAACCTTCCGTCCGAGTGCCGTGCGAGGTCTACGTGCTGGATTGCAGTGCTGTAGGGACGACTGGAGCGTGAGGATGAGGATCGAGAAGAGAACTGATCGATTAGGGAGATCAAGGCCGCTTCGCTTGTATCACGAGGGAGTCCTTTGATTATGACCTTTCGTGCTTCAGTTTGCACTACAGGACCGTTGACAGTACTTGTGGTTGCTTGTTGAATGCTCTTCATTGTAGATGGTGGGGACATGACGCTGTTGTTGAAGGCCATCGGGAAACAGGCATACACTGGCTGGCGTTGCGGGATATATATTGGAGTAGCTGGAGCCATGTTGCCGGCATATACGATGGTAGGCTGAGGGGCTGCACTGAAGTACTCCACAGGTTGGTTGACAGCAAAGGCGTTTTGGGGAGCTTCGTAGATTGGGGAAGGTGGCTGATAGTAGCCACCAGTGGAGTAGACTGGAGATACCGGAGAGTAGTTACTCTGCGGTTGCTGGTTCCACTGCATTAAGTCAGAAAAGAATTGCTGCGAGCTGCCTCAACTTGCCTCGGAATAAGTTTCCTGTGGGGAAAATGGTTGCATCAACGGTCCTGTGTACTGCTGATACCCAGAGGATGTGGAATAGTCCGTGGCGGTGCTGTCACTACGACCTCGTTGTGAGGGCGATGCCGTCACTCCGAGATCAGCAAGCATAACAGGCTCAGTCTCATTACGGCCATCCGCAATCAAGGCCCTATGTTCAAGCTCGCCGCCATTGAGATGGGCTTCCAAATCAGCAAGAATCCCCACGACACGCGAAGACATACCTAGAGCTCTAAAGAAGTTTTCCTTCCCTTTTACCCTTACCCAGCCATTTGTCTGGTTCTGTGGGTAGATCATAGCATGATCGATCTCAATGTAGGACCCATCTGGTTGTTGATTCCTGGCAAAGTCTTTCAACTTTTGCCACGAGAGATTCCAAGGCAGTCCTGCAACAATGATGTAATAGTCTCCAGTCTCATCTCCAGCAGGGACAAGAGGCATGTTGTAGTCTGTTTGTATTGGTTCGGGTCTGATTCGAGAGACAAGGATCCGGATTTGGTAATTTAGGAGTAAGGGATGATCTTCGAACCAAGGTTTCCAAGAACTACTTATGGACTCGACTTTGAGTACTTGAGAAGACGCCACCAGTTCTCCGGGGCTTCCCTCCGTGAAAATTGCAGTCCAAAATCCTGTATTCTGCAATTATGTCTAGATGGGGATGGCCAAAACCTGATGGAATCGGATGTTAATGGGCCAGAAAACGCAAGGCGGGTTCTCCAACAATGGCGGAAGAAGAGAGATATGACAGAACCAAAACGTGAAATTTATTTCTTGATGCCCCCTGTTGTGTAACGGCATAACAACAGGTGGTTCCACCATTCTTCTTCAACCTTCCCTCGATTGGAAGGATGGAGTTCTTTCGGCGTGTTGGTGGCGAGCCCAGGGTTTCAACCCCTCAGCTGGCTGGTTGTGGGTCTATTAGAGGATCTCGGTGATTGGAGGCCATATGTTCAAACCCAAGGAGCATCCACGAGTGGCAATGAGACCGCAACAGTCGCAACAATCCCATAATAGACAGCTTGAGCACCGCGAGTTACACAAAAGGTCCCTGCGGCGCCTAGACTAATTTTTTTACTTCTCGGCGTGGTTCACCCCCACGCAACTCCACCAAATCCCCAAAATCTCCACATGGCTCGCTCCCCAGAAAGCATGGGCTGGAGCATCAAGACGGGGTGAGGAGTCACGGCAAAGCCACCGTCGCCCCGGTTTTCGGTGTCTCGGCCGCCAATGTCGAGACAGAAGCGGGTGTCAGATGCTAGCGTCGATCTTAGGGGGGGCCGTATACCAACCGGAACTGATTTGAATGAGTTCCGGGCTGTCATGGAGCAGCTAAATCGTCAATAAGAAAGCGCAATGCAGGCCGCGACATTGGAAGCAAAGAGAGCCCTCGGCCACTGGCTGTGCTAATATGCAGGCGTATCTGAAAAGGGATGAGGGATAAAGGGCGCAAAGTGACCTGTAGCAGGGATCGCAGCAACGGCCCTTCTGGAACGGGACGTTGCGATTCGCGAGGAGTCAAGATGGCTCATGAAAGGAGGATTCGAAAGGTGCACAGGGACGAAAGTTGGAAGGGCGAGAGAATGTTGGACAGGAGAACATTGCTTTTTTATCACACGCCACTGACCTCGGGTACAAACCACCATGCAACTAATCCCTACACCGCGCACCCCCGACCCCCTTTCCAGATCTCATCCTACACAGGATTTCGAGTTACATTGCATCGGTGAAAAGCTGGAGTCTTGCAGAACAGCTGCAGGTTCAATGGCGGACACGCATTTCCCCATTAGATCTCCGGAGTGCGTCTCACCGAGCACGTTCACCGTTTTGCCTCTTCTGCAGCTATAGACACGGTCCAGACCCGGCTCTCTCAAAATTCGGCCTGTTTGTCTGTCGATTATTAACAGTGTCTTGGCCCATGTCGACGTGTCGACCCATTCTCTTAACACCTTTTTTTTGGCTCTTAAGACCTCTCTTACCACCGCTATGCAGCTCAGTCTAAGGGTCTGCTTGCTGATCTATGTGCCTGCTCAGAGTTGCGGTGTGATGATCTTTGCATCGAACCCTGGCTTAATTCAACCGTTCAATGTATCGAGGCGCATTTTCCATGTGCTTTTTCGGAAGTTTGCGTGTTGGGGCTTTTTCCCGGGACCACAGAACAAGGGTCTGCATATGCTGGGAACCCGAGTACCGGGAACAGATGCGCCGAGTTGCAGTGGCTGCAAAGCTGGTCGCTCATCCAAGTTGCATGCAATTAGTCATGATTTTGGGGCTTTCTCCCGAGTCCGAAGATCGATCTTGGGTGTGTCGAAGACGCAGTCTATCAAAATCCGTGCAAGATTTCCGTCCTTGCATAGCATGCTGTTGAGTAGTACCCTTTGGGAATTCAGAAGAAATCCCGGGTGTTGATTGTGGAACCTTCGCTTCTAAGATTCCCCAATGGTTTGCCGAGAAATTCCAACAATGAAAAAGAAAACGGGAACTGCATCAAAGATCATCAACTTTGTCTCCTCTTTCTGCTTGCCACGTGGACCAGAAACGGGTCAAGCGGCACAAGAAGTAGGCAGGAACCTAGAAAAGATCCAGAATTTGCTTATTTGGTAGCTCTCTACGTTTCACGTGAAATTTAGCGTGCTAAAGTCCAGCCCTCAGAGATCCCAGGTACTTCCTCTCAGATTTCATTTCCACCAGGCGTTCTGTCAAGCAATCAGGCAAACTCTATTCTATTATTATGCTTTCCGTGCATCGCACGCCAGTTGAAGTTCCTTGTTCGGGATAAGGCAGCCATAGGACCGATTCTTCATTAACGGACTGCGGTGTTTTGAGAGAAAACCCACAGAACTCAAGCTAAAATTCTATCAAAATTATGATCTGGAATTTGGCTAAGAGGAAAACATTAGATCACTCATCTTTTGTGTCTTTCCGTCAGGTTTGAGGAATTCTTTCACCACGTGGGGCAGTTTCCTGTTCCTGCTGCAGATCGTCCGAATACCCTTCAAGGGAGCACACCGACACCGGTTTTGTGAGGAAAATTGCATTAACAAGGCTCTACTTTTTCTGCGGGCTGCGGATCGGTCCGAACCACTTCTACCTAGAGAAGGGGCTTCGTTCTCTTTGCTTCTAGATCCCACTGCGTGCAATTGAAAGGCGGGGGAAATGTTGAATTGGTACTAGCTTACTAGTCCTTCCAGTACCAGGTTCAATTACTAATATTAGCTTCGCCACTCTCATTTATAATGGTTTACTATGGAAGCCTATGGAATAGCTCACTATGGAAGCTCAGGGAACGCTCACTAATATATATGAGTCATCTGATTTATAATATACTGGAGGAAATCGCCACCCACTAGTGGGTATATAAGAACTATACTTTAGATTCCCTCCTCTCCTTTTTTACTCTTTACTCTCCTGTATCTAGTCATTTTACAGATTATCAACCTCCAATATATCGATTTTCCATCAATAAATCGATCACTTTCCAATAGGAAAACTTGAAGGACTGGGAAGTTTCTGAGTCATCTGAGGGTATATTTGATACCTACTGAGCCAACAGGTCCATCATCCAACATCTCGTTCACTAGGGTTTCTCATGCCCATGTTATGGTAGTGCATCCATGTTATGTCAGCCCTTTTGCCCACATGCAAGGCAATTCCCCTTAACCAAACGAAGAGGGGCACAGCAAGTAAAGTTTAGCTCAAATTGTGTAATAAGCAACAAAACATGGTTGAGTTCATTTATTTTTATCCTCAGATAAGTCATTGCAAAGGTTATTCGTAGCCATATCTTCGTGGACTCGTAAGCACTCTCTATCTAGCAAGCTAGACAGTGGGCTAATACTGGGCAGTTTGCTTACTGGGAGTTGCATTCACGTGCACTGTAGCTAGTTTATAGGGAGCTATACTCACGTGCACGAGCAGGCTAAAATATGCGGCTTTAGCACGCAATTCCTATACCTGGCTTTATATCACGTGGAAATTAAGAAATAAGGATATACTTCTTAAGTAGTCGTAAGGGTAAGAGAGAGACATGCTTCTTACTCAGCTTATATATACGCGCTAGTAACTAAAAAAATAACTATACAAAAAAAAGTAAAAAAATAGAATGCGTTCTCTTATAATTTAAATTATAAAACCGCCCTATTAGTATTATAAAAGCTTAGGAGGGCTAAAACAATTATCTCTCTATAAAAGTATTATTCTATAGCTATCCTAGAAGGGTATTAGCATATATATATATAATGGAGGTAATCTCAAGTCGCATATAAAATTACAACTTTAGGCGAGCAATCTTGGTTTGTATCACGTGCTGCACACAGGCATATACACAGGCATATATATAGCTTCTTTACTGCCTTTAGGGCACCATTATTCATTACAAACATACCAATATACACCACATTCCACTTCCACAACTTGTCCAGGCCGTAACAGTTTGGAATACTACTCGAGCTGAACAAGGGGTCAATAGGGCACACCCTTTTGAATCCATCATGCAGCGAATCAGAAAAGGAGTGTGCCTGAGGTGGACGTGGTGGTGTCAGCACCGCATCTTCAATTCTGGGGAGTTTTCCTGCTGACCTGGTCACCCAATCAATGACAAGTATTCAACGCTACTTCGTATGTCCTGCCTATGGGAAGCAACGTAACCACAACGGGTCGAAACCGGAGCAGTTACAGCGGAAACGTACCCAAGAAAGCCCAGAGCGCCGAAAAGGCAGCTTCCATGCAACTTTGCATCACTTTGCATCTTTGCTTACTCCTCAAATCCAGTTGGGTATATAAAGACAGACGCTGTCGATTCAGTGGCGACCATCCAAGAATCGAGTCAGGCTTCAACCTGAAATCCGAAATGGCAGACATCTATCCTCGACCATCGACTCTCACTCGTCACAATGGCACATATCACTTTATCTCTCCCTCGAATTTCACCGGTAAACTAAAAAGAAAAATTGCCTTAATCACAGGTGCAGGTCGTGGAATTGGTAGAGGTTAGCAAGTCGCTCCTCTTGATCATTAATTTTTGACAAGAGCTCTAGCAACTAGTCTCGCCTTAGCCGCAGCAGGCACCTCAATAGCATGTCCTCTCACTTACGGCTTCCGAACTTGAGACTCTAGGAGCAGAAATCAAGCAGAAATCAACAGACTTCTAACATGCCTACACTCTTTCTCGTGCGCGATGTGCTCTCAGATCCTGTCCAAATAATCTCAGATGTTGAGAAAAGGCTTGGTCCAATTGACATCCTTGTCAACAACGCAGGTATAAGTCGCCTTGGACCTCTATATCTCGAGAAGAACATCGATATCTGGTGGCATGTCCAAGAAGTCAACGTCAAAGCCCCCATGGCGTTGATCCATGCCTGCCTTCCGAGCATGATGAAGCGAGGTTCAGGCAAAATCATCACGCTTGGGAGTGCCGCAGCGGATAACAGCTTTCCTTTTGGCTCAGCATACGGCGCATCGAAAGCTGCGCTGCAGAAAGCGCATCAGTGTTTGGATATTGAGATGCGTGGCAAAGGAATTGCTTTCTATTGTATTCATCCCGGCGAGACGTCAACAACCACAATGGGGCAAGGCGATGGTGTAAATATGGAAGCTACGGCTCTCCCGGAAGTTCAGCGCGTCGTAATGAACTTTGCCAAAACCGCGTTGACGGATACGCTTGCGTTGGCGGCGGACTCGATTGTTTTCCTTGCCGCAGATGAGAGGATGGAGGTGTTTTCGGGGAGGTATTTGGATTACTGTCAGGACATGGAGGAGCTTTTACAGAACAAGGATAAGATCTTGAGTGAGCAGTTGAATATGTTGAGTATCAAACGCTTGTGACGGGCTCGAGGGGGGGCTAAGAATTGACTGAAGCAAAGGCTTCAGAAAGGGTGAGACACAGCACTTCAAGAGGCAAAGAAATGATAATAAGAGCTTGAAACCCAATTCTATATTGATTCTGATCTCTTTCTAAGCATGTCCAAGCGTACCTGAACGTACTTGAATGCGTTCAAAGAATAGCGCTCGAGAGTTTATGAAGTAATCGGATCCAGCCCCTTTTCCTCGCTTAATATTTCCATCGTCGACAAGTCTGCTCAACTTTTGCCTTGCTTACCCGAAGTCCAATGAGTCCAAGCTTGGTATTCCAGAGCTATATGTTGTGCTTTCTTTCGACGCCTGCTATTTAAAATTACGTTGTCGAAATTTAGATCGCTTGGCATGATCCAAAATTTTATGAACCAAGAACCAATTAACAGCAAGATTGTTTATTGGAAATTTACTAAATTCATAATTACGAACGAACTTGTACAATCCGCCTTGAGCCGTACAATCAAAAATAAAAAGTTCCTCTTGCTTGCTTTTGCTCTTCAACTCCGACACCGTTCACCAACAACAATCTGACGAACAACCATGTCATCCACCACCTCTTCCTCGAGGGAAACGAAGTACAAACTCCCAGACTACTCCGAACTCACACTCCAAGAGCTATTAACAGCCTGTCAACAGCGCCGCCTAGGCAACGTCGGACACAAGCACGAACTCATCCGACGCCTGGTCAACGACGACCTTGACGCTATGCAACGACACCTACTCAACAAGGAGTGGAATCCGACTTGCCCGCCGTTTTTGGCGGAGGCGGCGGAGATTCGGGAGGCCTATAGGAATGGTGCATATCAATTCTATGTCACCAAGGTGGAGTATTTGCGAGAGAGGATGAGGGAGAAGAAAGGGTGTTGACCGGGGGGGCGGGGGGTCAGGTAGACTTTCCATAGGACTGACGCGAAGCGGAGCTAACGACTAAGACCAGATCCCTCCTTAAACAACGGCGATTTTTAGCAGCGATTGATGACCACCAGAATGGGTCTTCAGAAAGGGGGTGTCCTCTTGGTTAGGTCAACATCAGTCCAAGGGACCCATATAGCATTCAACGCCTTCCCATTTTTGTGACACCTTAACTCGCGTCGCCATAATACTCCAACAGCTGCGCCAAAGGCTTCTCCTCCGGGAGTGCCTCAGCCGAGTATGTTGCATGTGGTCTGTCGCTCCAAAACTTCTCGCGTTCCCTCAGCACTTCATTTGCCCACTCCTTCACTTCGGGCAGTACAATTCTGCTCGCAACCCAGCTGAATCCCCCCAGATCCAACTGGTGCTTGTGAACACGCTCGTACTCCACCATCTGTAGAACTAACTCAATCTTATCAACATCATTCACGAACTTGCTCTCCAGAGTTTCGCCGTCCTCGAATTCGTGCCAAATATCATTGATTTCCTTGCCCGTGATCCCGCCGTTAACGTTTCCGAGCAAGCTGCTCGTAAAGTAATCCATAGTTATTTCTTCCCGTCGCTTCTTTTCAGTCTTTGGGACTTCGTCCATGGGCGTAATATCTCCAACAAGTGCCTCAGCCAAGTCGTGTATCAGTGCCATCTTTACGCAGCGTGGGACATTGATCTTCGAGGATAGAGAGGAGGGTGCAAACATAGTAATGAGCGCCATGCGATGCATATGGTCGGAGATCGACTCGCAGCTGCGAAGTTGTTAGTTCTGAAGATAGTAGAAGATTTGGAAGGACGTACTGAGGAATGCCAGATCGCCGCCAGCCTTCGCGTTTGGTTGTCTTGAGGCGCTCAAGCATGTGGAAGAAGGGGACGGGCGAGGAAGAATCTGCGACTGGGGTACCTCCTGGGAGCTTTGCTACAGCTCCTTCAACGGTCCACGGTGCTTTTACGCTGGAGGACGTGAGGTTACCTGGTTCTAGGTGAGCACATTCAAGTTGATGTAAACTGGCGGAGGTCTCCAAGAATGAGGGGCTACACCACTTACCACTGTTGCCGCTCTCCCTATCTGTAGTCATCTTGACGCCGGCCCAGACGTCAATACCGGATGGTCTTCAGTTTACGCAAGGTCTTTTGGGGGGAGGGGAGGGTATCGTCCAGTCCTTGTACAGCCTCAGGCTACAGCGATTGCGAGGCTGCCTTTCCATCCTAATTTTGGGGAAAAGTAAAACGACCACTGCCCCTCCGGGTGTCGATCAGGGGTGTCGATTGGGGGCCACTAACACAAAGGAGGCGCTCGGACAGGAACACCAAAAATCTAGCTTTCTCTCTAATTTAATTTAATTTTATAAGGAATTAATAGAATTTAATATTTTCCTCATTTCCTTATAGCACGAATTGAGTGCTATTTAAAAATAAACTTTTGAATAAATTTTGAATTAGTAATAGTTCTTTAAATTAAAGAAGTTAAAAAGTAAATTTTTGGAGCCTAAAACAAGCTAAAGAAAGCCTAGAAATTTAGTAAACAAGCTCCCTAAAACCGAACATAAGAGCCCTATAAGCCCCTAATTTATGGGGCCTTATATTAGGCCTAAAAACTAGAACTTAATTAATTAGTATATAAAGTTATTTAAAATAAAATTCTATTTTAAGAAATTGTTTTATTATAAGTTAAGAAGCGTATAATTATATTATAAGCCTTAGCCTTATAATAAACTAGCTTATACTTATATTTAAAAATCTTACTTAAGGTCCCAAACACCCCAGTCCCCAATCGATACCCCAATCGACACCCGCTGGGGTTGGGGTGGGGGTGGCATTTTACATATTCCCGGTGTGTCGCTAATAGAATACACTAGAAAGGGGTAGGTACGAAGATCACGGCATAAAGTATCGGGAATACAGGGCATTATTTTATGAAGGCCACTAAATGCCCTGTAAGGTCTTACTTTAATCTCCCTGTAGCTAGTCCTAGTTCCCTGTAAGCCCTGTAAGGGTCCCCTGAACTGTGGCTTACCTTGCTAAACCTCCGATTTCGATTATTTTTTGATCAGTTCGATTCTAACTTATAAAAATAACTATCTAATATATAATCACTTTCTCTTGGCCCATGTTCCTACCTTCTTTATACTTATTCCCCCCTTATCTCCTTTACATAATCAGGAATTACTGCAATCCACTCTTGAATCTTGCTCTGGGGAAGGTCTTCCCAGCATTTCTCCCACCTCACTCTCAGCTTCTTTCTATTACTAGTAGGTCCCCGCTTGGTAGTCTCCTTTTTCATCCAAAACCAGGCTTTCTCAATTGCATTGAGATCAAGTGAGTTTCCTGGCCAAAGTATCTTTATAATCTTTATTAGAATTCAGAACAAAGTGTGTGTAGAGAGGTGTGCATTAGGGTTAATTATCCCCCCTTTACTCGCTACTAATCAGTGGACTCGCCTATATTTATGGGCGTTTGGGGGCGTTCAGTACCTGTCAAGCTGCGTAAGCCCATATTAAGCCTTCAGGGCACTTTTAGTAAGCTTATAGGGGCTTACAGGGGACTAGGACTAGCTACAGGGAGATTAAAGTAAGACCTTACAGGGCATTTAGTGGCCTTCATAAAATAATGCCCTGTATTCCCGATACTTTATGCCGTGATCTTCGTAGCTCTGCCTCGTCCAGAAAATTACTGTGCTTTTTTTCTCTTTTTTTCTTCTTCTTGGTTCTTTTGACAAACCATAAATAGAACCACAGCTGGCACGGCTTCGTAAGCGCAATGTCTCTTTTTTTCCCCACTCGAGTCTGCACTATTGCTTATATTTTACTTACGGAGGTACAGACCATAAAGATAGTAATAGCGCTAGCAGGGGCCAATAGAAAACTCGTGATTTCAACACTCGACAACTTTTGCTACACCCAACATAAAAAGTTCATTTAAACGCTACAAATATTCATAACAGTGCCATATAGTACTCGCCAGCCTTCCAACGGTTGGTAATCTCACTCGGTGGAGAACCAATGGGGTCTGTGCGCCCTGCACATGCAGCCAAATTTAACAGGGGATCAATTGATATTAATATCTGACGCGGCCGGTCATTGCTGCATCCGAATTTCTAAACATCTCCTTTTCAATACATACATACTCTTCATACGCCAAGATGGACTTTCAAGCTCTACCGAACCTCGCTGTGCGATCCGTGGGCTTCGTTCTTCTTAGTCTCCAGAAGGTGCCGGGCTCAACCATAGTAGAACGCTACATACGATCGAGCCATCAGAACGATCCTATCCGCTCTGCCATTGAATTCGTGCTCTTTCTGTTGTTCATTCCATACTTGACCGCTTCCTCGTATTCCACGAAGACAAATTTCTTGGATCTTACGGAAGATGTAGGCTTCATCAGTTGATCGCAAGATGCAACGCGCTTTGGCTGAGGTTAACGGCATTCAGGCAATTGATGAGCTTGTCGCGGAATGGACACCTGATCCACTCGTGGATCCCCTAACAGAGCTCGAAGTAGCCATGAACGAAAAGCAGCTTGTAATTGTCGGGTAAATCCCTCACTTTATCAGTTTTTTCACGACTTCGACTTTTGGAAAGAGTGAAGACGAAAGCTCAGTCTCACACTTCATCTGGAACATCTTCTCTCACAATTGATCTGATACTTTTTCTATCGTGGGATTCAGCTAACAATACACAGGGGGACAGGGCCAAGATGTAAACTCACAAATGGCTGCACGGTAATGAACTTTGCTTCATACAATTTCTATAATTTTGCTGGCAACGAGCATATTAAGCAAAATGCAATTGAAACGCTGCGCAAATATGGCGTGGGTCCTTGCAGCGCGCCGCAATTCTACGGTACGCAAGATGTGCACATGGAAACCGAAGCCAAGATTGCCTCATTTATAGGCACTGAGGCTTGTATTCTCTATGCTCATGCCCTCTCAACGATTACTAGTGTAATCCCTTCGTTTGCAAAACGAGGCGATATCATCGTCGCCGACAAGGCGGTTAATTATGCGATTCGCAAAGGGCTTCAGATATGCAGGAGCAAGATTCGCTGGTATGAGCATAACGACATGGAGGATCTTGAGAGAGTGCTGCAAAAGGTCACCAAGGAATCAAAGACGTTGACCCGAAGATTAGTCGTGACGGAAGGCCTGTTTGAAACTATTGGCGACACTATAGATCTTCCCAAAATAGTAGGTCTACACGGCTCAAATCGATGGGCTAAAGTCTGAGTTCATGTCTAACTGTTTTTAGGTTGAACTCAAGTTGCGATACAAATTCCGTCTTATTTTAGATGAAACTTGGTCTTTCGGGGTCCTCGGTAGAACTGGTCGTGGAGTCGCAGATTCCCAGTCTATAGATCTTACACAGGTAGACATGATAATCGGGTCCTTATCCGGCCCTTTGTCTGCTGCTGGTGGGTTCTGCGCAGGCACCCACGATGTCGTACAGCACCAGCGGGTCGCATCTACAGCCTACACCTACTCATCTGCAATGCCAGCCATTCTCACAACAACCGCTCGCGAAACGATCAGTTTGATCTAGGCCAATCCCGAGATCCTTACGACTTCTTGAGAGAATACAGCTGTGATGAGAGCACAGATTGCAAAATGCGACTGGGTATATTCCACAAGCGTACCCGAGAATCCGATGCAACTCCTTGTTCTTAAACCGGATATTATCAAGGGTCACGATCTGAGCATCGCTAAGCAAGAGCAAATCCTCCAGGAATGTGTAGGCGAGGTTTGCGGACCCTAAAAAAAATTCCTTTTAGGGGTGGATATTGGCTAATATCTAGCAGGTGCTCGCAAATAATGTTCTTATCACTCGTCTCAAGAGCATGCCTCAGATCCAGAATACCACGGTACGAGAGCAGGGCTGGCAGCTACAACCTGCATTAAAAGTGTGCATCACAACTGGATTGGCGAAGAAGGACATCGAGAAAGCAGGCGTTGTGATCAGACAGGCTATCGCGAAGGTTTTGAAGAAGAGGATGAGCAGTAAGCTTGCCCTGCCGAACGGTACTTAAAGTTGTGCTAGGCATTGAACCTTTAGGAAATCTCAGGGTTCAAAGTCGAAAATGGCTGCAAGTGGCTAAAGCGAGTCCAGGGATAATATTGGACTAGAATTACATGAACCAGAAGACTTGGGAGCTGCCCCTTACAACTTAATAGAAATTAATAGAGCTGTTGGTTTCAGAGTGGTAAGACTTGGTTCAGCTGTTTGGTCTGCAAGGTACAAGCTATGGATATAACAGGGGCCATTCACTAGTTTCATCTCGATAAACAGTTAAGGTAACTCCAGATCACACACATATCTTCATAAAAAGCCAACAAGTGGCCGTGACGTGAGTGTGACCGAATGCATCTAAGTTTGCAAATTCCAAGTCTCTTTCACACAGATACATTCGATTACTCAACTCATGTGATTCGCTCTTATATCATGCTTCGAGCTCCTTCGTCCGCCTCCAAGTTTGGTCCGCAATCCTCATCGCATCCTCTAGCCTCTTGATCTTATCAATGGTATCCTTCCGAAGATCAATCACGGATTTCTCTTCACCTCCTAGCATCTCAATTCTCTCCTCTGATAGGTTGTAGATATAATTAGGAGAGAGACCCAGGATAGGTCCATGCTTGTCTTGGAAAAAAGGCTCGACTATTCGATGTTGGATGTGAGATAAGAAATCTTCGAGTGCTATCTGGTGAATTGTTAGTCTCTATTCTTGCGATAGATATATTATGGCGTTAGGAGGCCAGATATAGTTCGGAAGCGGGAATAACTCACCTCATAGTATGCTTTCAGTAGGTCATGTATCTCATCTTCGGTATTTTGAACACCACGGGGGTGCATTTGGTCAAACAAGTCGTTGATATTATTGAGATCTACAATTGCCCACGACCCAAAGACCTGCGGAATAGTCTTGAGAATACCGGGTTCTGGGCTCGCCATAAGCTTCAATAAGAAATTGTCCGCCGGGTTTGTCTTCCGGTATCTTTCCAGCGCACCCCTGAACCGGGCGTGCTGTGCTTTGGTGACCTTTTCGAGGAAGAGCGTGTTGCTAGTCTGTAACGGGAAAGTGGTGATATCTTGACAGAAGGTCCGTAGCCTCTCAATCGCTTGTTTCTCTGCATGAACCTTGAAGCTAGAAATAACGTCTTCCAGGTCGTTCCTGGTGATGGCAGGTGCTTTGAGGTGTTTGCACACTTCGGCCAGGATTTTCATGGCAACGTTCTCGCTCATCTTCACTATCGATTCCAGATGATCTTGGCCGAGCTTCTGCCATTTACTTGTTTGTTTTCGAAATAGAGGTTTCAAAACTGCTGGGTTGGACATGCCTGGCAATTCTAGTCCTTGGTTTGTGCGGATCTGAATTCGAATTTCTTTATACAAGTCCGCTTTTTTGTCAGAGTTTGGTGCCGTCTGAAAACCAAAAGGTTAGCTAAATGAATTTCAACGGTGTGCTGCAACTTTCGTGAGCAGGGGGAACCTACAAGGGAAGTTCTTGAAAATATTGGCGTTGCATCGACACCGCTGGTTCCATCAGCAATTTCAAGAAACTCGAAGGAATTCCCATTCAGTCTCATTTCCTCTGCAAAGCTTTCTGCTGCATGGTGGGCCATCCCGCGGAGCTTCATCTCGTCAAATGCCAGCTCTTCGGGGGACTTCAACGCACAACGAGCTAACTCTTGATACCTCCCCACTAAAATCAGGAGATACTCTCGTCGCTGAGCAGGATCCGATCGATCATCACCTAGTGATGCCAAATATTCCTTCTCTTTAGCCAGTGACTTTGCAATAGTCCTGTGCATCTCCGGGAAAGCTTCTCGAATACGCGTACAGAGTATATTGGCTAGGAATACTTTGAGCTTAGCTGTACCGCGCTGTTGTTCTGGGATATCTATCCAAGGCGGTTTGTTGAGCGTTGTCTTCTCTGCTTGTTCACGTTCAAGGCGAGACGTAGGATTCGGTCCGCGATTTTGAACCACGAACCAGCCATTTTGAAGAGCAATACCCTTGTTTTCTCTTACAGTATAGACAATCTTCAAAATTGTCAGTGTACTTCGCATCCTCAAACGGGAGAACTCACCCCTCTGGCCTCGTGTTCTTCTAGTTTGTCAATCTTGGTGAAAACTCCAACCACGCGAGAATTTTCAATGTGTTCCGATTTAATCAAGTTCAGGATTGCTTGATTTGATAAATCGCCATTAGCAGGTGCGACGCAGCTGGAACCAAGTATCATTAGTCATGGGAAGGACAAACGTCAAAGAAGGCCTCTCACATGATGATATTTTGAGATTTCTTCATGTACGACGTAACCATTTTTGTAACACCAGCCATTTCTTGAGCCGTTATTCCATCTATTGGCGCATTGAATACGCCAGGTACGTCGAGAATGCCAAAATGTGAACGACTTGGGCCAGATAGCTCAATCTTCAATACTTGACTGGAGAAATTCTTCTTGTTAGGTCCGGACCCTGGGAGAATTCCCATGTAACTGCTTGCCTGTCAACTAAGTCAACATCTACCTTTCTAATTATGTAGAGCTTTACAGCGTACCTGCTTCACAGTTTCTTCAAAAACTTTAGATGTCATTGATGGAAGGGCGCGGGTGAAGTTTCCAGTCCGCTCTTTATTCTCCTGATAACCAAACGGATCGATGTCACCAGCCTCGATTGAAACATGAATCATCGGAGATGTGCCGGGCTCAGTCCTCCGAGATATAATGCGGGTAGCAAATCTGGTACACAAGCCGCCGCCGACAGTGAAGGGGATGTCAGTCAAGCTTTGAAGCAAGGATGACTTTCCCGCTGATTGCTGTCCCACAATTACAAGCTATGTTGTCAGTATTTTGGAGGTCAAACTAAGAACTGTAGTGGCTTACTTGAGGCAAATCAAGGTCCTGGCCGGCACCGCATATTCTCAATTCGTCAATTGCATCAAAAAGGGCTTTGCTCTGTTCGCTGCTGAACGGATCTTCACCCAATAGCTGAATATCCTCGGTTAATGAGACTTTTGATTCATTGCTAGATGAACTTGGTGATTTTGGTTGTTGTCCCTGGTCAGTGTTTTGAGTTTGGCGCTCCGCCGAAGTCGAACCAGCTTGCTTCGTGTCAACTGTATTCGCTGTGGTAGAAAGTCGTTCCGTGGTTGGAACTCGGATAGAACTGCTTGCTAAAACATTTTCCACACTGCTACTGGAAGCTGGTCGTCTTGAATCTTGATCGGATGGCAGCGAATATGTCGGACGATCAGGTGTGCCCCTTGCTGGATCTTCTTTTGTGCTCTCCATGGTGACAAGTAACGCAGACGATCAAAGCCTGTGATGTTCCGGAGAAGACACCTTATAATGAGTTGCAGGAACCACAAAATTCTATCCCACTATTTATGATTCTCTTCTGTAATGGACTGAAGTGCTGTGAGCAGGGCGTTTCGAAGACACGGGCCACCGACCCGACGACCTGGAGGCGAGCCACCCCGTGTTGGCTCCTAGAGCAAATCACCATCACAACAGTACCGCCTTCAAAATTACAAGTTCCAAATTTGGCCTCACTTGGCAGGTAATCCCCAGCCCCTTGTCGATTGTGTTACGGTGCTACAGAATGCTCAGCGAGAACTGTTGGCACGAGCATCAAACATGACAAGCATGCTATGATTCTCTTGCACCCTTTGTGTCAACTTTCGAGGATCATTTCCTGCGGGGCCGTGGTTACCCTGCACATGTTTTCTGGGTGTGCCCCTTTATCTCCCTGTAAGGCAACAATCTTTCTCGACTTTCTCTAGATATCTCGCACTAAACAGTTCTGCCGATTGCGAAACGTGCTCTGTCCCTGGCCTGCGGGATCATCACCTCGGGCCACTATGAACGAAAAAGGTCCGAGAGAGCCGGATGTTGATGTTTGAAAATTGTTGAAATGAAGCTTGATTTTGTTGTGTTTTCTATGAAAGCTCCAGCTTCCTTAAAACTCTGGAAATTACGTCCCCACTTAAAAGTGGACCACAGAGCGTACGGCCCCTGATTTTCAACAAAAATTAGGTTGGAACGACCCTTTCCGGTGAAGCGGATGAACTACAGTCGGTCCGACCCAAATACAACAAAAAAAAAAAAACTACTATAATACTAATTAATATAAATCGTATTAATTAAAACTATACTATATATGCTAGGAATCGATTCTATAGTCTCAAAATTATAATATCTTTATTATTAAGGGAGTTATAATATATATAATTAAGTAAGTAAATATTTTTATATTTTATATAGTTATTTTTTTATTTTGGCTATTATATAACTGCCCTTTCTAGATTAACTACTCTTCTATAATTATATTAATATCTTAATAACTATAAATCTAATTAAGTACCCTTTTTAAATACTTCTAATAGCTACCTTTATAAGCCTTTAGAAGTATAAGTAAGCTAATTTAACTCTTGATTTAATTATAGTTCTTACCCTAGCTAAAGAAGCTACAATCCAAGTAATTCTTAATAAATAGTATAGGAAACCCTTTAATACAGAGGACAATTCTAATAGTTCAGATATTAAATAAAGTAATTAATTAGAGTTTAAAGATTTAACTTTCTTTTAGGTTTAGTAGAAGCTTATTATTAGTAGTAATAAGACAATTATTTTAGAGAAGCCTATATTTATATAGTAAGAATAAAGACTTATAGTATAGACTAGTAAGTTTCTTATTTTTATATTATAATATAAGTATACTAATACTATTTCTAGCTTCTAGAGGCTTATATGTCTCCAAATTAATAAAGGAATTAGTAAAGCTATTAAGAACTTAATAAAAGTATATATATAATTAGAAGAGAAAAGATACTTAAGTTACTAGACTTAAGACTCCTATAATTATACTATCTTTTAAATAAAAGAAGCTATAATTCAGTATTATTAAGAGGCTAATTAATATCCCTAAGAATATATAATTAAGAAAAGAGTAAAGGCTTAAGAATAAAAATAATAAAACAAATAAGCTACTTTTAAATACCCTTATTAGAAATACTTATAGAGATAATAAAGCTCTAGATATATAAATAATTTATTAGAAAGTCCTTAATAATATAGATATAAAGCTAGTATAAATAAAAGACTTATATATTCTATATATAATTACTAACTTATATTTATTCTAGTAATATACCTAATAGCTCCTGAAACCAGGGCAGTATTAACTAGGGAGAATTAATATATTACTTTTAGTAGCTTCTAGTAATTACTATTTTAATAATAGAAACATCTTAGCTTAGTAAATTAGGGAGTTATTTAATTACTATTAATAATAGTATGATATTCTACTAGAGATTAGGGGTAGTAAAAGAGATAGTACCTCCTATCTAGATAATAAGAATATTTTTTTAGCTTACTATACTTGGTTAATTAATTAAAAGCTTGGAATAATATTACTAAACGATTTCTTAAATACTATTAATTAGGAGATTTTACCTCAATTATTATTAATAATTAAAAGGCTAGTTATTTATAATATAGCTTACTTATAGCTCCCTAGGCTCGGCTTTTATTACTATAAGACTAAGAAAGGGCTTTATATAGATAGATATAAATAACCTAATATAATTTAGTATTATTAAGAAGTGTTTTTACTATTAATAAATAAGCTTTTATTATATATAGTCTAGTATAAGGAGAATAAAGCTAGTATATAGTATATAATTTAACCTTTATTCTTAATTAGAGTTCAGGTATATATAATATACTTCTATAATAAGAGCTATTTCTATAGTTTTAATTATAAAAAGAGCCTCTGGCTAGTAAATAATTAGCAAAAAATTCCAGAAAAGAATAAAGGAAGGCTAATTTATAATTCTGAATTTATAGGACCTGAGAGATATATTAAAGTACTAAATAATAAAAGTATTTTTACTCCGGATAACCCTAATTTAAATACCTATTAAATTATATATCCAGGCTCAAATAGAGACCCCTAATAGGATATAAAACAGCTACTAATATAGGTTACTAGGATACTTAATATATTTGAATAGAAGTACCTAAATTATATAGCTATTCTAATATTTAATTAGTTTTCTATATATGCTTTATATAATAAAGATATACTAAATGCCTTTAATATAAATAAGATATTAGAAGGAATTAAAAAGAGTAATATTAAGTCCTATAAAAGAAATATGTATTTCCTACTAAAATATATAATTCCGGAGTTATAGAATATTATATAAGTCTTTAGTAATTTAATCTAAATAGAGAAAGAGAGCCTAAGGATATAAAACAGATTCTTATTAAATAAGGATATAATATATCTGGCTTAAGATTTAAGTATCTAAAGAATACTAAGTATATTATATCTTTTAAATACCCTTTTACTATTAAATAAATATATTATTTAGCTTATATATTCTTGAATTATAAAGACTTCTTTAAAAAAAAAGAGTTAAATTAAAGAGCTTATTATAAAGCAAAGATATAAGGCTATATTTCTACCGAAGTTCTACTATGAAATTAATCTAATTGAGATATATTAGGAATATAGTAAAACTCGATTTCATTAAATAAAAAAGATTAGCTTTTTAGATACTAAAGTTAAAGTAGTAGAAATACTTAAAGCTTGTTTAATTAAGACTATATAGAGGTTTTATAATTATATATTTTACTAGGTAGATATATATTAGAAGGAATTAAGTATTAAATAAGCTACTTAATATATAAAGAAGTAAAAATATTATAGAATAATATCTAAAAAAGTAATAGACAAATAGGATAATATATAAAAGGAAGAGAAAGAAGATAGCTAAATAAGAAGCTAGGTTTATAGATTTAGTTTAGCTAAAAGTAAGCTTGAAACTTATTTAATTATAGTTCTATTATATATATAATATATATAGTACTAGAAAAAGCTATATTTAGTATTTAGGAAGGTTTAATTAAGCTTATAGGACTTAATTATTATTATTTTATTAATAATAAGGCTAGTAAGGTACTATAATCTCTCCCTGAAGTCCGGGCTTATATAACCTTAGTAAGTAAATATATTTGCATTTTATATAATAAAAAAATAAAAAAAGTAAAAAGGGTCTATATACTTTAGGCCTTAATTATTAATAAACTACAAATTATATCAAAAGTCTGATTAATAGGTATTTTTTGCCTGGTTCTATTCTATAATTGCATTACTTAGTATAAATTAATAAAGGTTGTAGTTGAAAAGTTATTATGGGCGTAAAAGAACGACCGTTTTGTCGTGTTTGGGTCGGACCGACTGTAAAATGAGACCTCTCGGGTGGCACAACTATCCCTTGAGGGGTCGGGACCAAACATCGGGATCTCCCCCCCCTCGCTTGGAGGATTAAAGTGACCCTGCTGAGTCCCTGAACTTCTCTCTATCCGGTGGTGAATATTGACGACCCTCTGGCGACGTGATCGCCATATCTAATGTGCCTAAGGCGCTTGCCTCCTGTTGTCTGGTGCCCTTGAGAAGCAATGCGACTTGCCTTTCGCAGTAACCCTTGCATTTACAGTCATATTGGTGCCTAGCCCTTGAAGAGAAAGTAGATACGACTTCATAAAGAGGTCATTCTCAGATAGCCTCAACAACTATCGTTCTCCCTACGTCCTCACTCGTAATATAAAGGGTATACCAAGAAACCTAGTTCAATGCCCGCCTACAAAAATACTAAACTTAAGTAAGTACGTGTGAAGCACAAGAGAGAGAAAATTGATTCTGATGATTCACAACACACACACACACACACACACACACACACACACACACCCGTATATCCCCACTTCTTTAGGGTGATTAAGTAACACTCTACAACTTAAGGCATGTCCTGCCACTTCCATGTGACTTCTATATACCATACACTATTTGGAATTTTACTATTCCCACGACAATATCACCTTCCTTAAATGAGCCTTCTATCTGAAATAAAATGCCGCCACCATATCGATCGCTCTTTTTATATAATTTCAAAAGCTAGCCGCGATTAACTTTTAACCAGGGCTCCCAGCTACTACTCCTGATATCTTATAAATCTAAGGCAAATTCCTAGAAATAACTACGAGAACCTCGATTTACTTCTTAATATTTAATTGCGCTGTAATATACTATAACCTGACTCTTGAATAAAATCTTAGAATTAAGTAAAAGCGCAATACTTTAAGCCCAAGGGAATTTCGTGAGCCTGGAGGTCCTAAAGGAAAGAAAAGAAGCAGTATAGCGGAAGGGCTGCGTGTAATGAAGTTTAGCTATACGGGCTTCTATAGCCTCTTATTATTATTATTATTATTATTATTATTATTTGGAATGGTGTATAGTGGCGGCAAGACGGGCCCTAAGACATCTAAGAAGAAAAGTAAACAAGTACAGCATATGGCAAAGAATTACCAAAATGCCAAATTGGTTTTCGTATTTCTTGTTGACTGATTTGGCGCGCCCGGCCAGCTAGAAAGCAATTAGTTTTCTCGAAGATGGGCATGTGTCATTTGCAAGTCCCATCTGCTCCTTGCTACCTTGTCCAAGTTATCCAGGAGCCTTTGGCGGCGTCTAAGGCTCAAACTCATTTTCCCTTTCAAGAGAACGGCCAGAAACATAAGCAAGAATCTGCTGAGAGACTGAACCATGTATTTTGAGGTTGGGGGTCCTGTTTGTTCGTTAAGAGTTAACCTCGTCCGCCCAAATACGGTCATATAGAGTTAACTACTTTTGCACTAGAACCAAATAGTAAGTAGATTAGAATTAGTTATTAGAAGGGAGAGCAAGTAACCTGAGCAGAGGGTGAGGTGAAGATATTCTCATCGAATCTAACCCTCCCTGCCGTCCAACGCGGTTAGTTACCATTGCCGCTCTGCTCAGGCGCTACTAACCCTTTCTTAGAATCCTCCTTCAAGCTCAAAATCCTATTCAGCACCAACTATCCTTTCTTTATATCCCGGTCTACACAAAAATATGCAACGCGCATACCCTGAAAACGTACTGTTTCGTGCCGTGCGTCCCCGCCATCTTCCTGCTTGCGCTCCCTTCCAAACTTGGCCAAGGAGCTCTGGGTCTAATTTCCCCAAGGCCTGTATTAATCATGGCATTCGAGAAGATTTCTTCCGAATTTGGGTTAACGGCCGAGAGAAAGCCATCTGTAAGAGTGTCTGGACTGTCGGAATTGAAGAGTGAGCTGAAGACGTGCACGGTGGCTTTGACGGGGCTGTTTTTGGTAGGACAATCGGCAACCCAATGAATATAGCTATACGCAATGAAGTTTTGCAGAGGAGCGCCGTGAAACGGCAGGTACAAAACAATGTGTCGCAGATATTATACAAACGTCTTGAGTTTCCTGAATGTAGTTCCCTCCACAGGTTTTTCTTAATGTGCGCGAACACTCGTTACCAAGCCGGTTTCTGGATCTTTCTCAAATCCAGTTGCGGTTGTAGGGTGAGGCACCTTTGATAGCCCAACAGGTGACCCTAGTGCGAGTCGAAGAAGTCTTTTGAGGCGGTCCCTCGAAAATCATCACGGTCGATGTAGATTTTTTTTGGTGAATGGAACGCTATGGGCCTATTTGAGCAGTAATTAGCCAGTATGCCGCTTGTAATAACTAGAATTATAAAGAGGGGTTGGAAACTGATACAGACTGGGGCTCCACGCCGTGTAATAACTCGGCGATAGGAAAAATACATACACCGTATTCAGGATCGCTAGAAAATGGCAATCGACCATTTTGATGAAATCCTCTGGAAGATTCTCAATAGCAACAGGAATCGGGTCAAGAACAAGCATTAGACGTGGGAAAGTGTTTTCAAGATATCGCCGAACAACCTGCTCGAAGCGTTTGACGTCAATCGTCGTCGGGGCTTTAGTACCCCAAGCTCATTGACGAAGGCAAGAAGTGCTCCAGGAAGAACACCGCGGCGACGGAGCGCAATGAGGGTATACAGGCGGGGATCATCCCAATCGTGGACATAGCCATTCTCAATAAGTGCGATAATATTACGCTTCGATGTCACCCCCGGGTGTCAATGCCGCAGTGTCGCTCCTACTACGCGCTCAGCCTTGCCAACAGATTGAACCCTAGATCTAGAAGAAATCTGTTTCGGTCCTCCAGCCAGCGTGGTTCTCATCCTTCGCACTTGACGTCTGTTCCTAAACTTTATATGGTCGCTTACCTGCCTCTAGTCGAGGCCACCCGATTTCGAGCCATTAAATTTCTCCTTGACCATGGAGCAGGCTCTAAGCGGAAAGATACCCAGGGTTTAAGCTTGCTTGAGTACGTATACGAGGCTCAACGCCAGTTTTCACGTCTAAGCAAGGATGAGCTTCTTCTACTCCTATAATATGGCGCAAATATAACAAGGAAAATGAAGAATTGTCTGGAAGACTTCCCCGACTCCCTTGGAAAGACGTCGAGATTACGCGTCAAAGAACATATGGAGGATGAGTCTTTTAGCACTTTCAGGGGTATTTTTAGGACAATATTACTGCGGCCGAATTAGGAAGGCGCAAGGTCCTGGTACGATCCACGAATGATCTGCCATAAGGGCGCAGCGCCACATGTCCCTTTCGCATCTTCCAACGGCAATCGCCTCAACGAATCAACACCCTGATCCCCTTGCTATCAGGATGAGGAAGCGCCAAGAATTGCTCACTGTGCATCGTCACGTCTTTCTCGGTCGTCTGGTACAACTCAATCTCACACCTCCGAAACAAATTCGCCAAGCAAAGATACATCTCCGCCCACGCCAAATGCATGCCTAAACACTGTCTCGTCCCCCTAGAAAAGGGATTCAGATACCTCGTCAGCAATTTTTCCCCATCTGGACCAAGTGGTGGACGGCCAGTAATTGAATCCGCTAGCCAGCGAGAGGGTTCGAAGGTGTTTGAGGAGGGGAACACGTCCTCGTTGTGGTGCAGGTAGTAGATTGAGGTTGAGAAGGGCGTTCCTGGTGGGATGGTGTAGGATTTGTATTGGATGGGCGCGCTTGAGGTACGAGGGAGGCGAAACGCAACTCCGTACGAAAGGCGCAGGGCTGTCAAAGCTAGTACGTGGATTGAAGAAACACAACAAAGGAATACCCACCTTCTTGAATTACAGCTGTCAAATAAGGGAGACTTTCCAAGTCGGTCAATTTTGGGGGATCATCAATATCTGGCCACGCTTTCAACAATTCGGCATCCAGACGTTGCTTGATTTCTGGCTTGTCGAGGACGTGGAATATTGCTACGCACATCGTCCATTTAACCGTCTCTAAGCCTGCACCGACAATCACCTGACCTTCGTGCTGCAATCTTTCCATAGTTTTTTCTTGTGGTGGGAGATTGGAATCTATCAGTTCTTTGAGAATCGTGGGATGAGATGCGTGCCTGTGCGCTTCGTTTCTCCCGGCTTTGACATCCAGGATCTGTTTTTTAATGTCCTGGAATCATCAGTTTTTCTATCAAAGATTGTTGATTAGACATAAGTACCGCTTGAAAGGCAAAGATCTCGCCAATCTGGTGATCCAACTTCGTGACAAACCACTCCGGTAAGGCAACCAAGATGGACAGCAGCCAAGGAAACAGCATCAGTACATGCATATTCTTGCCAAGCTCTTGCATTGTTTTCACAAATCTAGCTTGAAAGTCTGGTGAATCCAAATACTTGTAGTCCTTAGCAAAAGCATATTCTGTCACAGTATCTGCTGTGAAACAGCCGAGGACTGATGTCATTTGGAGGACTTTCTCGTTGTCCTTGTATTCCGAGTTCAATCGATTGCATAACTTATCCGCTCGCGCTTGGATTTCAGGGGCGTAGAGTGAAATCTGGCGCTTCGAGAAGAATGGATTTTGTGCTGCTCGTCGAAGTCGATGGAGATCATGAGACACGGTTGATTGAGCGGAAGTCGCTGCATTTCCCCACCATTGATGCTCAGGGACTTTGTCAAAGCGGGAGGTGGTGGAATAGATTGTTTCGTAGAACTCGGGGTCGTTGATGCTCAGCTCCCAAGGGTTGATTCGGACAATGGGACCTGCTTCACTCTCAGAGATCTGGGAAATAACAACGGGGGACGTGGAAAGGTTACCATACTTCTTGTGCAACTCTTTCACGTGCAATGTGAACTGGCCATTGAGATAAACATCATAGTATACCTCATACCACTGTGTTAAGGCGGCCAATTTGGGTCCAGGGAAATGTGCGGTAGGGCTGAAATACAGGCGATAAAGACAGAGGACGATGAACCATGCAAGGAGGACCGTCAAGCCAGCTACTAGCGAGTTGGGAAGAGAATGCCCATCGAGCGAGAGGATACCACTGAGCTCCTTCATAGTTGTGGTCAGTGATCTGTAGAGTTCAAATGCCAAACATTAAATATTAAAAAAGAAAAGTTCATGACCGAAGAAGTTTTACCTTCCGCAAAGTGACGGCCGCGGCCGACATAAGCCACATCACTCTTCGGTGACTAACCAGCTTGGGGTAACTCTCATCCGCGATGTAACATGCATGTACCGTTAACATGCATAAAATTGCCCGTGATAATGCTGATTGGATCCGTGGAGGAATGTGCATGCTACTTGTACGCGGCCCTAATGTTTGTTACACCGCCTTGAGTTCTGCTAAGCAAAAGTCGGCTACAGCGCATTGCTACAGGGCATTTCAGCGCAACCCCTGCAAAGGCGGTGTGACATACATTAGGGCCTGCACCAGCGTAGAACATCATGTTCCACTGCGGGTCATATCCAGCTTATCCTAATCATTCAGCTTAACCACCAGAACCAAAGTCCCACTTGAGCTGACAGGACAAGGATTGATAACCCAGATCACGGGCTACAGACTCTGGAAAGAGGGGCCTCGAAATGCTGGAAGTGACCAGGGTACTTGTAAGCTCGAGAAAAATGGAACAATCTGAACCATACACATTATCTAGATCAAAAGCCCAAGCAAGGAGGGAAATTTTGCTGGAATGTTTCTCGCAAAGTACTTCAGTGGGAAACTCAAAGTGCGACACAAAACACCCTCTTTGAGCGACGTAAATGGAAAAGGTATGCCTGAAAATCACAAAGGTCACCATTGGGGGGGATACCAGGAATGTGAGCATTCTTTTTTATGAAACCTTATGTGTGACCTGGACGCCAGGACCCGAATAGTTACACCAGAGCAAAGCAGCGCGACCGTATCCTGACAAGAAACCCAACCACCGCCCAAGTCATCGCTGGTTCTGCTGATTCGTTGTGCATTATGGGAAGGAAAAGAAAACCAACGTGGAGTATCTATTGGGCAGAACGAACGTAGCGACCGACGACGATACAATGATCTCTCTCGAAGGGTTCTGGGGGAAAGTGTTAGCTTCTAGGGAAGTAGTGCGAAAGAAGTAGATGTACCCAAAGTCAACTGCTCCAAAGGCTTGATTCTCTCGTCTCTTAACTTTTGCACCTCTCGTGCAAAAACAGCTTCCGGTGCAGCAGTGCTGTCGATACAGTTGGCCTTGATAGAAACAACGATACCGCCTCCAACTTTCAAGAACAAGTGTGCATTCAATCCAACGATACGAGCTTGGTCTGGCTGAGCAACATCTGCGAAGATGACATCGACCATCGAAACCAACATCCTGTATCTGAGCGGGTGGCGAGCGTCCTCGATGATTGGGATAACGTTTGTGCGGTGAGTAGCCATGTTAATAAGATCACGACCAGAGCGGTGGGAGAACTCGACAGCGAAAACAGTTCCAGTAGGTCCAACGATATCTGCGACGTGCGAGACCGAAGTTCCAGAAGCAGCACCGAGGTACAAGACCTTTGCCCCGGGCTTTATGAAGATTTCGTCTAAACCACCCAAAACACCAGCTGCCAACTTGCTTCTGAAGGGATTCCAGACACGGTATTCCACCTTGGTGACGCCAGGAGTGCCATCTTCATTCGCTGGACCTTGGTTCTCGACGCTGATGCGCTTTTCGCCGTAGACAGACTCGCCGGGTGCCATGTTCTTGGTGACCAGCATGTCTTCCTTGCCGCGTGCGACGTAGATACCTGCATGTCTATGGGGTTCCTGCCACTGTTAGTATACGTGTACCAGAAAGGGAGAGAGTTGACATACAACTATGGTCTTTGCTCCACCTTTTGCTCCTCCTCCTCGTCCACCGCGAGGTGCTCCACGACCTCGAGGTGCGCCTCTGCCCCCACCACGACCGCCTCTGCTATCGCCTCGACCTCCTTACCCTCCGGTCAGCCACTCTTGGTCTCATGTCATTTGCGCGAGTACGGAGGTAGGGGGTCCCGCGACTCGAATACTCAATTTCTTGAGTCTTAAAGCTGCGCGGGGATGTGAGACTGACCTCGTCCACCACCTCTTGAAAATCCTCCTCGTCCTCCTCGGTCACCACCCCTTCCTCCGCCGAAACCACCCCGTCCGCCACGGTCTCCTCCCCCGCGTCCACCTCTGGGTGTGTATGCCATCTCTATGTATGTTGTATGGAAACAATTGAGAGATGTTGCGTTGATGGAGCTTCGATTTGAATTTCGAGAAAATTATTTTTTACCTATCGCAGCTTCCGCTCATTGGCCGAAGCTAGTGCGCGTCACGTGAGAGCTAACCCGATAAGGGATCGTGGCTTATCGGGAACTTCACAACATTAACTGCTCTCCTTTTTCTTCTCAAATATGATGCAAAATAATTACTCTTATACGTTGACCAAGTGGCAATCTCATTATTTTGTATAGATTCACGCTTTATATCATTGAAGTACAGAACCTTCCCGTGAATCCCTCAGTGTCACTTCCTGGGGAGCAAGAGTCGAAGTGACCTCCGCTTCTTGCATTTCCACCACAAATACAATTTCGAATTTTGGGTCAGTCAATCTGCAATGGGGATGTAAGTTTATAGCTCTGAGTTGGAGTCTGGTTGACTGAATCCAAGTACACTCGAGTCTGTACGATGCATCATATAGGCTTAGATCCGCCTAGTTCGGGCCGGCCGTACTGTTGTACTCCAATCGCAGCAAGGTTTCCGCTCCTACCACGCATGGAGTCCATCCATATCTATTGCCAGTTAGCACTTTGTTCCCACTTATTGACCCTCAAGTCGCTTCTACAACTTTTCCCGACAAAAAATGCCAGCTGTGCCAATGTCACGTGGGATGCTGGAAAGTTTCTTACTTTACTAAACCCCTTTCTGGATCCCTTGCAAAGATTGCCCATGCCCCACGCAAGCACCTTCCGAATATCTCCTCCTCCGACATCCGATTAACAGTATATTGGATATCATTGTTAGTGCCAAATATTACCGGAATTTCACCCCCATGCCATGCTTCCGAATCTGGCTCTGTCGACAGCTTCAAGTTAGGGAAATCGCCAAAGTAGCGATATCTCCATACCAGAGAACGATTGTTAACCGAAGCAGATGCACGTTCTCCTATCTGGCAAGTGAAAATTTGCTGTTATCGCTAATCTCATATGGCGTCTGCATATATCACGTTCTGTACGAATATTGCGGCATAAAGTCATGCGACTACAGGGCACATGATGTCCCAGCCACTAATCACACGCTGTAATCAGTGAAACTAGCCTGTAAAGCCACCACCGCTAAAGTGCCCTGGAAGCACCTGGAGCTTAGTGGGTCCGTGCCTAAATTATAGGCTACCTGCCCCTGTAAAGCGAGGTTTACTAAGGCCATAGGCTTAAGCCATGTAAGGAGTTTCAGGGATTGAAAGACAATTCTAGGGTATGCCCCTGCAAGTATAGGGGCTTGATCGCTAAAGGGCCCTATGAGACCTCTAAGTTCCAGCGTCTGAGCGCTATAGCCACAGCCACTACAGGGCACATACGCTGTAGTCGCATGACTTTATGCCACAATATTCGTAATCCAAACGTGACTCGAAATAAGCTGATTTCGTTGCCATTGCTCCCGATCAGATATGTGTGCGGTATGATTCAACATATCTTGGACAGTCCCAACCTAGCTTCAGTTGGCCCTTCCGTCTATACTCCTCATTGGCTGCTTCTTCATTCCCGAATCTCGGTGAAAATACTCCCACGGTCCAATCGACAAATGCAGACAAACTTTGATAGAGTACAGTACCACGGGGACGTGAATACTGATTCGGTGTACGCCCAGCTCCAGATGCAAGAATTCAGAGGGGATTGAAGTTCAAGGTTCTGACAAACGCTGGTGCGATTATCGGACGTTCAATTCAAAAGCTTCCCTCTACCGCGTCCTGCTCTGCGCCTGCGCCTTGCCCGCCTTCAGTCAATGGACTGGCCAAGAAGGAGTTTCGTGCTTCCTGCCGGCCATGCTCACAACCATGGGCGTCACCAGTACCGATGTTGTCCTCGACATGAATCTCGGCATCGCCATTGCATCAGGGAACTCTGCGGCCGTAGGAGCCCTCTTCATGGACCGCTTCGGACGCCGTAAGATGCCGATCTCGTGCTGCGCAGTGCTGGCCCTCACATGAGTAGGTATGATTGCGTGCGCGAGTTCATTCTATGCCCACGGAAACACTTCTGCGGCCAAGGCTTCTGTAGCGTTCGGTTTCCTCGTTGGCGGGATGTGCTCGATTGCGTGCGCGCCACTCCAGCAGCTTTATCCAGCCGAGACTTTGAGCTTCTAACAGCGCGGAGGCAGGTCCAACCTCTCGGAGTCTTAATCCCTCTTGTGACAATGCCCAACTGCTCCTGGAACATTCTACTCCTAGAAGTACCTGAAAGAAATATGCGGCTCTAATTTTTTTTGCGGACTAGGCCATGCGTTCGCGGCCATGTGTACCAACGCCACAGCACTTGTGAATCTGTTTGCAACGCCGATTGCTCTGGAGAACATCGTGTGGACCACATATGATATCTGGTTGATTTCGTTTGCCTTGGGGGGGGGGGGGGCATATTATTATTTCTTAATGGTCGAGACGGGGCCATAAGAGGGAGGATGGGACGAGATTTTCAAGGAAAAGAGCCTGAGGGCAGCGACAAGAGTGCTCAAGGAGAGGATCGACGAGGCCGTGGCCAAGGTGAAGGGTGGGGAGTAGTTGATGGAAGGTGTGTAGTTTGGGAGGGTCACGTGGACGTCTGTGTTTCTCACGATTCTACTCGACTTGCTTCGTACAGTTTTCAATACTGTCTCAAAACCTCTTCGAAAGCTACCATGACGCGATTCCTCATACGAATTCTCTCGCACTCTCACAATTCATCTCATCAGTGACGTCTTGGTCATTCCGATATATCAGCCCTCTGGATTTTGCTGGCTTCAAAACTGAGCGCATTGTGGCTCCAACTCTGCGACACGATTCTTCACTGCGCTTCAACCCATCGTCACCGCCCATAGTACGTCCACTAAGAACTATAGCCGTTATCATAGAATTAATCGTCTAAAATAAAACCGACATTTCGTACCTGACTCTTGGGACAATCAAAGTTCAGACGCTCTTGCTTGAACCATCCCATCTGAAGGAGATTCAAACGATTTCTACCACCCCATCATCTCATTGTCATCCAATGTGCGCCACGCCATCTCACACGGCGTAACTGACAGGTGGAGGATCCAATCTCGACCCAAAGTTCCTCCATAAGCCAAGTATCGGAGCCTCCTACCCACATTAGGCTCAAGGTCTCCAAATCCCTCATCTCTGGAGTCTCGTGGCCAAGAAACCTGTGAAGCCATACCCGTTGCACACGCACCATTGAGGCTGTGTACCCAGTTGCAACAAGTTCAAGATGTTTCCCCTCAAAAAACACATGGGTCAGCGGTTCTCCAGACCTGGAGGATCTGTCAAAGGGTGCACATCCATGATTAGATGTCTTCCAGCTGTTGGTGCGGTTTGGTCGGCGCCCGCCTTGCTATTTTCGCATCTTATCTGATGATATCCTGCCATTAATGTGTTTTGCGGCCTCAATCTGGCCGCCTGTCACCGTCCGCGTTGCGAAATGCCCATCAATTCGTCCGTTGAGACCAGACGGGTTTCGCTTGAGTCTCGGCTGCGACAGGGGCGCAGCTCGCTAAAGCATTGTGCGCATCGACGACGCACCTCGTTCAACCTCCTCCATTGGCCACCTCATGTTTTAAGGTTGTTAGTTTAACGGTCTCCTGCCATCCCGTTTTGACGTCGTGGGGCGGATGTCAGTGCATTGTCCGACGTCAAGCAGGCAATAAACCTCACTACTGGCTTGGCCTCATGCTTGTCCACAGTTTGCGCTACCCACAATAGAAGCATCTCCTCCTCCTTGTCTCCGATCAAGCCTCGATAGGCCGCATTAAGCTTGCATGATCGAGGAATCCTCTTGGAAGGGGCATTGCCCTGTTCGAACAGAGCCTAACGTGGTTAAACTCCGTTTTGACACGCCGCTGGGGAAGGTTCAGGAACGGGCAAAGATGGTTCCGAATAGATCGTCCAAACTAGGGGAGAGAGGAGGGCATGTATAATAACTTGGATGACCGCTTCGTATTGCATTTCTTAACCAGCACTTCGAAACTTCTTACCGTGCCCATTCCAAACCTCCTCCCTTCCTTTCACGAGCGCCCCAGCGGCCGCCACAGTCATTTACAAAAATCATTCTTTTAATCTGTACTGTATTTTCACCCTCCTATCTTGTTCATTCAGCAATCATCAACATGCTCTTCAATAAATTAACCCTCCTCGGCTTTGCCACCCTCGTTATTGCAGGTAAGCATGCTTTCCCCTCTCGTCGATCTTATCTAACTAAATCCCAGCACCAGCACTTGAGAAGAAGGAAGCTATCAAACTTCCAGCACGAGGTGTCAACTATGTCCCCCGCCACTCCCTCCAACCCCGAAAAGGGAACAACCGCAACAAATGGAATAACTTCGGTAACAACATCAATATCGAAACTGTAATCCAAGAAACAACGATTAACGTCCTCCAAATCGATGCCAACCCACTCCTAGAAGCCCAGGTGGCAGAGGAGACTCTGCTCGCGCAAACTCTTACTGAGGCTTTAATCGGAGCACAACTGCAATTCAACCTTGCCCTCGATAACATCCGGTCAAATACCCTGAACCAACTCAATAACAATGTGGTATGTCCCTGTTTCTTTCCCCAATCCTCAAACTCATTACTAACAAATATCCTCAGAACACCGTAGCAATCATCATCACCGAGATCAGCGATAACCGCAACTCCAACAACGGCAATAAACGCTACATCTCCCGTCAACTGCAGTCTAATCCCTCCGTCACCGAACAAGTTTTCGTCGTAATCCAAGAGGCCTCAACCTTGACCCTCAGCAACAACATCCCCTCTTCTGTGCTGTCCGCGGCGCAGTCCACTTCCACCGCTTCCAACTCCACGCCGCAATTCGGGTCCTTCACACCCGGCGGAAACGCCAGCCTCCAGAGTTCATCAAACCAATTCAACCTCTATCCCGCGGGCTCCGAGCTCCCGAGCTTCGAGAACGCGCAGCGCCTGGATGACCCGGCACTCATCGTGCTGCAGAACCAGGCATTCTTCGTGCAATCCTCGCAGAACTCTGGTACCTTCACATCGGTTGTCGAGGCCGAGCTTGCGCAACTATTGGGTGGTGGCAGCGGAGGTCGGCAGTGAGCAGTTGCGACGAGGGGGATTAAGGCAGGGGGTTTGTCTTGGCATGTCATGTATCTTTGTGGTGTAAATAATGATGAACTGACTGGGTGGGTATTGGGTTCCGGTTCATGGGGTTCTGGGGTTTTGGATGGGATAGGTAGAGGGTGGGAAGGGACTAGATGTCGACGGTAGACCCGAGACATATGATAGGGATGGGAAACAGCCGGGTCTGCATGGAATGGAAGGGAGTCTGGTTTTTTGATACCTAGCGTATAGTACATTACGGCCATGCCGAATCAATACTTGGTTAGATTTCCAGTTTCCTGTGAGTCTGCGAACTTACAAATTCCAAACCTGCCTCATATAAACTGAAGTTCGAAGTCGCGTGAAAAGGCCTGAGGTCGAAACAACCTCCCTCTCCCCTGCTAGACCAGGATGACGATGCCAGGCGCTGTGCTGCCATCTAATCTTCGATCAGGCCATCATCCAAGCCATATGTTCGGTTCGTCGCAGCTTCGTGTCAGGGGCGCCAGTCTCTGACAGGTGCACTGACCGGAGCCTATGCCCCCATTCCCGCCTGCCACAACCCGGGTAGCCCGTGTTGCGCTGTTTTGGTTTCGCAAAACTGCCGGAAATGTCCGAGTGGATCTAATCTTATCTCTCCATCTTTTTGGGGGCAAAAATCTGGGGTTTCAAAATAGAATTAATCGGTGCTACTGTCCGCAGTACAGTAGATGGGGACATCGGATAATGTTACTTCCTTGTGCGTTCTTTTGGGGTTCTAGAAGCTCGCTGTGCAGGGAGCCTGCATCAAAGACTGCAAAGAATCATCTAAAGCGTCGTTCTAGGCCCAACATACTTTCACCTAACTCATCTCATTCGTTGGCTTCTCTCTTCTCCATCCAGTAACAGCATAGCGGCCTTCCCTCATCTCATGCGGGGAGGAGATGCGAAAAATTGATGGAGGAGACCCGCTCGCTTCAACTTTCGCGAGAATGCGGGGACGGGTCGGGCTCCGGCGGGGTGGAAACACGTGATCATCCGACTTTCCCCATTGCGGAGAGAGCTTGATTGGATCCTTGTCAACGGCCTCGCCGATCGTCGTGCAGCGTCATAATGATAAAACCTGCGCATCTTCCTCGCCTCATTATGATGCTGTTGCTCGTATTCTCTCGTTCCTTGAACATCTGCTGCGAACACCTTCTACAAATCAATCAATCAAACTCTATTCTACTTTCCAACGAGCATCCTTATCTGCGATTCAATTCCAAGATAGCTAGCACGAAGCTTCGATAAGCGCTGGGCAAACACCACCAAACAGCCCATACAACACCTCGAAGAACAAGCAACGAACACAACAATTGAAACCAGGCATAAACACGCACAATGCCACTAAAAGACCGTTTCCGCCGCGCAATCCCCCTCCCCACACGCTCCAACTCCTCCTCCCTCTCACACACGCCCACTGTCCCTTCAACACCGACCAACGAAGACCCAAGCACGCCCACGCCCTCCATCACCCTCACCAAAACCTCCTCAAAACTCGGCTTATCGAAATCCCTGACATGGATGAGTAGCAGAAAAGAGGAGAAAGAGAGGAAGAAGTTAGAAGATTGGGCAAAGAGCGATCAGGCGGAGTGGAATGGGAGGAAGAAGCCGAAGAGTAAACAGCATCAGGATTTGCTCAGGGCTTTCGAATGGAAGTTTAGAGAGGGGCAGGGACGGCCGAGTATGGAGGGTAGCGGGAGGAGGTGGAGTGGGTGGAGTATGGCGAGTGGTGTTTCTCCGGGCACGAGTCGCATGAACAGCGTTGATGGGGAACGACCGAGGAGGTTTGGGAGTTTTGGCATTGGGAGGAAGAGGAGTTCGGGGGCGGGGACCGGAGGCTTGAGTAGGGAGGTTTCGAGGGATGATGATGCGCCTGGAGTGGTGGGGACTGTTGCGGAGGAGTAAAGGAACGATATTATTACGATGGAAGCCGAGACGATACAGCTGCGACTGGGACGGAAACATATTTCGATGATTTAGACGATACGATCTTACGATCTTGGAAGGAGTTCTGGGCTGGAGTTGGACTTTGGGCTGTCCATACTTGGGAACTGCATTTGGAGAAAAGCGGGATTGTTGATAAATTTGATTTGGTTCCCGACGAGATGAAATTCGGTACAGAAAATTTGATACAAGACTTTGTCATTTTTCAGCGGACAGTTGGCAGATGGAACAATTGTGAGCCACTACGAGCGGAGTCTTTTGGATCAGTCTAAGTTGACTACTCTGATTGGGCAAGGACACCGATCTCGCGAAAGCCTCCGAGATCAATCAGACAACTGCCACTCCCCTTCCGTCTAAAGTCCACAGACAGCGTTTCTTCACTCCAAGTTTTGGTTGGAAGCCGAAGACTTGCGAATGCTAGGCATCGAGTACGCCATCCGAACAAATGATCGACCGTTATCCGCTCATACGGAGGTTTTTCTATTCAGCCAATGCTACCCCACAAATCTCCACATCCCTCCTGTTAGGACCTATATTCCGGTCTATGGCAGCGGATGATAGGGGCCATTGTTTTTCTTTCCTCCCTTGATTCGGTCAGTCTGGGTAACCGGAAGTCATCGGGCCTTCAAACTCAGACAAAGATTTCATGAACACGATTGAACTCAAGAATCCTGTGAGTCCCTCCGCAACACCCACATACGTCTGGGACAGGAAAGACTCTGGTCAAGTGTTTTTAGCGCAGCAAGCTGTTGCTTATGGTGTGAAAACGTTCTACTGTAATACGTGGAGCGTACCGGCGCTCATGGAGATGAACAATAATGAGAATAGTGGCGGGTATCTTTGTGCTGCTAGTGGGCAGACGTGCAAAGCGGGGATTGGAAGCAGGCGTATGCGGATTGTTTGATTCAGTGGAGCAAGTATTATGCGACTGTTGGGGTGAACATCACGCATGTGGGGTTCTTGAATGAGCCGGAGAATTCGTATACCCCCTTTTCCCTCTTTCCCTTTCCTCTTTATTTCGTACTAGAACGGCTACTTACGGTATGAATTTGATAGTGCAAGCTTCGTATCCATGCTCTCCAACGGCGCCCAAGCAGGTCCTGCGGTCCGCTCGAACGCAGCAAACATGTCCTCCATCGGCACCACCTGCTGCGAGTCCGAAGGCTGGGGTACGCAATCCTCTTTAACCAACCGGCTCAAATCCTCCAGCGGCGAAGCACCGCACACACCGGTGCTCTCGGCTCCACGTTCGTCACAACGCACAGGACCTGGCAGACGGAATACAGTGATTTAAGCGGAGGCTGGGCGACATCTTGGTACGGCAGTGGTGGTGCAGGCGATGGCATGACTTGGGCGAGCCAAATCCTCACTGCGCTCACGACGTCCAATTGCTCTGCTAACTTATACTGGGTTGCAACACAAGGCTGGAATACCAATGAGAATACGATCTCCGCCGGTGCCAGTAGCTACACTGTAAGCAAGAGGCTGTGGGCGTTGGCGCAGTATTCGAGGCATACCAGACCCGGTGCAAGGAGGGTGGATGCTAGTCAGGGCGGCATGCGTGTCACTGCGCTCTTGAACTTGGACGGCAGTCTTATTGTTCCATGTATGAATACGGGAGTGCAGCAGTTGCTGCGACGATTGAGTTTAGGGGTTAACACGAGTAGTGTCACGGCGTGGGTTAGGAGCAATACGCAGGATATGGCTAGTACGCCGACCATTCTGGGCAGTTATGGGACGGTTAGTGGGGGTGTGGGGGGACGGAGTCTAGTTACGTTTGTGCTTGCGAAGTAGGGGTAGGAGAAAAGAAGGGGTTTGTATATAGGTAATGTGTCGTGGTGTTCTGTATATTTCTCTTTCAATAAACCGGATCAAAACCATTCCTGTGTTGAGTTGAGATACTGTCAAAAAAGAAAGGAAGATTTCGAGTCGCCCAATGTTTATACTTCAACGTTGTGCTAGCTTTCTTGCTGATATCTCGCTCGTCCTCGTAGGTACTTTTTCCTGAGCTCGCTATGACTGGACGAAGCTGGCTCTTCTACTATGGACTCGTTCGAGGCATAAAAGGAGTGATGGTAGAGCAGATAAGAGGCAAGTTCGCTTATTTTACCCCGCCCCCTATTTTTCAGAGATTCCCAGTATCACTTCAAAGTTCTTGCAGACCTATTGATGCGGCATATGTTTTGGCTTGGTGTTTGGAATGCATAACCTCTTACCTTTCGCATTGCTTCAGATATTGGATTGTTTCCGGTTTATCAAGGTCAACCACTTCCCTCATCCCGATTTTTGCTGAACATGCATAGACTGCTAGCTATTATGCTTGGCCGTCTTCGAATGCCTCTTTCAGATTTCAAAGCAGTCTCCGAACGATACTCTAGGAATGTTTCCAATCATCCCTCAATTTTCTCCTACTTTCGGTTTCTGGGTCCATGATATAGCACGAAGAGAATAACCGAGGCAATCAAGGAGCTTGTGGAAGAAAAGCAGTTAGATCCAAGCCGACCTTGGAAACAGAATTTCTTCGCATCGGAGGGTGATCCATGTCGAACGTAAGGTCCCCTGAAATTTCGATCGATGTCTAACTCCACACTTACAAATGACAGAGTTGTTGCTTGCTTAATGTCACCAAATGACATCCGACAAGTACCGCATTTATTTCGAAGCTACGACAACTTTGAGGACGAACCTGCCAGCTTCAAGTTGAACTGTGGACCAGCCGCCGGTGAACCAATCTGGGCAATAGCCAGAGCCACATCTGCTGCTCCATTTTATTTCTCCCCAATACGAATTAAGGGCTCTTAATACCTTGACGGACGTCTCAGCGGTCACAATAACCCAACCGTTCTGGCGACCTCTGAAGTGATGGAGATTGGAAGATCGACAGGCAAGAAAAGCAGACGCAGAAACCCAAACGGCCCCCTATATCTTCACAAGACGCTCCTGAGCCTGCCTCAACACCTGGACCTCCTGTTTCAGTGGTGATTAGCATAGGGACCGGCCAGAGCATCAACCTTCGATATTCTATTGGCATTGAGAATGGTGAAGATCGCAGTCAGGAGCATAACGGATACAGAGAACACACACCAGGATGCGTCAAGACTCTGTCGGAATCTGGATATTCCATACTATCGTTTCAATGTACAAGAAAGACTTTAGCATATCGGCTTGGATGATAGCCGGGTCTGGAGAAGAAGCGCAGAGCAAACGTTACTAGAAATAGGACAAGCTACAGCACGCTACCTAGATGGCCTGAAAGTGCAAAACCAGCTCATGGAAGCAGCGAAAGCTCTACTTGCTGCACGACGGACAAGAGTTCCGCCACCAATCGAACCATTGCCGGATCTTCGCCGACCATCCACCAGCTTACCTAGGACAGCTTAAAAGCAGAAACTTAAAGTTGTACCTATGTAGGAACCCTCTCAATTTACATCTAAAACGCCCAACCCGCATCCTTCGTTCCCTTTCCTCCTTCCAGAACTCCTCCCCCACACGGCCTCTAGCTTCCCTCACTGACCCCTCGAAACTTCAGTTGAAATACCCAACAACAACCGCGCTCCCCCCAAAAACCCGCATCCCTTCTTCCCCCTCCACAAGGTACCCCTTCCCAGCCCCCACCTTGCCCATCAAATCCCCCATCTTGACGCCCTCCTCACCAATCACCTTCCCATCCGCGAGCATGAACGAGCCCATAATAAGAAAGACGAGCGCTTTATCGGCGTCGAAGCGCACGTCGCGCGGTTTGGTCTTCGTCTGGACGACGAAAGATTCGTAGCCATATCTATCCAACTATTTTGTATTGGTATTGGTTATCATTTCTCTCCTGCATTGATTCTGAATCTGTGATGTGAAGCGAAGTTGGCGCACGTGCTGGGTGAAGAAGGGGGGGCTGCAATATGAGAGTGCCAGCGCCGGAGGAGGACGTTCAGAAAGGAGAAAAGGGGAGAAATACATGTTCCGACACAGCCTGGATAATGAGGTAATCCTCCCCGGTCTTCGTCGCGAAGATCTTAAGCTGCAGCTCCTCCGGAGCGCGGGGCTCCAACGTCTCGATGATCGGCATCTCTCCCTCCCTCCCCCTCTCCTGAACCAGGAGTAATGGGCTTCTTGACGGAGACAAGACAATTGAAAACGGGTGATCTTTGTAAATAAAACTAGGTTTCAAGGTCGGGAGCGCCAGGAAAGAGAAACCGCGGTTCTAGGTCGAAGACGAGGATGGGAAGATGGATGGTTTCAGATCCTGAGAAGGCTGAGGTGATTGACGGACGACCCCGGATCACGTGCAACTCACTAAATCCAATGCAACTCTGTTCCCGCTCAACGATTAAAAGGAAAAAGGGGTTCAGGATGAGAGAAACGGGCTTGGAGGGTTTAAACAAGAATCGCTACAGTGGCGTTGACGGAAGATCCGGAAGCTCTGCCACTGAACCAGGCCCGAGGGATCAATGCCGAAGCCACCCGAGACGACGACACCTCACGTCAAGGAACCAAACGGCATCATGAAAATATCATTCATTTTATTTTCAATGTACTGCATTTCATCTATACAATTATACCTCTTCAATCATTCCACCTAGGAACTCCCCAATGCATTGGACAAAACGCCCCTGCCCCATCTACCATCATCCATCTCATCTCTAATGCAGAAAAGAATTGTTGTCCTCCCATATCCATACATAGAAAAGTTAAAAAAGCCCTGACAAAAAAGAAGATCGAAAAGTATTCATACAAGACCTCCATCGTGGCTCATGAAATCGTCCCATCATGCGCCATACCCACTCGGTATGCTCCCCCGGCTACGATCATACAACCCACCGGTCAAGCTCCAAATCCAATCCCTCGCCATTCCCCTCTGAGTCTGGAAAAGCCATTTCCCCATCGTAGCACTCACACCTCCTGTCGAACCAATAACGCCAACCTGCCCATCATTGCCTCTGATATCGCGCCAATCGTGCATCACAACACCCTTACGAGCAACGAGGTTGAAGCAGCCGACTCCAACTGCGATATCGCAGATTATCAACGGCTCAGGATTTGGACCTTGTGGGCTTCCCATGTGCAGCTTCTTGCGGGTGACTGTGATGCGCTTCAGGATACCGTAGTTTTGAGAGGACTCGGGACGCATGTCGGGAGGAGGGGTAGAGACGGTCAAAAAGGCGGGCCCAAGGACATCCCATTTGCTGTGTGTGACGAGCCTGCTGAAAATAATCGGAATATCCTCCCAGCCTAGGTCTTGCATCTGACTATACACACTGCTTCCTGCTTGACTGGGGCTGCCAGGTGTACCTGGAGGAGTGGCGCCACTGTAGTCGCTGGAGCTGGTGGATTGGCTCATGGGACCGCTTCTGTCAACGGACGACCTGGCGATGTTGAAGAGTCCTCCCCCGCTGAGACGCCTGAGTGCTGTTGCGACGGAACTCTTGCCGCTCTGATCGCTCATGACATCAGACTGAGGTGCACGAGCGGAAGCACGGTAGCTACGTTGTCGGCCAAAAAAGCGCCGTCTGGTGTTTGCGGCGATGGCTTGCTGATAGGCGTTGGAACCAAAGTTTGCGTATCTGCGCTCTTCTTCCAGTTTGATGAAGACCGCATTATTCATTCGAGCATAGTGGACGGCTCTGTACAGGAAGACGCCGTCTTGAGCAGTGAGAGTCCGGAATCGAACGTTGCCACGGCACTTGAGTCGAGATTGTGGAAGGGTAGGAGATTTAATCTCGATGTCGACGGCGTTGCTTTGTCTTAGTGTGACAAGAGGAGTAAGATCGAGCGCGACGAGAGGACGGTCGATACCCGCATCGATTTCCGAGTTGAGATCAGAGGAGGCAGAGGAAGCCAAGTCCCCGGCGCGCTCGGACGAAGAATGCGCTGCGCTGATTTCGTAGGCCTCGATTCGACCTGGTGTGATGACAATGGAGCAAATTTGTGGCCACAGGTCCGTCCAACAACTCCTAAGGCCGTCATCCTTCCAGTACGACAGACGAGCGATTGTCTTTCTAGTATTCCCTTCTGTTCTGCTAACCGGTGCACCACGATAGGGGGCTTGCGAAGCCGAGTTTGAAGGAGCAACGCTTGCATTGGGAAGATTGTAGAGAGACGTAGGGGGTGGCAGCTGGCGGTAGACTAAGGCGGGAGTATCAACGATTGGGCTGTCGACTGCTTCAAGCTCATCTTCGGATGAAGAAGAGTATGAGTCCGATTCGGAATCAGAATCAGAGCGCTCAGACGGCGAAGTAAGAGACGCATTGTCAGGTTGCCACTCATACTTCAGCGGAGACGAAGTTCGAGGCTTGCCCTTCGGGGTGGGGGTCTCGATAATAGGTGTCTTCAAAGGATTTAGTGTTGTTGGATTCCTATGAACTGGAGGTGGCGGAGCGCCATCTTGACGAATGGGTGCAGATACCTGCCTCTTGTTCAGGTCTTCAGGGTCTGGCCGCATGGAGTCCCTTAAGGGGGTGCTGTGCTTCTCGGAGACAGGAGAGCTTGTGCTTCTGACTTTCGGGCCAAGCGAAGCATCATCATAATCTCCAGCGTTAGCTTCATCCCGCTCTCTACCAACTGAATGTCCTTTTGTTTCCTCTGGAAGTGCAAGGGCGCCGGACATGGCAGCTGGGATCTTGGAACTGGAGTATCGCGCGGGGGTAGCCCGCTTTCGTTGTAGCGTAAGAGGCAGAAGACCAGCCAACTCTCTAGCTTGGTTGAGGACCTCCACATCCAAGATACACAGTTCCCCAAGCTCGCTGTGATACGAATATTCTTCGAGGCATTCGACCAGAGTAGTAGGTCCTTTCTTCTGTACTCGTTGGCGCTTCTTCAATACTGGAGTCTTCTCTTCTGCTCGTCGACGGCGCTCACCAATGGGGATGTCGGAGTTCGATGCATCAGCGAGTGAGATTTCCGATTCAAGATCTGAATCCAGAGGCAAGTCCTTGCGAACGATCGGAGGCGGAACTGGGACTGTACCCAGCATCTCAAGCCAATCTCTAGTAGCCTCCGAGTCATCTGTTTCGAGAATAAAACATTCCTTCCAAATCTCCGCTTCTACCCCTGCGTCTGTAATACCTTGGAATTGGACTACAAGCTGGCGGCTATGGTCACCCATACGAGCCGAGACACGATCTTTGTCAAGTGGTGGAAACAGCAGGAAGCGCCCATCGTGGCCGACCTCAACAATTAGGATGTCTGCATCATGCTGATCTTCAGGGTTATCTCGGAGAAATATATCCACTTGACATTCAATATTTTGACCACTCGAGTGAGGTAACTCTAAGGAGAAAGTATCTTTGGCAACGACCTGAAGGCTTCGATCGATTTTGATGTCGTCCATTTGCGCAAGGGTTCTGAGACATCGAACTCGAGTTGAGTCGGTACTGTACGCACGGCGGTCCTCGCGGCGAGCAAACTCCTCCTTTGCACGTCGTCGAGCAAGTCCTTCGAGCTTTTGCATCTGTTCTGACATCGTGGCTAGAAAATCGGATTTCTTCCCCATGCAGAGACCCTGAATCTAGTTAGCTTTGACCCAAGTAATAATGGACGCAAATCTGACCTGGACTACTCTCGAAAGGTACTTGACCCTAGCCAATGGCCTCTTGAGCAGGTATGCCACATCAACTACTTCTCCATTCTCATTGATGACATCGCCCTTGGCGTTGCGAGGCATTTTATCCAGTCCTGACGTGTCGTTGGGATGGGAAGGAGCCAGATTGACCACCACACCTTCAAAACCAGCACGCCAAGCAAACAGATAATCTTCGTAGACCTTTTGTGCAGATTGCAGCCAGTGTAGGAAATCGTCTGAGTCGTCAAGCGGAACACGTTTGTGAATTGATCGTAAGCGTTCAAGAGCAACGCCCATATCAACAATGGGTTTGGTAAAAGACGAGTTTGTAGCCGAATCTGCATCTAGAAGGCCAGCGGCAATTGCTGAGTCGCTTTTTGAAAGGACAGACGTGAGCAAAACGGGAACCACACCATCAACAAGCGTGTTCAGTTCTCGCATGTATTTTGTCTCGTCCTCAGCCAATTCTCGCATAAGATCTTGGACGGTAGCGCTCTCAAGGTGGCACCTGGTTGTTCTGATACTTCGTGTAGACCTCACACTCTTTGATCTCTCCACCACCTGCGGAGTGTCTGGCAAGGAGAGCACAGAAAGCAGATCTGAATGCTTGGTAAGTCTCCTTTTCAGTCCTGTCTTGGTGCTCTTCCTCGAGAGACTCGAAGCTGTTGGGCCAGTAAATACTGTATTCTGCGTTACTGTTGTTTGCGAAACTTCTGACCGCGTGTCTGCAGTGGACTTAGTCACGGACTCAGTCATGGATTCTGTTGCAGAAGAGGACGTGTTAAAAGTCTCAACAGAAGCAATTGTCGATAACCTGTGTATGCCAGTGGTCGGAGCCTGTCGGCGTGGAAATGGAGGCAGCGGCTTGTCAGGTTCGTTCACTGGCCCCTCGAACCTGGTTCTGCTTGACATTGATACTCGGCGGCTGCTTTGCGTAGGAGTATCTTCATCAATTGGGTCCAAATCACGAGCTGGGGATTCCGGAGGAGTACGATTGAGATCGCGTTCGCGCAGCCCGATGAAGTCAAACGGAGAGGGAGCAGCCGTGTTGGGGCGCATTGCAGACTCCCCCTTAAAGGCATCGAAAATTGCTTCTTTCAGTGGGGTCTTTCTGGCCGACTTGGGAGATGCGGTATTACGAGTGGCTGGAGTCCTCTTCAGGCCGGCCGGAGAAGTAGGTGAGTTCTCAACACCGGGAAGAGTTTCTCGATCCTTCAGAGTGCTGCTTGGAGAGCCATCTTGCTGATCAGTCTCAGGAGACTTTTGACTTGGTCCTTTTCGTCTGGCCTCACGCTCATCGTCACGTTCAGCAGTTAGTTCCCTTTCCGCTCGGTCGTCCTCATTATAACTCCGCCTCCTCGAAGAGATTGCTGGCACCCCGAGACCTGGGCTAGCCTTGACTGGACGATCAACAAACGGGTCTGTTGTGCTGTTCAACCAAGATTCGATACTCGGGGGCTGATTTGGTCCTGCTCTAGGTTCTGGAACATCATGGACGATCTTCATCCCTTCAGTGTACACACGCTTCAGCACTTTGGGAACTTTAGCGAAGCTGTTGTTCCGTTTCGGACCAGGCCTCCTCATGGTACCTGCCTCAGCACCAATAGGGAGATCGAGGACACTGAGGGCAGAGTTGCCAAATGGTATATCATCAGTGGGAGCAGAGCTTCCTGATTTTCGATTCCGACGTTTGGAATTTTCTGGGGGACTTGGACTCATCCAGGAGAACTTGTCAATTTCCTCGTCAACCACATCCATTTCGCTTTCCATTTGGCTGGTGCCATACGAGCTGGCTCGACGACTTTCAGATGGAGGAGGCTTGAGATGCTTCTTACTCCTTTGCTTTGGAATGCGGATCTCTTGGTGATCTGTGGGTCGTCGTGTGCTGCCTTTGTTGCTTCGCTCAATAGGAGAATTCTCTCTTGACGGCTTGCTCCGGATACCGTCGTCACTTGGTCGATTTCGGGACCGCCTTGTTGGAGTCTCATCCCCAGGACCAGGTGTAATACGAATTCCATCATCGTCAGGTCTGTCTTTGGATGGTTTTATCCGCATTCCATCATCAGGTGTGGGACTTTTAGAAGGAGTGACCCCAATTCCATCATCGAGTTCCTGCCCCGACTTTCGTTTGCTCCTTGGAGTTTCCTCTTTCGGTCGAACCCCTGTTCCATCATCGGGATCTTGCCTCGACACGTTTCTACTCGTTGGTTTTTCGTTTGAATCTTCTTCGTTCGTCCATCTGTTCTTGGTCTCAGATTTCTCAACATCCACGCGCGGGCCTCTCAGCTTCACCACAGGCGTCCGTCCAATCCAATCTTCAATCTTCCTCTCGACCGGCGGATTGATAGCTGTGGTCTGCAAAAAGTCCTTCGGTATTCGGTTGCCCTTCTTTGGCGGGGGCGTGATCTTCTTCTCCTTTTCCTTTTCCTTCTCAGCCTTCTTCATCCAGTGAGAATCGCTAACAACCCTCTTCTTCGGAGCAACCGCACTCTTACTTCTAGGATTCTCTTTTTCCTCGTCGTGATTTTTCCTCCTTCCGGGTCTCTTCCCATCTCTGTCTTTCCGCCTGGCTCGATCATCGTCCTCGTTGCATTCGCACTCGCTATCCTCTTCGACCTCAACAATCTCGTCCAGGTCATCATTATCAGCAGGCTTCTCAATATGCTTCTGCCACTCCTTCACCCTATCCTTAACTTTCCCAGGCTGCCTCACCCTCCCCACAAGCTCCGCGCGCATCTCCATCTTCACGCCCTCAAGGCTCTTCCTCCTCGCGGTCCTCTGTCTCTGCGGGCTAGGGCGTCCCAGCAAGAAATCGCCAAGCAGTGTAGGTTCCGGCTTCCTGGTTGCTCCTCTCGTCGGCGCAGAAGCAGGAGTCTTGCCATTCGCATTGGCAGAAGCCTTGCGCGCAGGCGTCTCATTCTTGCTCGCAGAAGTCCTCCTTGCATTCGGTGTCCGCGGCCCATTCGGTGTCTTGCTCGCAGATGCTTTGCGCGGTGTGTTGTTTGTGGTAGATGGCTTCCTCTTCGCATTCGGGGTGGCTGGAGTGTCCTCCTCGTCGAGATCTGGAGGTCTCGCCATGGCTGTGTGTGTTCCCCTGTGTCTGTTCGAAGGTCAGTGCAAGTTCGAGCTCAAGGCAATATCAATGTCCCAGGAAAGTCCGAATCGTTCACCGACACTCAACTTCGATAACTACTTACCAGGACATTCGCACAGGACCGCGCCAGAGCAGATCTCTACTTCCTCCACAAACACAGCTCCCTTCTCTCGACGCGCATTCGTTTTCTTCTCTGTATCTCAGTCTTCATCGAATTGCCGGACTCCTCGTTGGGGAAGCTTGCAAGATACTCGCGCAACACAATAGTAACAACCAAATGAATGTTAACTCAAGCGTAAACTTCAATCCAGATCCGATGTTCCCGTCCACATCTCACAGCTCTAGGCTCTCGCAGATCAGCCACGCGCAATTGGTCGCTCCTGTGTGCGCAATCCTGTAGAATCGTTGGTGCAGCAACGCGGCTGTCCCGCTGATCTCGTTCAGCCTCCTCCCAACTAAAAATATCCCTGCCGGGACCAGGATAACAAGCTTTGCCTACGTGAAATCGCTCCCCTTTCTGTTCTCTTCTTCTAAAATATCACGAAAGGCAAAGACACGTATTGACAGCAGGCATTTATTCAAGCACTCTACAACGCCGCATCGTCGTCTTCTGTTTGTATATCACAGCCTCCATCTTATTGTTGCACTCGTCCCGGTTTGTTTACCTCGCCATAGCAGCTCATCCCTGTTGTGTGCCCGTAGCTCTAGTTTTGGCGACCACAGCGCGTTTGGGGCGTCTAGATTTTGATTGGAGGCTCGCGCAGCCAGCGCAGCCACTCTACAACCTCCAAAACATCACCAAATTAATCATTTGCTCGCCGCACGTTTTGAACTCTCATTCGTTGTCACGATGTACTGTGCCAAAATTCAACAGATCGCCAGGCCTTGAAAAAGGCCAGAGGAAAGAAGGGGTCCAATTCGTCATCCCGTCACATCCCATCCCACCACATCTCACTGCCGAAAATTCAGGGTACAACCTCAGACGTTCACTGGTTCAGCTCAGCATGTGCAAGCAAGTCCGCTTCCCTGATTTGTTGTGAGCCACAGCGAGCAAGCAAGTGTCAGAAATCGAAACAAAACTGGGAAAAGTTGGCACTTATCGTTTTCTCTCGGCAGATGCAGATGCGGATCCCAACGATCGCAATCGCAACTTTCGCAAGGCAACTTTTGAGATCCGGTCCCGGCACCGAGGGGATTGGGTGAGGAAGGGCATGCCAAAGAGACGCGGCGTGGCTGGCGATTGGTGAGATTCAGCAGCCTGGGGACGAAGGTTCGGTCGGGTTCAGAGCCGATGGGATCACCAGCCTCGTCTTGGTGGTACCGAACTCACGGGCTGACAAACGGATTCCTCGAGCTCTGAACTTACTTTACCCTGCGCGCCCTCCTGGTTACAATCGCTCGCTCGCTTGCGGGTGCTTGCCAGATCTTCCGGCCCCAAGCCTCGTGTCCAAAGGTAAGGAAGGGATCTGGCGTACAAGAAGGTTTGGAGGTCCGATGCAGATCTAGGAGAGGGCAGGGCGGGAAGGCTTTCGGCCCGCGGAGTGAATTCAGGGAGGCAAGGAAGGGGTCACGGAGGCCGAGGGTTTGAATCAACTCGGTAGAAGATACCAGCTTTTTGGTGCGCCGCAGACAGGACTGAGGGGCTTTTCACGGACGCGGAAAACCGGGAGAACAGAGCACGGATATGCCTTCAGCGCGGTAGGGGAAACACCATGTTACGTCCGTGGACGCCCTTCACTGGATACGGAAACGGAAATCCTGCCAGGACAAGCCACCAGACTTTAGGGGTAGGGTAAACTCCCTCAGGAGGATGAGGAGCGGAATCCTGGCCATGGCAGATTGTATCAACACGGTAGTGAAGATACCAGCTCCCTCCATAGGAAATCCTTTCAGGAAAAAGTCTCGATTTATGCTGACCGTTTTAAAAATCCTCGCAAAATCCTCGCAAAATCCTCGCGGAAAGCTCGACAGATGCCCTATAATACAATCTAGGATCCAAATCCCTCCATGGAATCGACCTCGGTTTGTCATTCTATATGTGGAAGATGGGCCTCGCTTGCTCATTCAAAATCTCGCTCGCCCGGGGGTATATCTGATTTGGTCGATTGATTGGGAGGTAGGTGGTGGGGGGATGGAGGGATGGGGGTCAAATCGTCTTCTTCGCATGCCCGTTGGCGTGGCCGTTGGCCTTTCCATTGCTCTTTGCAGCTGTGAGCTTGTCAAGAGCCTGGAAAGTTCGTGCGATGGTTCGGACACTGCTCACAAGCAGAACTATTCCCGCAATTAGCTACACTCTTCCTGTGAGGGGGGCTCTTTCGCCGTGCCACTTACTCCCCGGGAAAACCATCCAAATGAAGTTCATGAAGAAGTAGTAGCCCCAGAAGTACAGAAACTCGGGTCTCGAGTACGTGATCTGCGCGTAGTAGTGATCGAACATGCTGGTTGCGTAGTAGAGAATCAGGCCGTAGATCTGGCCCACGCAGACGATGATTTGGAGGGGGTGGCGGAGCGGGTGCGAGTTTGTGATGAAGAAGGCTACGACAAAACAGATAGGGCCCCATGTGAACTGTCAATTGGCCCGTCAAATTAGCCACTAACTGATCGCAAGTGGATTCGGCTTGGGGATTGGATTGGGGAACTGGGCGAAACTAACAGCAGTAACCGTCTCCATGCAGAGCACGAACGGGTCAGAGGTCAGGTACCGAGAGTCGGAGAAGGCGTATTCTTTCCACAGCTGCCCAAACAGATCCTGGGCTGGGCCCATCCGCGTGTGGTTCAGGGAGAAGTAGCCCTCGAAGAAGAGGTGGATTGCTCCAGCTGCGCCAAGGGATTCGGATTAGCCCCATCCTGTGTCTCCCCAGCCCCAGATTCCAACAGCATCACCGGGCTCACCCATGCCCTTCCTCCCCGATCCTCAATGACCACTAAAATTGAAAATTGGGGGATCGAAGGAAAAGTACTCACAGATCACAAACCACCAGATGGCTGCCTTCTCCCCCTTTGGCAGATTGGGGTGCGTCTTATCGAGGATCACGACGGTGCCGATTACAATGGAGGCGCACACGGCGGCGAAGATTCCGAGGAGCACAGGGACGGACCACTCGTTTGCGAGGTAATTGGCGATCTCGACTTCAAGGGGGTAGTAGTGGTGGTCGGTCACCATGAGGGGCGTGCTGGTCGCATTGAAGGGCAGGTCGAGGATTGCCATGATGAAGGTGAAGGGTCAATCGATTGAGGTAGGGGGGGGATCAATCGAGGGGATTGAGGGAAGATCAATTGATATGGAGGTCAATTGAGAGGACGTTCGAGGTGGGAAGGGTGAGGATTGAGGGGGAGGAGATAAGAGGGGGAGGGAAGGGAGAAGGGGAGAAGGAAGGAGGTGAAAAGGAGCGGGAAAACGAGTGAATAAAATAGAGTTTATTAAAATACGCGGCTGGCTGGGCAGATGCAACACAAGCAGGGCAAGGCAAGGCAGGACAAGTCAAGGCAAGCTCGATTGACTCTGAGACAGCAGGCTCAGTTGTACGGTGCCCGTCGCGCTGCACCACATCTGCATCGTGGCCCTCCACCCAGCTGCAGCTTGGAATTGGCACGACTCAAGCCTCAAACCCCCAACAGAACTTCAGAGTGTGGACCCCAGGACCCTTCTTGCATGTGGCAGGCGCAAGGTGCAAGGGACGAACCGAGCTGCAGCACCTGGGACGCCTGCGACAGGGCAGTGCAAGGCAAAAGAGTCAAGACGAGGTCATTCAGGCCATTTGTGCTTCGTCCGCGCAAAATCTCGAAGACTCGGAGTAGGGGTGAGCCACTAGGCTAGGACATGACGTTTCCACCGCCGCGTGATGGGAATCGCTGCTGCAAGAATCGCAAGAATCGTGGATGGAAGAATCTTGGATGGGAGAACCTGGGATGGGTTTTGGTTCCCGCAAATAGGAGAAGCGCCCTGCTCCCCGTTTCTTGGCTCGATTGCTGGGGAACTTGGTAGCTTGGTCTAGAGTGCAAATAGAGCGCCGAGTCGCTGACCCGCCTTCAAGCTCCAGAGTCCAGGCTCGCCTGCACGTCCAACCCGTATCCGGTATATTGAGAGAAGCCTGAAGATGCAACGTCACGATGGTTTTCTGGATGCGTTGCGGCGGACGAGATTCGTACGCTTGGGAAGGCGGATTCCTTCCACGCTTCTGCCTTTTTCCTTGATTGATTGCTTGCCAATGGAGGGGTTCGCGTGTCATTCACGATTTGTTAGCTGCGGCTCACATTCTCAACTGGAACATCAGCCCGCGATCCGCTAAGGTAGACCACGAAGAGTTAAGCAGACGCAGCGAGCCACAGCCGCGGGATGCATGCTGTCGCATCCTCGGGTCAGGCACGAGCGAGCGGTCTAGAATCAGGCTCCAAGGAGAAAAGGATATTAATTCAGGTCGAGCTTGACCACGGATCGGGCTCAATAAACTTTCGGAATCGAAACGTATCCTCCACTTCATCTGTACCTCCACTCATACCAGTCAATCCATCATCCATCAATTCTGATACTCGCGAATATATCCGTTTCCCATCTGCTGGGACGAGGTTCAGAGGCGATTCTTCTTGTTGCCCATATATATCGAAACCTCTGACTTCAGCATCCTGCCACGGGGCTTCTTCATCCTCACTCCCAGGAATGGATGCCAAGATACAGTCTTGGGAGTCGCTGAAGAATATCGCAGGACTGCCAGACTGAGCATTGAGCCAGCGTCCAATAGTCTTTCCAATCACTTTCCCACCTGGTATTTGCGCAGCGAAATCGACTATCTTTGGTGTGCTCCAGCTTGGATCCCACAGGTGGACCAGTCCTCGAGACTCCTCCCCTTCGCATCTTATCATAAGGAGCTCGTCAATTGTGGGGTGCCAAGTGGCCTTCGCAATTGGGGCATGGAGGATCATGACTGCCCGCAAAACCCGAGTTCCTAAATCCCAGATCCATATTGTGGTAGGCATGTTCTCCATTCTTGTGGCTAGTAGGGAGCCGGAGGTGTCGAAGGACGTGAAGTTTGTTCCTGTTTTCGGTTCCGCATTCGTAGGTGGGGATGATCCTGACGTTGGCGGGCAAATTGCTTGCGTTGCTGCCACGAATTCTCGAGAGAATCCTCCGTTCGGCGAAGGGACAATCTGCTCCTGCCATATCTGCTGCCGTCAGTGCAGTCAGCAGAGGAATGGGATGCGATCATACCTGGAGTGATTCGGCGGGCTTCACGGTCGTGGTATGGAACAAACTTGTGGTTTCCGTGAATGATGGAGCAGAGAGAATTGTCACCCTCCTGCTGTAATCTCCTACAGCAACAAAGGCGCCATTTCGGCTCCAATCAAACACCTTGATACCAGCGCCCAATGCAATGTCTGAGTCTTCTTCCGATATTGGTACTGGGCCATTCCAGGTCTTAAACAGGTGGCCGTCGGCAGTATAAACCAAGATCTTATGTCCTTGCGAGGACGATTCCCAAACAACGAGCCACCTCCCATCCGCGCTCCAGCAAATTCCATGCGCATCAATTGTATCTGGCCACCATGATCTCGTCACATCCAGTGTGTCCTTTGCATGGATACTAACAACATCTTTGCCGCCACTTCTTGTTAGAAGGGCCAAATTGGAGGTCACCGGCCGGTATGAGAACCCTTTCGCTGCAACACCAGCATTATAGAACTTCGGCGAGTTGATATCGACGGACCTCTGCGTAGAAAAATTGAAAACTGACAGTTTTAATCCAAAGTCGGAGAACACAAGAATCTCATCATCATTCGCTCCAAAGCATACAAAGGTAGCTTTTGTTGTTCCTGAAGTCGGATGATTTATGTTGGCAGAGAAATTAGGATTCTGTGTTGAGAACACGCGGATATTGTCTGAGGAGCCGACTAGTATTCGATTCGAGGATTCAGACCATAAAAACCAGGAAATAGAGGATGCCAATTCGGGTGGGAGGGATATAACGCGTGTGATTTCGAGGGATCGCGTTGCGCGGATACTGAGTTTGGAGGGGAGAACAGTTGCGATAAATGCGCCATCGGGGCTGGGGAGTGATTGAGTGGATGCTAGATGTCAAGAAGTATTAGCAGTAGTCGCCAATATCCAGGTAATAGGATCCTACACTTCAACGACCGTGAGAACCGCATTTTAGCTTGTTATTAGCGGTAGTTGAAGAATTTCGGAGATGGTTTGTTTACTTCTGATCGATCGCCTCAAATCCAAGGTTTCAATATCGCTAAGCCGATAACGATAAGCTTCTGAATCCGCCGCAAGCCGACGCCGACGATCCCCGGCTCTTCCCCCACTTAAACATTTCCACAGCCTGCCGTCATGTTTTCTGCACGCTGCTGACACTTCTCCCCGCCGGTGTTGAAAAGTTTGGTCTGCCCAAGATGGGATTGTATCCTACATGAGCTGAGTCTCTGGTGCTATTATCCTCGACAATGACAATGGCTTTCATTGGAAGGGCAGGAAGAGCTGGGAGCCTGTGTGGCAAGCGTACCCTTCGAATCGACATGGGAGCAAGAGGAATTGCTTCTGCAGCACCAGCAATCCAGGAATACCCTCATCACAACCTTCCTCCAGTCCAGCCTCGTCCCACCCGACGAGAAGCAATCAAGAACGCCAAACCCTTCTCCTCGTTCCTCACGGATACCTTCCAACGTCAACACGACTACCTTCGAATCTCCATAACAGAAAAATGCAATCTGCGGTGCTTATACTGCATGCCAGAAGAAGGAGTCCCACAATCGCCACCACAACATCTCCTCACAACCCCCGAAATATACCTCCTCTCCTCCGTCTTTGTGCAGCAAGGAGTCACCAAGATCCGGCTCACAGGCGGAGAGCCCACCGTACGGCGAGATATCCTCCCGCTTATGCACCAGATTGGCTCTCTGCGTTCTCAGGGACTGCGCGAGCTATGCCTGACGACGAACGGCCTGTCTCTCCATCGAAAGTTGGACAGCATGGTCGAAGCGGGCCTCACTGGCATAAACCTCAGTCTCGACACCCTCGACCCTTTCCAATTCCAGATCATGACACGGCGAAAAGGCTTCGAGGCTGTGATGAAGAGCATTGAACGGATACTTGAAATGAACAGGCTCGGTGCTGGTATAAAACTGAAGATCAACTGTGTTGTAATGCGTAGTCTCAATGAGCGTGAAATCCTTCCCTTCGTCGAGCTCGGACGAGAACAAGACTTGGAGGTCAGGTTCATTGAATATATGCCGTTTGACGGGAACAAATGGAGCCAAGGGAAGATGTTGAGTTATCAGGAAATGCTGGATATTATACGAGCGAAGTATCCTACGTTAAGAAAGGTCCAAGATCAGAAGAATGATACGAGTAAGACGTATGAGATCCCTGGTTTTGTGGGGAGGATGGGCTTCATTACGAGCATGACGCACAATTTCTGCGGGTCTTGTAATAGGCTACGGATTACCAGTGATGGGAATCTAAAGGTCTGTTTATTTGGGAATGCTGAGGTGTCCTTGAGAGATATTCTGAGGAAAACGAATGATGGGAGTCCGATTGGTGAAGAAGCTTTCGAAGCTTTGAAGCAAATTGCGATGGATCGACGACAGGGCATTAGTTCTGCACAAGGTCCACTTGGAGGGACACAACATGAGCAGGAATTGCTTAAGGTAATTGGCTTGGCTGTGAGTAGGAAAAAGGAGAAGCATGCTGGAATGGGAGAGTTGGAGAATATGAAGAATCGACCAATGATTTTGATAGGTGGGTAGGTTTCCTCCTTCTTTTGTTTCCAATATATCTGTCGTTGGATCTGCATGGCTGGTGTTTTGTGCTACATATACCCAAGTGTATATAGACTCTGCGTAGCCAATGGACATACATGTATTGAATCTACTTGTAAGCAGGGTTGCAACCGTTTTATATGTGTCTTGCTAACCAAGCTTTCTCACTCAGATGAACCATCACCAACCCAGCGACCCTTCACTAACATCCAGCCTCGACCGCCAAACTCCCAACCACTTCCATGGCAGCGAACCCCCCTCCATCTCCTCTCCACAACCCTTCCTCACAATACTACAACCCACCGCCTCTACTCTACCTCCAGGAAACCGTCGCACTCACCTTCAGCAAGCTCGAAGCCCTCGCCCTCGCTCGAATCTGCCTTCCCCGAGGAGCAGCCAAAACTAACCCACACAACCCCCCACGGCACCGCCCATATCGTCCCCATCACCCATAAACCTATTACTCCCCGAACCGCAATTGCAGTCTGCACCCTCTACTTCTCGAATCCGACCGCTATCCCCTTAATCCGCTCTAACTCGATGAAGAAAGGGGATGTGTTGAGTGTCGCGCGCATCGCCGGTATCATGGCCAGCAAGAGGACCAGTGAAGTGATTCCACTTTGTCATAATATAAACTTGGGGAGCGTGGGTGTTGAGTTGGTTGTTGTTGGTGGTGAGGAAGAGACACAGGGAGGGAAGAAAGAAGTGGCCAAGGCGCAGAGCATGAGATGGGCGGGGAAGGGGCAGGGTGATGCTTATAACTGGCATCAGCGAGATAGCCAAACCGGAACGCGAGGGAAGCAGGAGGGAGAGGGAAGAGAAGACTTTGGCAGGATCGAAATCACAGCCACAGTACAATGTGAAGGCAAAACGGGTGTCGAGATGGAGGCGCTTACTGCGGCTAGTGTGGCGGGACTGACGGTGTATGATATGTGTAAGGCCGTGGATAAGGGGATGTGGATTGGGGATCTTAGGGTTGTGAGGAAGGAGGGAGGCAAGAGTGGGACCTGGGTTGAGGGGAGGAGTGTTGGAGAAAATGTAGCCGGAGCACTGAGCCGAGAATGAAAGTTACATTTTGATACAAAGCTCTAAGCGGAAAGGTCTAGGAAAGCCTAAGGACATTTGGTAGAGAAAGGTGTGCCCTCTCTTATGCCTTTCCATGTCCTTTCCTGGAATGTTTCGCGATTTCGATCCAATTTCCTTTTCAAGATTTCAATATCCTTTTCAAGTAGGAAAAGGGGTGGGGGCCAGGTATACGAATCAAATGCATTCCCACTACACCCTAAATATATGGCTGCTGCGGTCGCCTCCAACGTCACATCCCCCTTTGGGCATTTAAATAAACCCGCCCAATTCAACCCCCCCTATTATAATCCATTAATGGATATCTCGTAATTTCTTGCTCAGATGCTCAGATAATCCCATCAGATATTGATAACTGGCTGAAGAGAGGGGAGGCTCAGGAGCTATGTGTTGTGTGTATAGTCCATTGACATCCAAGTTTCTGGGTTGAGAAAATGGCGATAGTGAAAGAGAAGCTGCCAAATGTCTGGCACATGCGTCTGCCAATTTATCGTGCAAATTGTGGAATCACTTCCCTGTGCATAATGGCGGGCTTACACGAGATATATCTGATGCGAGGATCCCCTTTTCGCATACCAAGGACCGGTGAAACGGCGTAGCATCTTCCAGAATCGACCTTTGGCTTTACCATGGCCGTTTTTAGGAGCGACTTCACCGTCCATTATCCCATAAACATACGCGTATCCAACCAAACAATAACAAGGTGGCAAACGTGTCCCCTTCCTTGCCGATAAAACTGTGGGGATCGTGTCTGCTAGCCGAAGTATCATTGGGACAGGGCTTCCAAAGATGAGGAAGACAGAGTTGCCAACCTTTGTATCAGGAGGTCCGGACCCGATGTAACCCTTCGCAGTCTTAAAGAAGATCCTGTCTTCATTGGCGTACCAGAAGTTTTCCTCGGCGAACCGCGCAATGTGAGCAACCTCCTCATCTGAGATAAGGGTACCGTCAGGGTTTAGGAAGAACATGTTATCGAGTCGCTTCTCCCATGCTAATTGCGCTATCGTGAACATGCTACCATCTCCGTCAGATGCCCGGTCGAATGCTATCGTAGTCGATATAGAAGACCTATCAAATTGATATAAAAGGTCACCCCACATAGTTCTCCAGAATGCGTTCTCGCCATTTCTCTCCCTCGCAAGGTCGTCACCGAAAAATGTCTCCAGCTCCTCACATATCTCGCCGAGATCTGTTTCTGCTTTGACGAGAACTCTGGTCGTTGCGGTGATTCGATCTATAAACTTCGCTTTGACGTTGAGTGCATAATTGTCGACCAGTTCCGGTAGAAGACCCTCGCCTGGTGGCCAAGCCATATAACGCAGCATTCTCTGGGTGATCAGATAGTCTGACGAGCTTCCCCAAGATTTGCCCCAATGCGGCACCCAGGTCGGCAGCCCGGAGTCCGACGCCTTGAATTCGTGGTTCAGAAGAACGAATAAGCTTTTTTGATAGTTGATGAATCGCATTGCTACGTCGGTATAGATATGGCTGACCTCCCGGTCATAATCAGGGGTAATGTGAAGGGGATTCGGCGAGTTGTGCAGTAGCCCTAACAGCCCGTAGATCTTGTCTCTTGGGTTCGTTGCCTCTTTATGTCGCGTCTTTTGCAGCAAGAACAGCAGTCTGTCGATCTGGTCCTGCGTGAGAATTCCCAAAACCTCTCGGATTCCTTCCTGGTATCCCATGATTTCCGCAAATATCCCCAGTATTTGCTTCTGATCCGAGGGCAGAGTGCTCCAGAAATTTTTGCAACATTGCCCGCGCTCATAGTGTCGCGGCAGTATGGCTCCAGAGTCCTCGATGAGGCCGATCGGGGCGGTAATCTCCCCGTAAATGGCAATCACGTCACCTTTCGGCAAGATGACCTCCTGAAGAACCCACGCTCTTGTCCACCAAGGCAGATTCGTAAGATGACCAATGACTTCAATTGCCTTCTTCCACGGTACTGAGTCGGAATCTACGCAAAGACAGGACTTCAGGCACCTGCCGTTTGAGAGGATGTTCATTATTGCAAAGGCTCCGGCCTGACTGTCTCTACACGTCTGTAAAGCCGTACGCTCCGCGCTGCTGTGTTCGGCCTCTTTCTGCCAAGCAAGGAAAGCATCCACTCTCGCCTGATCTCTGATTCCTTCCTTTGGATCCCACTGCTTGAAGTTAGCCACAAAGCACCAAGTTGCAATTAATCAAGTGCCTTTACCACAGACCACATAGGAAGTTTTAGAGGGTCGGCAGGCTCGTAGTCGGGATCTTTTTCGCTTGTGGACAATGCCGCTTTCAAATTTGTGATGATACCTTGCGAGTTCATCTGGCAACTATTAGATTACTCTTGGCTTTGAATGATTGTAACTCACCCCGGCTTTATTCGGCGGCTCTCTAGACGTAAAAAGCATGGTGTGATCCCGGTGCCACTCAAAGCGAGGTGGGTCGTCCCAAGTCGCCTGTTCCTGCTCTGGGATCAGGTCAAGTATACCGCTTTCCCCCAAGAAAATCTGTACAGAGCTCGCTGACATGTAAATATCTGCCATTATGCCAACTTGCTGCATTTTCTCTTGGTTATTTGCTTGGTCAATGCAAATCGCGTCCACCCATAAGATTATTGCATCGCGACTAGACCGTAGTCGTCGTAGACCCCCAATCAAGTTGCGCGTGGCTTGGAAACTACATCCATCCACGGTTATCTTGTCAGTATCTCCTGGGTCACCCCAGACGTACGAGAGAGCATCGTAGGTGGGATTGTCGTCCAGAGACACGATTTGTAGTTTGCAGCAAACGTCCTCCATCCATCTCCCTGCGAGAAGTTCCAGAAGACGGATCTCGTTCTTATCCGACTTCAGTTTACTGAACATCACTTTGCTCATGACGAGGATTGAGTAATTCTGTGGTTGTTTTGAGAATTTTCACTCGACACGAGGTCTTATGATCTCGGCGCCAGCCGGGAAAAAGCGACCAATCCTCATCCTCATATGTCTTTGCTTTTTCGGCCCACAACCACCGCCACTACATACTCAAAAACCTGAGATCATACGGAAAGCGATAAGGATCACTAGTCCAAGCGTATTCTGCATTCTATATTCCGAGATATGAGCGCCCACCCCACCAAAAATCAGTCGCCACCCCCCCTTTCCCCCTCTCTACGCCTTTGCTACTGCTTAAAATCTTTACTCTCTCTCTTTAATTTATATATATATATAAGTATAAGGGTAAGAGAGGGGAGGAGGGGGAGAGGGGAGGAGGGGGAGAGGGGGGGAGGGCCATAATAGGCAAAAGCAAAAGTGGAAAGCGAACTTTGAGAGTCGAAAGTCGAGAATCGAGAGTCGCGAGGAAGTGCTATAATTATAGGCTTTAATTACTATTTCGAAGTTTAAAACTATAGTACTTATTTTGTCTAGATAATATAATTAAACTTATAAAACTTTAGAATTATTAAAGCTTCTCTAAATAAGATTGTTACGCTTCACCGCTTCACCGGTAAATTTAGCGTCATGTGACTGCGATGACGCATGCGGCTGGGGCTAGTATTTAGAACACCAAAGCTCCCGCACTCAAGAGCTTCTCTCCTTAGTTTAGAATCCTCGGAATAGAGCCACTCTACTGCTTTCCAAGCCCAGAGACCCGGTCTCGTGACATTATTCTAAACTCTTTCTTGTTCCTACAGAGGAAGTAAAACCACTCTCTTGCGCACGAGTGCGATTTCACGGCAATTTGACGACAGCGCTGTCGATACACACGGTTACGGAACCACATATACATACCTGAGAGATCAAGAGCTTGTTGGGCTCTCTCTTACTTCAAGTTTACGATTTCCCCTTCTTTTTTCCGAAATACCACAATGGATCCACTTTTGCAGACCCAGATCGCGAATGCGATCGCCGAGCTCCAAGTAGAGGTTTAACGTCAAGCTGAGGTTATTCAGCAACAAGGCAATAGTCTCCTCCTCCTACAAGCTCGCCCTTCTACGAATGCGAAACCGAAATCCTCCCTCCCACACCCCGAAAAATTCAATGGCCAGGTCCACAAGTTCAATACCTGGCTTCCCTCAATTAACGCTAAGCTACGGGTCGATAGCGAAGCTATTGGCGATCCTACTGCTCAGTTCTATTACGTCTACCTCAATCTCGAGTCTCACGTATAAGCTATGGTTCTTCCGCAGCTCTCTCAAGCCGAAGAAAATCAAACCTGGGCCTATACCTCGATTCTCGACTAACTCTCTCGCGTTTACTCGAATCCGAATAAGGTGCAAGAGGCAGAAGACAAGCTATATTCTCTCAAGCAAGGCACTGATTCGCTCCATGCTTTTATAGCTAAGTTTGAGCGTATACTCTATAAGGCACGTGGAGGAGACTGGAACGACGTTAACAAAATTGCAGCTTTCCGCCAAGGGCTCAATACCACAATCAAGAATAGGCTAGTACAGCAGTTAAACCTCCCTCGAACCTATACCGGGTTCATCGAGACGGTATAACAGCTGGCCGGACACTCTAGCACGTACAAATACCATGACCCTGGAAAGAAGCCTTACCACTCAAGCAAAGACGATACCATGGACATATCAACCATTAATACCATTAGTACGATTACCGAGCCTCCACGATCCTCCTCTCCACGATGCTTTCCTCCACGATCCTTCTCTCCCTTTCATACGAATAGTCGAGTACGATCTATAAGCCCGGCGGAACGCTAGCTACTCCGCAAGCAGGGCAAGTATATACGCTATAGAAGTGATGAACACTAGATAAAGGACTGTGATATTTAACCATATAAGAAGAAGATACCCCCGCCAGGACCAAAGATTGTAGTAGGTGAGAACGGTAGAAAGTCAGAATCTGTATAGTTAACGATTCTAATAGTAGCTATGATTCTGATACCTTAATTGGACCTTATGGGCCTGATTCTGATTCAGATTCAGATTTGGAGAAACTGGCATATCAGGAACTAGTAGAACGCATAGATAGGGGACGCCGGAAATAGGGCATACAAGGGCATACGAGATTGTACGATTTATAGAAGCTATAGAGGGCTTATTTTCGATACTCGGGACGAGCTTTCCTGAAGGGGGGTAATGTTACGCTTTACCGCTTTACCGGTAAATTTAGCATTATGTGACTGCAATGACACATGCGGCTGGGGCTAGTATTTAGAATACCAAAGCTCCCGTAATCAAGAGCTTCTCTCCTTAGTTTAGAATCCTCGGAATAGAGCCACTTTACTGCTTTCCAAGCCAGAGACCCGGTCTCGTAACAAAGATTAAATAATACAAAATAATTATATCTCTTATATTAAGTATATTACTTAAGTAACCTATTAAGAAACTTAAATTATATTAAGATAAAATAATTATATTTCTTTATAATAAGTTTGAAATTATAATAATAACTCTTATTATTAATAAAGCTTTAATATTAGCGAGTTAATTAAAGAAAACTATACGTTATATTATAAAAAAGTAAAATATAAACTTATAAGACTTTTATTTTTATAATTTATTAAAGTTCTATTTATATTAATTATATAATAATATATATAAGCAAAAGTCGAGAATAAAGCAAATATATTATATTGTTTTAGTCTTGTAATAGATTATTTATATACGAAGGATCTAAAGCTAAGAAGAGAAGAAGAGAAGAGAAAAAAAGGCAAGCGAGGCTTATATATATATAAGAAGCCTTTATATGCCTCGCCTTTTAAGACAGGCTTAGAAAGACTCATAGTCGCATTCGAAATCGGCTTCAGTCCTGAACCGTTTATGATTTTATTTTAGCCCCACATTTCTAGTAACTAGTTCTATTAAGGTTGGATAATTTGACCCCTGCACTTAGCGACTTTATTTGCTTACTAAGGTACAACGGACAAAGTGGACTGATGCTTAAGGATTTGTTGCCGTCAGCGTCGAGGCTCACGTGAGATACGTGAATCTCCGCCTGAGAATTGACATCTCGTATGGAGAACATAGTTTCTGCAAGAGGCGTCGGCTATGAGTCGGAATTGGCACTGCAAAGTTCTGGCTTCATCGCAGACTCTCTGCATACGCAAGTGGGATTTGAAAACATGAGTGGCTTGATGCCGATTTGAAGATGATGGGGTTCAGGACAAGATGAGGCTGCGATTGTCAAATATCCTTTGTAGATCGCATAACCACTTCGCAACTGATCCGCGTGATCCGAATATTTTAATAGGATTTTCATTCGAAAAAGCTGGACTAAATATAAGAACAAGGTCCCGCCGGACAAATCTGTAGCTGCCCTCGATCGGGACGAGGGCCTCGACCAACGTAAAGCTGAAAGCTCACTGGCTACCCAACTCCGCACCGAAAAAATGGGGCTCAACAAAGAATCAGTGTCTATGCTTTTTGATAGGGTATGAGATCAACAACTCTGGCATCAACCCATCCTTCAGTATCATCACCCCTTCATCTCCAAATTTCGACACTAAAATCCACGAATCAAAGTACTACTAACATTTTCAAGGAGACTCGGGATGGACAGATTTTACTAATGCTGTGCCAGCTTTTAGCCCCTATGAAGCTGACATAAGTCAGCACCGCGTTTGAATTTGTCTAGCAACTAAACCCCTTGTTAGCTGTGGTCATACCACGGTAAGATCCTTTACATTTGAAAAGAGCTTACACAGTCAATCATTCATTCATTGAGAAGAGGTTTGAGGGGTATGGCGGACTAATCTACAGCTAGGGGTTAGCGCATAGGGCCAAACTAAGTTTAGCATATCTCTCCAAATATCATACTGTGACAAATACCATAGCGCGGGGGTCATGTCTAACTCACAGCTTTTCAGCTTACCCTTTGCCACTCGAAGTCTTGTTCCTTAACTGCGCCATCATGTCCCTCAATCTATCTTCCTCAAGCGCAAGCCTCTCCTTTTCAGCGAGTAGTTCTCGCTTCTCCCTTAATCTGCGTTCCTGGTATTGAAGATCGTCTTCTTCTACTGCTGTAGTGATTAGGGGGTAGAGATATGACCCTACTGGAAGAGGACCTGGATTTGTGAGGGGGGTGGCGGGTGACGATTGCGCTGGATTGGGAATGGCTGGGGAGCGTGATGAAGGTTGGTTCTTTAAGGAAGTTGATGATGGAAGATTGGGCCCTGATGTAAAAATATTTGGTGATGTTTCTAGTTCTGCGACTAGTGGTAATGTGGCTTCTAAGGATGGAGATTGCGCTGCTGGGGCAGGTCTTTCATGAGCTTGACGAATTTCACCGTTGTATAGCTCAGGCACCGCTCCTACAGATGTTGTAGCCGTGTCCAGTTCGGGCTTTCTAGAGACCTTCCCAATTATGGGAATGGCGGGAGGGATCCCAGGTAGTTCAGACTTGTGCTCGTAGTCGTCTTCTTGTAGATCTGAGGCCACCATGCAAGGGACAATGGTGTCGCGTTTTGCACGTTTACGACGGATCCAGGCGAACAGAGTGATGATAACAAGTAGAATGGCAATTAGAGGAACCGCAACCCCAATGCCAATCTTCGTCCTCAGGGAAAGCCCGGCACTCTCAGAAGATGTCAAACTGCTCACAGGATACACCGCTGTCGTTGTGGGGGTTAGGTTTGAACCAGGATTGGAGCTATTGCTTGCTACCTGGCTCACACTTGACTGAGAGCTGGTTGGGCTTGAATCAAGGCTTGGGCCTGTACCTTGGACCTGGCTCACACTTGACTGAATGATGGTTTGGGAAGTCAAGCTTGGGGTCGACTGAGAGACATCAAAATCGCCTGCTTTGTAGCGAACTTCGATAGTGCCACCAAGTGGGGGTTCAAAGAGTGGAAAACTAGTGACTGAGGTTGTGAACGCTGGCGTAGTAGTCGCTGTTCCCGAAGCGTAATTGGTACTGAAAAATACTATGGTCGATGGAAACGATTGGGGGCTCCAAATGCAAATTAAACCGCCAGTGGTATAGCCAGGGGTAGTGAAATAGGTAGGAGTATAGTCAGGAGGACAGCATATCATTGTTGTCTCCAAAGAGCTGTCGCCGGTGAGCATGCCAAACCATCCGCTAGGACATATTCCTGGTGAATAGTAACCTCTAAAAGCACTGATAGTGCTATCAAACCAATTCATGTATCCACTGGGAAGACAACTTGCAACCGAAGGAAAGTACGGATAGTACCTTCCAACTAGGAACGCAGTATTGGTAGGTGGACTACCATAAACAGTAGTAGCTATGGTGACACGGTTACAGTCGCTTGGAGGGGTAAACGTAGTTGTTAGTGGTCCGAGAACGGTGGGGCTAGGGGCAGCTCTGAGGTTCAAGGCCATGATGGATATCTTTACCAAAGCAATAATTCAGGCAGACTGGAGCGCGCATTACTGATCAAAAGGGGCGACATAGATTGCATTGGAATGAAACCAGATCCAGGTGGTTTTGAACGCTGAACCTGAGTATTGTCGTTGGATTTGTGTTGTGGTCGTGGTTCTATTCGTCGACACAAGAACCGGTCAATGCTAGTCGTTGTATCTGTTTGGACTGTGAGCTTTTAAAAAGCAGGGGCCAAATTATCCGATGACGCGCCCTACTTGCGATAGTAGTGATATCGGCTGATGATGATGATGATGATAATGATTTTAATTTAACGCCCGTTCCAGTAGCCTTAGGGTCGCTATGCAGGCTTACGTAAGGCTGGATCTTCCGCCTCACGTGAATCGAATCCTCTGGGAGCAAATTGAGGTCCAGTAGGCCCCAGTTTGACCCCTGAGTCTGTCTATAGCTAATATACAGTTTGTTTATCCTATACTGTAGTATAAGTGCTTGCTTTTTCGGTCTTTAAATGCAGCAGTTTCCCCCCAGTCTACTCGTTATATGTCTCTTCTTTCTCTGGCCTCCTGAATTGCCCTAGAAGCCGGGTTGCTAGAATTAAAGCCTAAATTCTTTGAGTTCTTTACTAAAATAAAAACTAGGCCCGGCTTAATCTCAAAGAGAATTACCTTAATTTCTTTATTATATTTGAATAAATAATACTTAATATAATAGCCGAACTCGTTATAATTAAAGTACTTAATAATTAAGAAATCTTTAGTTTTAATAAAATATTATTTATATTTCTAAAAAGATATATATTTAATTAAAATAATAAATATAAGTTTTTTAAATTCTTTTTTAAGAATATATAAGGATATAATACTAGTAATAAACTTAACTAGACTAGCTATTATTTTCTTATATTTCTTGATTTTCTTATATATAGCTTTAATTTATTAATTATTAGTAATATCAAATTAAATAAAGCAACTAATATTAATAAAAGAGTTATTATAATATATATTAACTTTTGAAGCTTTAGTAAGAGCTTTTTATTTAGTTTATATTTAATATTTTAAAAACTAATATTACCTTTTATAAATAATTATAAGAAGAAAATTTAAAACTTTTAAAATATTTAACTAGAATTTATTTAAAACTTATTAAAGTTATAGCTAATATTTTATATTTTATTAAAATTAAAATATAGCTCTTTTAAATAAATATATAACTTTAAGAGTTAATAATATTAATTCGAATTATTCTTATTTATATAAAAGTTAATTAAGGCAAAAATATTACTTATAAATTTTCTAGAAATATAAATAATCTTGAAATTCTCTAAGAAATATAAAATATTACTTTATAGTTTATTCTTAATTTAAATTAGCTAATTATTAAAAATAATATAATTTTTAATAAAAAAAGTTAAATTTAAAAGCTTAATAATTCTAGTATTTTAAAAAAAAATATAAAATATAAGAAATTCGAAGTAGAAATAAAAATATAATAATTTAAAAGATTCTAAAAAAGAATTTAAAGAAATAAAAAGAAATAATTAGTTTATTAGAAATATATAATACTATTATATAATTATAAAATATTATTTATATAAATTAGTAAAGTAGTTATTATTTAGAAGTAAGAATTATAGTATTATAGTATTAATATATAATTCCTAAATCTACTAAGCCTAATAAGAACTAGTTATTAGTTAAGTTATTTATATAATATAAGGTTATATAATTATTATCTAATATTTATATCTTATTACTTCTAGTTATTTCTATATTATATAACTATTAAAACTATAATTATACTAATACTAAAATCTTTCTAAAAACGCGAAAAATAGTATTTCTCTCTAATTATATACTAATTCCCTAATTTGGTCTAGTATTAGATATTCAGATATCTAGATATTTAGATACCTAGATACCCAGATACTTAATTTCCTATTCGGCCTAGTACTAGATATTTAGATACTAGATATCTTTACTAAGGAAATTTCTATATATATTCTTTTATCTTATATATTTATTTCCTATTCTATTTATATTTAATTTATTTCTCTATATCTAATTATATAGTATTTATATTAATAAAGTATTTAAAGATATTTAATAGCTTCGATTTTATTATAGAGTTAGTAGAATTCGATTTTCTTTTAATTTATTTAACTTTTATAATTTCTCGTTATTTATATATCTAATAAAGATATATTATATTAATTATTAAATATTTCTCTCAAATAGTATCTAATTTAATAAGATATTTATATAATAACTTCAAATCTATATAAATAACTAATAATAGTTCTATTTCTAGTACTTTATTAATTATAGATTTAACTAAAATACCTATATTAAAACTATAAGCTATATTATAAAGTTTCGAAACTAGAATACTTCTAATAACTTTCTTGTATTTAATAAAGAACTAATAAATAATATTAGTATATCTAGTTCTATTTATTAAAACTAGAATATATCTAATTTAGAAAAAGAGATTTCTATTATTTATAAATAAAGTATTTATAAAAGTAATTAAATACAAAAATTTCTTTACTAGTTTTATAAATCTTAGTTTTCTAGTAATATTCTTAATTTGCTATTAAATATATTTATTAAGTATTTTTATATTAGTTTCCGAGAATTTAATAGCTTAAATAATAATTAATAAGTTATATTATTATAGTTATTATATGTAAAGTATATAATAGTAGGGTAATATATAAGTAATTAAGGTAAGTAAGCTATAGAGTAATACTTGCAAGTATAACTAATTCCAAGAATTAATTCTAATAAAAAACTAATTAATACCTCTTTCCAAAGCTAGAAGTATCTCCTTATATATTCCCTAGTACTTAGCCAAGCCTATAAAGCACTTTACTTAACTAGGAAACACGATCCTATATAATTCATATAATTCTAATTACTCATATAATTCTAATTATAAGCTTTATCTAAAATAGGAAACTAGATCTATAATATCTAATAACTATCTATATACTATTATATATATCTATTATATTAACTTCTCCTCTAGGCCCTTATTCCCAAGAGGCCTAAAAGAACTATAAATAGCTTTATAAATAATCTCCTAAAACTTTTCCGGCTATTAGTTCTCCCTAAAGACTTCCTATAATTATCCTATTATTATATTAGGTAATAGACTTAAGAATATAGTTTACTAACCTTACCTAGCTAATCCGCAAATTACCTCTAGTAATTTTCTCTTATAAAAGTAATACGGGTATAATATATACTATTAGATAGAAAGCTTTTCCGGTCTTCTAATTAGTTTATAAATCCTAACTTAGCCTCTATTTATAAATAAATTATTATTTTATAGGCCTAAAAGCTTAGAAAAATTAATTTAATCTTCTAATTTATTTATAAATCCCTTTTTTGGAATTTTCTAAATATTTCTGGTATAGAGCCGGTTCCGAATTTATAATTACTATTTGGGAAAAGAATATTATAAAAAGGCCTCTCTTTTCCTACTAACTAATCTTTCCTTTCCTTAACTATAATACTATATCTAGCTTTTCCTTATCTCTTGCCTTCCTTCTTTAAGCCTTCTTTAAGCTTTTTTAAGTTTTATTTAAGCTTTATTTAAGCTTTATTTAAGCTTTATTTAAGCTTTATTTAAATTTCTTTCTAATTTCTTCTTCTACTTCTTTATTTATTAAGATAAATACTTCTCTTAATACTTATTAGCCTATTATTATTTATTTGGCTAATATTCCTATATTCTTAATTTATTCTTACTATCTTTAATATTTCAAGAATATTACTAAGTTTCCTAACCTTACTTATATTAAGAGTAATAATTACTTAATATATAATTATTACTACTTTAAGAATAAGAAATATAATCCTATAAGTTATAATTTCCTTTATTTATTTCTTATTCTAATACTATTTAAGGTTCCTCAAGTATATATAGTATAATTAAACTACTTTTTTTAAGCTATTAATATATATAAGTATTTTCCCTATTCTTTACCTAAAAGAAAAAAGGCTATTATTACTTTTCTTCTATACTAAATAATATATACTTCTTATATTAAAGCTATTATTCGAGACTAACGAATTTCTCTAATAATTCAAGAAATAGGTTAAGTAATTCTTACTAGCTTAGTATAAGTATAAAGTACTCTTAATAATATAATTAATATTCTTTAGTATTAAGTAAGCTTGTTTCTTTCTTGTTTCTTACTAATAGCTAATAGCTTTATAGGCTAATTTATTATTTATTTCTCGAGAGAATTCTAATAAGAATAATAATAAGAATAATAGAAAGTAATTATAAAAGTAGAATATTTATAGAATATAGAAATTAGAGTTTTTAGAATTCTTAATAATTTTTATATAGTTTTTCTAAGAATAAATATATGGTTTTTAATAGTTTTCTAATAAAAACATTTATCTTTTATATCTCTATTTAGCTAATAATATTATAATATTATTCTTTTCTAAGTATTCTTATAATTCTTGAGCTATATTCTTTAGATTACTTAGTAGTTCCTATATATTATTTACTAATAAATAGCTTTTCTAATAAACGAGATATTTTTTTTCTTTTTTACTTTTCCTATAAGCTATAATAGATTTTATTTCAAATTCTTCTTTGCTCTTAATCTTAACTAGTTCTGGTTCTATTATAGTACTAGCTTACGGGTACTATAGTTCTAAAAGAGAAATATAAAAAATATTATAAATCTAATATAATAATAGTAATTTCAAATAATATATCTATTTATATATTTCTATAACTTCTAGAATTTTAAAGGGGCCGAGATATCTATTTACTAGCTTTATATTAGGTTATAGCTATTAAATATTCTTTATACGAAATATGACTTTATTATATATATTAAATTCCTTATTAATATATTTCTTATTATAGTACTTTTTCTATATATTTACTACTTCTTGCTATTACTTCTCTAGTATTTTTTATTCTATTTAAATTCTTTATATTCTTTCCTATATTACCGGTATTTCTTTTTCTAAAACATTATTCTTAATATATAGTTTAATACTAGAATAAAATCTATATAATATATAGAATAAAAAAATTCCTATTATTAAATATATAAAGTTATTATATATGAATTTTATAAAAGTAAGCTTTATTATCTAGTTATTCTACTAGTAGCTAGTATAATATCTTAAGTACTATTCTAGAGTTTAGTTTAAATTCTCTATTTATCTATTAGTTTATAAGTGAAATATTATATTTAGTTATTATTAAATCTTTAAATAAAAGTATAAACTTAACTAGAACTTGC